TTTTTTTTTGCTTTCTCTTATGTTTCTACTCTGTGCCTGTGACTGTGCTGCTATCAAGGAGGGGTCGCCCAAGGGGCGACCCCGGTTTCTTGTATCAATAATCGTTAAACATGTACTAGTGACATGAAGATCTTCGTAGACGTACTAGTACTGATGTTGTATTGATGCATCAACATACAACAGCGTCGAATTCTAATAATTGTAAAGATTGTTCTGCATGATGGTCCATTGTTTTCATGCTGAGTAGCGATTCGGAAAAGCAAAACATACTAAAAATTGCAAAAAAATTTGATGATCAGCTCCTGTCTGGTGCCCCATACAACCTACGACGTATCACATGATCATGATGCCATATTGAGCCTAGAACCAGGGGCTTAGACCATTAATCAAATAAGGCTTAGATCATCATTTGATTGTCTGAAAAATAAAAATATCCGGTTAATTTTTCGCACGTATCCTAGGTTTAATATCCGCCACCACGCAATGATTAATAGAGCACAGCTAGCACTTTCACTTACAGACCACTGTCCTTGGACCTCCTGCTTGAAAATATAGCCTCAACCACTATAGTTTCGAATAAGAAGTCTGTCTGTCGTGTCTGCGTGTACTATTCACCGTACAAAAATGACCACCACGGACGAACAGGGGGCTCCTTACCCTGATGTAGTGAAAGGGGGGCTTATCCCTGCCTTGTTCTATTGTTCTATTCTGTATTTTCAACAAGTGATCATTCACTGGTGTAGTTGCCACATAAATTCTGCGTGTCTTGCTATCTGGAAGTGCACGAGTAGGAGGGAGCGGAAAGGAAAGACCATGGACGGAAAAAAAGCATACGTCCAAAAATCTGGAGAAATTATGATCACAGTCCTTTTCGAGAAAATTTTATCGATGTTCTAGTTTCAATGATGAAAACACTGGAGGTGGTGCCACCTTTTCCTGAAAGAACTTTACGACGACCAGCATAATTTTTATCCTCAGATATTATAGAAAAAAACGTGACAAAGTAGAAGTAGAACCAGACAAACTGAACTACCTACTATTTATAGGAACAACATGTAGAACAAGAATAACGAACAATGAGAGAAAGGAATTGAAAGTCGCCCTCCTTTAAAACAATCTCTCCCGAGACACTTAGTGCCTCAAGTTAGGTAAATGAATGAATGATCAACATCTACATCTTCATCAATATGTTCGATAACCTGCCTGTGGACTTGTTGCTTCCAATATGTGCGTTTTGTACACTTCAGGAGCTTGTGGCCTTGGAGGCCACTGCAAGGTTCTTCCGCTTCGCGCCTCCCGAAGTGCTTCGACGTGTATGGGCCTTAAAAGCGTCGCAAGAATGCAGCAGTTGGCTAGATCTGCGTCCGCTTCAGATCCAAGATGACGCGAAGGGAAAGGAGGAGGGGAGGAGGAGGAGGGGAGGACGTGGAAAGGATGATGAAGGCGTGTTCTTGACAACAGGCGAAGAGGTACAAGAAGATGGAAGTCATATTAAGGCAACAAGAAATCCATCTTCACGTGCATCCTGCGACCGTGGTCAAGCGGAAAAAGGTTCTAGGATGCGTTTCAAGATGGATTTCTCTTAGGTCTAATCATAATGGGCGCCGTGATCCAGGAGGAGGATCATGTAGCGCGGGCAGGGGAGGTGCTGAAGATCAACATGGCCAAGAACCGGACATGCAGCTGGAACATGACGTAGAACAAGGGTCTAGAAATGTACACGAACACGACCAAAACGCACAACAAGGCTTATCAAACCCTCGTCAGTTACTTCATTTGGATTGGCGGCATCTAAAATCTTTAGCGTTGATTGGGGAGCGCCTTCAGGTAACACGAGAGGAGGTCATCCTAGACGGGTCGGATCCAATGTTACGGTTCTTGTACAATTTGACTGAAAGGCCTCAAAACTACTTGACCACGTAGTTGACGAGGGCACATGACATGACATGCTGGTCTAAAACCGATATAAGATGCTATTGAAGATTTGTGCCTCTAAGGAGACAATTCCGCGTTCCTGGAGAGGAAATAGTCTGGCCGCTTTATTCGCATGACTCCGCAGCACCTTTGGGAGCGCTACAGGCGCAGCAAAGAGCGCTTGAAGATGTAATGAAGGGGACCCCAAGTAGCGGCCCAACAACTACATGCAGCTCGTCAAGCAGGAGTACACCTAATTGTAATGCGGCTAGTGCTAGTACTACTTCGGATAATAGGCAAGTCCATGACGAGACTCTGCTACAACGTGCAGCTTTTGTTACGAACAACGCGGTAGCGAGCATCACAAGCGGGCATGATGCGTCCCTATCCTGTCTTGCCTTGCGAGCAGCAGTAAAGTGGTCGCGGAGGAAACTAGAAGGGCAGCACGTTCACGCAGAAGCATCGCCCGCTCCTTCGCAGGAAGATAGCAACAGCAACCGCATTGATTCACACCTCCTAGAGATAATGGAGCGTCGGCTGTGCGAGGTAGAAGTTGAAACTTCAATCTGCAGCCCAGGACATCAATTGGAGTTGCTCAGCAAAGGCCTTCGCTCGATGGTCGCGCCTGGTGGAGGTTCTTATGGCGACGAAGACAGATGAAACAGGATTTCGATTGTGCATAACCTGAAAGACTCATCCGGCCTAAATTGCAAATTTTAAGCTGACCCTAGTTATTTTAGCATGATCTCAGGGGCCACTACAAGAGCAGATGATCACGCCACCATCCCTTTTAATACAGCGGTAGCGCGCTTCACCTAGCAATCGCATTGCCGCTCGAGCAGCGATCCCGAGCACTTACTAGAGGGGAGACGAGGAACCTGGCTGCCTCGTCATCCGTATTTCAACCTGCCGTGCGTCACTGCTGTCGCGAGTGGGTCGAGGGTCCAGCCGCAGAGCCGATCAGGCTCTCTGTTCACGCACGAGTGCTAGACATCGATGCGGGTGAAAACAACAACACTCGAGTTCGAGTCGGTTCCTCAACCTTTTCGTCGACTCGCAAGCAGCCGCTGGTGTCCCCGTCGCGTGCATTCCACTTGGAGAAAGACGAACGCAAACAAGAAGGGTGTTTGAGACGACTTCTTGAAGAACAGATGATTCCTGCTTTACCTGTGTCTAGCGGAAGCGTTGACGATGATATGATTGTCCTTGACGATTATCATGATGAGGACACCGCTGCCAATGGTGCCACTGCACTCCCAGTCCAAGCACAAGATCTAGGAGATAATCGAGGATCTCCACCATCAAAAGCAAAGGACGTGCAACTCGACAAAAATGAAGATAATCATGAACAGCGGCAGCTTTCAGATCCTGGTCTCAGGCAAGCAATGGCCCTGCTAGCGTCAATGCCTCCGAATGAGCGCGCATATGTCATCTTCTTAAATAAGGACCGAGGCGAAGGCGATGAAAATAAGAAGGAAAGTAAGGAGAAAGAGAAAGATGATAGCGAGCTTGAAGAAGATGTGCAAGAATTTCATACTCCACCAAGCTCTCCGTCTCCTAAACCTAATCCTATCCAGACGAGTTTTTTGATTGAGAGGCACCAGAACGATGAAGACCATCATGAGGACATTTTTTACAGTCCATATGCGTCTCCAGTGACATCAAGGAGGCCGACTTCTATTGATGATGCACAGTCGCCGCCCTCGTCACCAGTTTCATATCTCCGGCAAGGCAAGGAAGATCCAGCATGTGGGCTCAAAAAGATCATGCCGACCCCTTCTACTGCTCCACCGACGTCAAATGATGCCGACGATGGTTGCACTTCCATGGCTCCTGATGTAGGAGCTGCAACTTCTACCTCCTCAGCATCTTCGAGCCCTATTGCCGCAAAAGAGGACCAGCAAAAAGAAGAAGCAGAACAATCTCTTCTGGAAAAGTTGCGTGGGATTCAACTTATTTACCAAGAAGACATCCTTCTGACACAGTTGGAGTTTCGTGTGTCATTGTCCGAAGGTGGTCGCAGCAATTCTTGGGGTGATGTTTGGGATGACTGTGCGAGATTTGAAGTTTTTGTCCTCCTTGAGAGTGCAAATAGCCTACGCGTCTTTTCCGCTGTGCCACTGGGAAGATCTTCGTCTATCGCATTTGAACCTCATAATCCTTTTGTTGCTGATGGTAATATAATCCATGATCGTCCAGTAGTTCACGGACGAAGAGACGGCGCTTTATTCCGGGAAGAAGTTAGCGAAGCAACAGTGATGGTCTGCAACATACCCACAAACTTGTTGTTGGACGATGCGCATCATGAGAGCTCTCCTCCGTTGTTTTCAGTCGCCGACTTAGAGGAGGTCTACTTCTTGACCGAAAGTCATGGCTGTAGTGAAGTAGATCGAGGTTTTATGAAAGAAGAAAGTGTGCTCACACGCAAAAAAAGTGGCTATTTTCCTACTTGAATCCTAGCCAATTTCTTGAGTGTGAGTGCACTTTCTCGCTTCATAGGTTTGATTGTGGAACGCGCCCGCGCCATGGATGCTGTTTTGCAGGATAGTCGAAGAGTTTTGAGATGTGAAGATACTGACCTGGTGCTGCAAGATTGCGGTCGTGGCGGCAGTGCTGCTGCGACAAGAAACACTGGTCCTCCTGAGTCAGAAGTTGTATCATCTGGTGCAAGTAGGAGTAGACAAGCTTCCAAAAAGGCTCGAGTTAGAGAGTTACGCGTACTTGTGAGGGTCCATGCCTTGCGTGGATGTGCTCCATCGTGGGTGCCGTTTGAGCTTCAAGGCTTAATCCACATGCAGAAAGCAGATATTGCGAATGACCTCTTCCGCATGGATTAGTAGTAAGCAAATTCAGCTCTGTGCGACTCGTTGCGGTCGAGTCGCCTTTTGCTAAATCTCTTTCATCTTCCTTGTTCTTGATTTTGAGCGAACCAGTCGTGACGATTGTGAAAGCGAAGCAAGGATCATCTGTCCTTGAGTGTGAGTTAAGTGTTCTGTACTCGGAGTACCGGGAGTATTGTTGAATGGTTCTGGTATTTTTGGTATAGCCTGAATTTGATCCTAAGGGAAAACAAGAAGAGAACCCTTAGGATCAAATTCAGGCTATACCAAAAATACCAGAGCCATACAATTGTTCTTTTGTTGCGTTCAGCTGTGCACCTAGTTGTTGATTGGATTCTTCCGCGTATCTGTTAGACGAGAGTTCTTTATCTCTGTCGAGAGAAACAGAAACGTGACCGTGAGGGAAGCCCATTTTCTTTTTCTGTCGTGCGTGCTGTATCCTTCCTCTAGTCCTGGGACTGAGAAGTAGGAGGCTACGAAGATACAAATGTGACCCTTGATTTCATCTACTTATGAAAAACTACAGGCTCGTTATTTCCCTTATACAGCAGCTGAACCAGAAGCACCACACCACGCAATTCTTTCAAGTATTGTTGATGTTTGTGGCCCGCTGCGACTATTAGATTCATCTTCATAACTCCATCCTCCACCTTTACTGCATCTCCTTCTTGCTATCGCTTTACGTCGCTCTTGATCGTTGAATCATTTACCGCTCTGCTCTGCATTTACCCTGCTTGCTAGCTAGTTGTACCAGAAGAACCAGCATATTTGAAAGGGAACAAGAAAATGGCGACCGAAATCCTCGGTGAGGTGCAGGGCATCCTGGGCAAGGATGAGAAAAAGAAGAAGAAGGAGAAGAAGGAGGAGTCCCGCGCTTCCTACGGTGACGATGACGACAACCGAGATTGGCGTGGAGACTACAAAGCCCTGAAGAAGAGCACAGCAGCCGAGATCAAAGAGCTTCAAGCTCTGCGAGAGCAGTTTACTGTGCCAGTGACGACCTACGAGGACAAGGATAGATGGAAAGAGGCCTGCAAGTTCATGGAACGAGAGGTCGAAGAATTCTGCAAAAGATCAATGAAAGATCCGGGAAACCAGTTTGGAGTTAGGGTCTTAGGCGAGCTCGAGGAGATGATGACTACGCAGTTTTAAGGCCCAACTTTCATTGGTCATTGGGGTTGGTCACTGAGATCGCAGAGGGGCTCTCCCTACAGAGAACAGGGGAAAATGAATATGAAGGGAAAAGGGGAGAGCTTTGACGATGGAGGTCTCTTACTTTCAGAATCAGTGACCACTGACTGCTGACCTTTAACAGTTGCACAATTTGTTGCAGGGGAAGCACAGACAATATTGCGAATTGAAAGCAAAGGAGATTCGGACTGCGTACTAGCTATACTGTTACAGTTACTTTTCTTTAAGAACTGATGTTGGATCGGACTGTGCGTACTTGCTGTTACTTTTCTTTAACTCCTGTTGGAAGGAATAGATCTATGTAAGTATGTTCAACTTTCTTGACTGAACTTGAAATGCAGCTTGATGTGATCTTGAGAATCAGAAGGTAGACAATTCCCCACGACCTTTCTTCCAAACGTCTTTCATCGTTGATCTTCCCAAGAATTGTTTGCTGCATCGATCCACCTAAAGAAGTAAGGAAAAGAACCACCTTGACCTCCACATCAGCCTCCAAGCCGCCTCCAACGCGTATATTGAGCGGGTTCGCGACGAGAGTGGGTTCCAGCTGACCAAGCCGTATCCCGATTTCTGTTGGTCAGTTGCGAAGCACATGCTTCTCGGTGTACAACTGGAAATCACGCAGTCCAAAAACTTCCGCTTGGGCAAGCTTCCAGATGAGGTTTTGGAGCTGGAAAAGAGGACCAGTAAACTTCGAGCGTCATCGAAGAAGAATGGTGGAGCATGAAGATCAAGAAAGTCAATCAATGACCTAAGGTCGTGAATCGTGATCGTGATAGATACCTCATATAAAGATTGATAGAGAAGTGTTAATCCCCAACATATTTGGTTGATACGAATTATACTTGCTCAGCATACCATCTACCATGATAATGATCGCTGTAGATGGGTTTTGCATCTGTAAAGTTTATATAAGCTCCAACTACATCGGAGAATGACGTTAGCTGTACTAGTAACGTGGGATAAGTAAATACTGCTCCGGCTAGTAGGAGGATAATTAGCGATCTTACGCCATCGCTCATTTAGTACTTTAAAGACGAGGACTGTTCTCGGGTGTTAAGTATTTAGGGAAGTAACAACTGAACAGGATGGCTGAGTAGAATATTGGGAAATAAGGGTTATCAAATGTTCTTGCCTGACTTTTCTTTTTTCGGTTTTTGTTTTTTCTAGTTAGATATGCTCCACCAACATTATCATGAATATTAATGTTAATATTCCGAACAAAGGTAGAGCTTGTATTTGCATAGACATCTTCCTCATCGACGCTCGTTGCGCACCACCTACGCGAATGAACCAACGCCTTTTTACGACTTGACTGAAAAAACAAAACTAGAGGCTCCACCCGGTGGAACAGGAATACTTGATCTGGCAGCGGCCCGATAACGGTGTCATACGCGCACTGTGATGTTCGTGGATAAAGGTGTCGGTACATCCAGTTCTGTTCTCGTGAAGGACGAGAGGAACAAACTGATCAAGAAAGACGATTTTTATTACTTACTCGGTAGTCGCGCAAGAGAGATAAGATACTGAGCACTACTTCTTGTTCTAATTCTAGCACTACTGCAATCAGCTAGGATTTTCGTCCGAACAACATTTTGACCAAAAAAACTCTTGAGGCAAATGGGATCCTCGTCGTCGCCTCTCAGTGCTCTTCTAGAGGGCTTTTGGAGCAGTCAACAGCACGATCCATCGGAAGCTCTTCCTCCTGCCGGTACCTCTTTCACGAGCAAGTGCACCAGTGCAACGACCTTTGTCGAGGCGGATTCTTCATCGTTCTTCCCTTCCGCTTCGTCGAGCGTGTCCCGGCGCCGAGGAGGAGGAGATGATAGACGGCATGTAGCATACTCCGGCTCAACAAGCTCAACATCGTCATTTTTAACAACAGGCAGTGGCGGAGTTGGACGAGCTACAACGACAGCTACATCCTTCTCGAAACACACGACTGATGGTGCCTTGGCGGATGATTCGGAGGTTAGGATGGAGGAAACCAAAGCCAAACGCGAGAGGGATCCGCCTTGGTATAGAGAGGGATCACATCCATATTAAGGCACAGAAACATGAAGGGTACGAAGCCGGGCGCAGTTCTTTTACATGCCCGTACATAAGTGCTTGTTCTTCCTCCGAGATGAGTCCTTCTACTGTTGTACTTCTTTTTAGAAGCAGTGAGCATTCTTTTATACTACTTCTTTTTAGAAGTTGTGTTGAGCATTCTTTCAATGAATGATCCTTCTCTTTTTAGAAGTGAGCATCAGCATTCCCATTTTTCATCCTTCTAATCTTCCTTCATTCGCGAGAATTACAACCACAATGTGCCCTCACCGCATGTTGGCGACAGTATTCCCAATCCAAATCTGGCGGATAAGGATCTGCTAGGTGGAGGTGGCTCTGAGGAATCAACATCCTCATCTGCGAATCGAAGCCTGAAAATACGCCAAAACGTTCAAGAAAAAGTGGTCATTCCTCGACGCGGAGGGTTGATGAATCCACCGAATGAGCCTTCGACGGTAAAGGAAGGCACGAGCGCACAGCACCTGCCGCCATCAAAGGACGGGAAACTGTCCGGGCCATTGATTCCTGGGAAGGATGCGCCCGGTATGGTTTTTCGATGATTCAACTTTGCTACTTAGCTTTGCTTGTGGGCCTTGTATACTTCTAAGCTACATCACTTCCATCAAATCTATGCATCACATTTTCAAAAAGACAGATGACCGCGGCAGTTCCGAGTCTGCATCAATGAAGGATGCTCTCGACAAAAACCCTGCTCTGAGAGAGGGCATCGGCGAGGACATCTTTGAGCTTAACGAGGAAGCCCCTGGGTTTCTAGATACCACCGGTTTAGACGGGCAACCGCTTCCTGAGGATATCGTACGCATGAACAGAGAAGCTATGACGAAGAAAGAGCCACTAATCGTCGTCAAATACGACGATCACCCGGAAAACCTCTCGGTTATGGGCGGCTACTGTCCCGAAACTAGCGGAACGTGCCAGAAGAATGGTGCGGTTGGGTACACGCGAGCGCAGGAAGTGGATCGGGTGAATTTTGGAGCTGACGTAAATGCACGATCAGGAGGAGGTGAGTTTGGGGAGCTCTTTAAGGGTGCTAATGTCAACGCACCGAAAGGAGCACCTGGAGGTGCTGGAGTTGGTCCAAGAATTATGAAGACAACTGAATATGTACCTGCATCATTAATGAACAAGAGTAAGACAGCAAAACAGTTTGGGCTTCAAAGTGAACCACTGGCAGAATAGGATTCGCAGAAAAGCATGTCCAAATGTACTTACAAGATCTGACACTTCCAAACGCAACATCTCTTCATATTCCTGTCTAGAATTGCATAGAAACAGATACAGATGAAGATTCACGAGCAGATAGACGTGGCTGATGATAAAGAACGTAAAAGATGGATAAGGAGTGTTGGACTTTTGCAGACATAGATACACCAGTACTCATCAATTTATCGATGATCATCTTCCTACTCGTAGCAAGAACATCAAACATCAAACATCAAACATCAACAACCGCTGTGAGCGTGTTCCATTTTCTGTTCGTCTATTTCGAGCAAATGATCTCTCTAGCAAATCAGTTAGACCTCCTCAAGATCCCTTTTAGTAGATCATCAGCAAGATCAAAACAATTAAAAGGTAAGACATGATGACCATTTAGAAGATCTAAACGTTCCTAGGGCGGTGAGCGAAGACGTATCTAGGTGTGATCCGACTCCGAGATCCAGACTCGCATAACCATACTAGGAACGACAAAGAATCTTGAACCATAATGATCTTGAAGCTCTTCTTTCCTTTCAACATAAGGCCCTGGCTTTTTCTTAATGTCAACAGGTCTCGACCGGAGTTAGGAGTTCCCATTTCAGACATCAACAGTTATATGTAGCTGCTATAGATAGACGCGACGGCGAGTACTACGACATACGACGAAAACGGACCCCTACGAGTATAACACCTAATCCATCATTGTTCAACAACTTAAACTTAATATGCTTAAATTCTATTCTAGAAACTAGTGCAAAATGACCGCATCCTCAAACTCTGCAAAACCCCAGAAAGGAAAGGGGAAGAACAGCAAGAGCACCTCCTCCAAAAGAGACGCTCAGCCGCCCGTTGCTCCACCAAAGCCGGCTCGGTTCGTTGTCGCAGACGACACTGGTCTGTGTAAGCTTCTGAACGCTACTGCGGAGGAGTCTAAAGAGGTTGAACAAACCTTTGGTTCTCAGGGCAAGCAACGTGGGGTCGTCTTTCTGGAGAAGGTCGAGGTCGCAGGGCAGGACAAGAACACGGCTGAAGCTGGTGAGAAAGAGCTCGATTCGAAGAAGTCGTCAAGACGTGGCATCGTGCTTGGGCGAGAATCGGGTGCTGTCGAGCTGTGGCTGTACAAGCACGTTGCCACGACATCAGCTTCGACCTCCACGGAAGACGACACTAAAAGTGAACATGGTGCAGATGATGAAGAGGATAACGGCAACGATCGCAAAGAAGAGGATGCACCTCCTAGTGACGAAGAGGAGGAGGACGATGATGACATCGTCAGCGTTGATGAGAATGGAGAGATCTTAGTAGATCCCGAGGACAGGAAGGAGCGCAATAAGGCGCTAGAAGTAGGGAAGAGTGGAGGCACAAAGAAGGGCAAGAAGGAGGACGTTGAAGATGAGGATGAAGAAGATTGCTTTAGTAGTGACGATGAGGAGGACGCAAAGGACGAGGAGAAGAAGTCCTCCTCGGTATCAAAAACAAGAAGTGCTCCAGCTCCTCGTTTCGATGATAAACCGACCTGGAGCGCCAACCTCGACATTATCCTGCACCCAAAAGACCCTACCAAGAACGAAAAGCTCATCTTCGGAGCGGTGCTGGAGGGAGAGCAGCAACTTTTGGTTTTGTCGCAGCTCGGCAATGTCTGGATTCTGGATTGTTCTTCGAGCCCCTCTTCAGATGTCAGTCGTGCCACAACGGAAGCTGCTTCACCTTCAAAGAGCAAAAACAAAGTCGTTGAAGAGAGAGTGAAGCCGACTTTCACACTTCCTGGCACATTCATCCAACCTCTAGACAAGAAATGGTCTACATCAATCAAGCCACGCAGCTGCGTGAAATCCGCTTGTTTCAAAAAACAGGGAGAAAAACACCTACTAGCTTACGGAGGAACGGACAACGACGTTCGCGTATTCGATGTGAAATCAAGGAAATTGGAGTTTAAAGCAAAAAACTTGCCAAACGACCGCTTAGACCTGCAAGTGCCTTTGCGCTACACTAGACTACACTGGATGCCCGAGGTACAATTTGAACATCATTTTATCAACTCCATCATTATTTACCAATCATCTCCTCGAGCTCGCCTAAGACCCTCCACCAACAAAACATCACTCCAAACCTACCACAGGCCTTCAATGCCGAAACTGCAATAGTTGCTGTGACGGGTGACGCTCGAGTCCGCATATTCGACACGGCAGTACAGGAGCGAGCCTTGTTTGACCTTCCCATCGTGTACAAGCGTGAGCGAAGTTCCGCGTATAGCGGATGCGCCAATAACAAGGTTGAATCTGCAAGACCAGTCCAGGCAACCTGTCTCACGTCCAAAGGTCGACTTGTCACTGGCGACACAGTTGGAAACATCGACGTTCTCGATGTCACTGGCTGTCTTAGCTATTTGAAGAGAACGACGACAGAGGATAAATCTCCTTCAACTTCACCTAAAACCTTGTTAAAAGCAGTTCCAAAAATCGGAACTCCAGCTCATTGCGACTTCGTCAGGGAGAAGAAGATCGTGCAGTACTTGGGCGCTTCCTCACCTTACGGTAGCGCCATTCGAGGACTCGTTGTGCTGCCAGAGACGCAGCAACTTGTCTGCGTTGGTCTAGGCCGCTTCGCCAACATCGCAAGAGATGCAGCAAGAAATAGACGCGTACAGGACAAGCGCATCTACCTGAAGCAAAAACTCTCAGCGGTTGTGGCCTTGGACGCTGTCGAAGAGGTTGTAGAGGAAGATGCTAGGATGAGGAGCAGCGCAACTTGTTCTTCATCATTAGCGAAGATGGAGGACATCATGATGAGTGAAGACTTGTCTGACGAGGAGGAAGAGGAGGAATATATGGACGACGAACTCAGTTACGGTTCCTATGAGCAAGAGTTCGACGACGAGAGCTCAAGCGAAGACGTCCCTCAACCTAAGAAACGAAGAAGGAATAAGTAATCTTAATGTGCATTGTCATTGATCTGACCCGCCAAGAATATGTCAGGAGGTGAAAGTCTCAACACATGGCGGGAGCACTCGACAACTAGACTCTACTTCTGCATCGTCACCCTTGAAGATTCGGTCGGACAAAATTGTAACCTTTTTCATAAGACTACATGAACTTGAAGATACCTACGTCGCTAATACGAGCTCAAGAAAGGAAGCGTAAAAACGCCTCTTGAAGAGCTTGACGTTGGAAGTACAGATAGTGTTGTTTCGAACTGTGTTCCACTTGCAAACGCGAGAGTGAGCGAATCAGCCCTCTGTTATGGAATCGGTTCTCCACAATGGGCACCATGATAAAGAAAATTCTGTCTTACTTAAAAAGAAGTCCGTATTTGCTCAATGAGTGTGAGATAGCTGCTTGCTATTGAGAAGACCCCTTATGGCAGTCTGCACTGAACTTTGTGCGAGATTAATTGCATTGCATTGCATCCACCCTTTTCTGTTCCAGTCAATTTTATGCTTTCAGGGTGGAGGTCCCAGAGAGGAGAGAAGCAAGCAGCTCGTGAAGTACGATTGGTACTTGTGAATACTGGCACTCATTTTGCTAAAGCTAACATCACTCCCTACATAGAAAATAGATCATTGTGAGCAATAGATTTAGAAGATGTAGCAGATTCATCATTACAGTTTCAAACAACAACTACTCCTCGAATCACTTCTGTTGCTATGTAATGATGCATCGGTGGCTCTCTCAAGTACATGCCTTAAGTAGAGAACGAAAAAACCTCTGTTCTTAGGTAATGAAGCATCGGTGGCTCTGTGAACATGCTGTAAGTAACAGAAGTACGATCAATACTCCTCTAGTCTCATGACCTAGACGTACCTCGAATCTCTTCCTGATTTCCAACACTTCCTCCAGCCACTCTCTCAAATTTTTCCTGCTTTCACGCTCCACAATTTTTAGTTTTCGTCCTAGTAACGATAGACGAAATTGCACGCAGTTATCAACTTCTAGTTCAACATCCTGGAATCAACAACAAATTCCTCATAAAACATTGGTTTGGAAGAAACTATTCGAAAACCCCTGTATCCAACTTGACACTTCCTCTTTCCCTAAATTTCAAAATAGTCCTATCAAGGTGTAAAAATAGGTATTGTGCTCGCAGTCGACGTAGACGAGCTTTTTATTGTACAAAAATACTGTATCTGTAACGTGTTGATGAAGAACAAATGCCAGAAGACAATCAAAACATATACAAGAACCTCTATTGAATTATACGCATATTAAACTCGTCAACTCATTTTGGCATCAATACAATTAGAATTAAGCTTCCCCTCTACTCATTGCATACTGTTATTTTCTTGGATTATCTACTTCCACTTACTTGTTTGATCTTACTTGCTTGTATCCATCGTCATCGATAAATAAGAAAACACTCCCAGCATCTAATTACGAATTAGTCGTTCTTGTTTTTGTTACTTTTTTATTATATTTACGTAGAGGAGGACAAGAACCTCCCATACAAAGACAAAGAAAAATGGTCGTTCAAACCGAAGCAGTCGGATTGGGACTGCCTCCACTTCCTCCGAGTGCCAACCTCACGCCTCGATCAGGAGTGCCAAGAAGACCTGCAGGCTCGACGGCTACGCGACCACAACGACGCCCAAGCCTCATGATCTCGCCCTTTCGGCGTCGTAACACGGTGCCTTCCATCGACATCAAGCCCAAGGACAAGATAATTATCAACACATCTGAACAGGGCACTCCGCGTCGACGACGCAGCAGTCGCTTCTTCTGCTGCATCGCACCTGATGCAAAACAAATCGCAGCAGAACTTGAGAATACGGGTGTTCACTTACTTAATCTACTTAGGTTTGATGCCTAAGAATACGAGGTTGAATTACAGATTTTTAGGAACATGAGGACGATCACCTTTCTTTTCGCTACAACAGAAAAGTGCAAAGAGATATATATCAATTTCACTGAAGTTAAAGATTCTCGAAGGAAAGTAACGTTTCTCCTTTACCAAACAACCACCAGGTGAGGAAAATGTGTCCCCCGCAGCTCAGAAGCGGTTATGTGTCGAATCCTCTGATTCTGAAATTGGAATGAAACCTCGAAGCTCTCCTACTTCCAAGAAGAAAACAGGGATCATTGCTAGTGAGGTAATGATTATGAAAGGTTTGAGCCACCACGACTTGTATTCCTGGTCCACTCTGTCTCTGTCATCTAAAAACATAAACAATTCTATTACAGTCAGTAGTAGTAGTAGTACCTCTACCATGAAGTTTTTACAGACGGTTTCTCGTTGTTTACGTTGTTCATGATTATGATTTTCATCAACATCAAAAATACTACAGGAAATTTACGTGAATGAGCTCAAAGTCGCCGCATTTTTTGGTCGCACGGCAACAAAAAATGCTACTGCCGAATCTACCAAGGTACTCATACATGTTCACACATACAGTCAAGATCTTGAAGATTGGCTTTTGCCTTTTTATAAGGTGAAGGCTTAGGTCCAGCAACGCTTAAAGCACATAAGTAAAGCAACCGGCTAGCTTTGCCTCTAATTTTAGGCTTATCCCTTCCTGCAACATACATACTTTACAGTCATTGACTTACTCAATCTCGTACCTCCTGTGTAAGTCTCTGCTCGACCTCCAAACGCGCATGATGAATAATCTTGATCTTCATTTTATTAAAATCGTCCTCACACACCATCCATGTATTTAAAAATGATGCATCACTCACACACCATTCAGAATCATCTTGGCAAGACCCTTTTGGGCAATGCGCCTGTTATGTGGGGTAAGGACCGGCCGTCCCTTTCCTCCAGTGAGGATGAAGCAACGTCGATCGACGCAAGAAAACTTAAGGCAACATGAATATTACTCGAGAGTTCTCATTTATTTTGTATAAGGAGTATATAAATATACCATGATGATGATTTTTCGATTGAAAATATTACTATCGGACTGCTGCTGTAATCTTAATCTAAATCTATGTCTTCGATGAAGATTATGTCTTGCTTAACTACCAGCTTGTAGTTCCTTTCTTGCTTCCATGCACGAATGAAAGATTTTCCACCTCTAATGCCTTTGCGACTTCGACAAAGTTATCCGCGTCCAGTACCACGGCTTACTCTGGCTCGGGCACAGAGGACGAGGAGGTAGGAGCAGCCTCTTCTTCGAGTACAGAAACCGATCAGGAAAAGGAAGATGTTGTTCAAAAAACTAAAGAAGCGAAGACTGTTGTACTAGACGAGGTGAACGAAGAGGACGTGCTTCTAAAGATGCGCAGAGCACCACTAATCCAAGTTGATGGGTTCAGAAAGAACAGCACGGTCATGCAGCAGTCCTTTTCTTTTCGTGCAGCTGCTCACTCCATCCGGTCACCTGCAGCTAGAGGCGTCAAGAAGTCCACATGTCCCACCTTCCCGCCGAGCCGCAGCCAAAATATTCGTACTCTACCATTATGAAGAGATCATGAAGCAGCAACAACTGACAATCCAACAACAAGCTAGAAAAGCCGGTAGAATTCGCAAGGGAAATCTTAGGCATCTTGCCGAATAGATTCAAATCACCATGAAGAGACCACGAACTTATCAACTTTTTTCATAAGGCTTTATTTAGCACATCGTGACCGTCTTAGACTGAGTGCTTTTATTAGCTCTAGTAGTTGATGTTGTAGTTCGGTTGTTCGGGATGCAAAGAAACTATCGTGTTGCAGTTTTCTGTTGATATTATATATCTGTATACTATGCATTTAAGTACCTACACTTTGACTTTTCTCTAATATCAGCCGCTCCGGTAAGGACAACAAGGAAGAACACCACGTCCACCTTTCTGACCATTCTTGGGTACACACTAGTGGGCATTAGCCTGGTTTCGGTTTCTTTCGTGTTGGGCGTCTTTCTAGGCACCGGGTGCTCAGTCCAGCTGACACAAGAATTATTAGGCGTCCTTTTCGTACTGACCGTTGACGTTCTGAACACCGCATCCAGCAGCCTTGCCGAAGCAGGCATTAAAATCAATGAGACCCTGGACTACTTCGCGACAGCATCATTGTCCATCAAGGTTCACTCTCCTAATTCTCTTGAGAACGGAGGAACGACAGGAGGAGAAACTACTAGAGTCATGCTGCGCTTCAGCGACTTGTCCTCGGACTTGCGACAGCAGAGATCCTCGACTGTATTCGCGTTTCTGCAGAAGTGGGGCGAAGCGGCATACATGCACTTGGAGGAGCACTACTGGCGCTCCTCGGGCTACCTGGAATCGGTCGCTGAGTACGGCTTCCTCCTTACTTGGCAGCAGTTGACCTCTGGTTGGTATGCTTGGCGCATTCTTGGAGTCCTTGCTCTGCAATTCATGTCTTAAGGCTCACCTCCGTAATTCATCTCGTCCAGATGAAGCATCTTTGATGTTATCTTTTCAAGTGCGTGGAAAATGGTCAAAGATCATGCACCTGATGAAGATGAATATCGGTCGTAAGGTCTAAATTTCCTCTGCTTTTCAAGGCGCGTGCTCGCTCTTCTGCGTGGGCTGGGCTATTCCTTCGTTTGAGTATTGGACTCTCTCGAAACCCGCCAGAGAGGCGCTCAAAGCCGCTCTCGGAACGGTCGATACCTGGGTCACCTTCGCTATCGCGCCGTTTGCGTCGATGTCTTCTTTCATCTGTATTGGGTACGAGAAGGTCGTTGACCTGGTTCTAGAATACGGCGTAGAAGCCCCCTTCCGCTTTCTTGTCAGTGACGAACATATCATGGTCCACACAGCCCTTGGCGTGGTTTTGCTCACCTGGGTCTTGCACCTAGTGTACTTCCGAATCTTCGAAACCCACCATACGCAAGTGCAGGTGCATGCGCGCGGTCGCACAACCTATGCTGCTCCATCGTGTTAGATTCGATTCCTAGTAGTAAAATAAAACAACTACAGACCGTCCTCTGGCTCCTCTGGGTCTGAGGACAGAAGTACTAGTAGATGGTCTTGAAAGAGCCGGAGGAAATAAGTAAAGAAATAATTGAACGACTAAGATTACTGTAATTGTATTCTTTAATTCTTCATATTAAGAACCGAACGCTAAAGACAGCATGAATATATTATGAAAATGCTGTTATTTCCTGTACAACGAAACTAACTCAAATAATAACGCATGCAACGGAGAACAAAAATCCAAACACATGAAAAAAATTGAACTATAGCACCAGGTGATTCATCATCATCTTGCAACAAAAAAACGCATACCAACATACCAACTCTTGTATAGAAACTCGAACGATGATAAACAGAAACCGACATAATTTGATGTACAATCCATCGATATTATTGCCTATACGTCGTGTTGGACTACCACTACTTGGCGAAAAAATACAAATATTTGAATGTTGAAGCAGAGAAATTGATGGTACATTACATACTTCTGGATAATATCTACAAGATCGTTCTTTCCACTTGTCTATCAGCTGAGATGAATTGAATCTAACTTTGTAACAATAATAGAACATCTTCACAACTAGTACAGCTATTCTGCTTTTTGTCCGTGTAACTCTTGCTAATTGTAGAAGACGAATCAACTTTTGGAGCTCGTTATTGCGTTAATATGGCTTGCTGGTTTAGTAAGTTCCTGTAACTGATATGAACAAACTAACTAACTCTTCACTGCACATCATATTACACATGAATTATTGTCTTCTTATCAATTGCTCTTAGGCCTTTGAATAAAATTTTTCTTGGATTGTACATATGCGTATGCAGCACTCTTTCTAGATATGTTAGGAGGTGTCTGGCATCAAATTATCTGTCTTCTTATTCATCGCACACACTGTTTATTCATACTTGTGATTATGATATGTATTGTCCTCTACTTCTACTTACAAAATCATCTTCAATGCTGAGAAGCAAAGTACAAACTTTCGTCATGTATTTTCAAAAAAGTAACAAACTTTGGCATCATATAAAACATACAACTCACCATACGTAGATTTCAAATATTTTCAATCGACATTAATAATCAGGTTAACATCTTCTCAACTACGAATGTACTTATGATGAAAATAACCGATGAATACAATTGGAGTAACACCACGATGCTATATAGCTACAACTAACGTCTTCATTTTTTAGCGACATAGCACCATTAATCGTCAATATTTTACATTTACAGGTCATGAATTAACCTCCAAAGCGGGCGCGGCAGCATCGCGGCGGAAGTGGTTGGTGAAGCACATCAAGATGACCTGCTTAGTTGTACAACCTGAGAGAGTGCTATTGCTACTTCCCGCGACAAAAGGAACTACCATCACGTCCTTCCAACTCTGACATGAGCGAGAGGAGACATCAGAATCTTCTGTATGAGAATACTACAACACGCATGAGTGCAACCTGATGTCATCATGACAACTCGTGGTAGGCTGTATCTGTATGAGAGTCGGTAACAGGATCTCTGTGTCTGTACGAGAAAAACAAGTCGGATTCAACGACTTATTATGATGTGGTCATGAGAGGACTATTTTAAGGAACCAGTCGGGTTCATCTGTCCAAAGAGCGATATCTGCTCTGTGAAGCTGTGTGGACGAGTCGTGTTGTGATTACGAGGATTTCTGAAGGTCTTCAAATTCTTATCCTACTCAAATTCTCCAACTATTTAAATTTGGTGCAGGATATCTTCAAACTATAATGATACGCATGTAGTAAGTATTCACAACATACCATTGTAGCGGTAGCAAATCGTATCTAAAAGAAATTGAATTTTAGAATTTACGGTACATATCTCGTTGTCACTTTGACTTCCCCACTTTGCATCTCAGTACTTTTTTTATCATCACAACTGAACTAATTTAATCTGAAAATCAGCCTTTTGTCAGAGTTAGTGAGCAGCAAACAAAAAGGGAATTAAGGACTAGCTGGACCAAGCGTAGTAGTTCTTCTTTAGCGTTACACATCAACATAGTCAAAAGATGTTCTTGCCTTTGGTATCTGCGATTAACAGCGCCACGACAGGAGCAGGCGGTGCTTCTACTTCTGCGGCCGCGGTTGTGCCCATGGCAGGTGGTGGTGCGTTGTTTGTGGGTATTTTCGGCGTCGCCGCAGTGTCATTACTTCGGCTTGTTGTTACGACCTCTGGTGGTGACATGGGAGGATCTTCGCCAGGCTCTTTTTGGTGGATGCAACCAGAGGAACCGCTTTCAGGCGTTGTCCAGCAGCATTTTGGCGTCAATAGTTTGCCGTACTACCGAACGATGTACCGATTTGTCGAGGGAGGGGTTTTTCTGGTGGACAATGTGTTTTTTTACGGCATGTTTACGACTGTCATCCCGGTCGTCTTGTTCGGAGATGAGCAGGCCTCTCGCTCCGCAGGACCGCACGTCTTGTTCGGTCTGACTCAGGCTGAATTAGTCACCGTAGGCATCTTGTTAGCCGTATTCCTTCTTTCGATGCTAGTTGTGGCCATGCTGGCTGGGGCGTTCGTTTATTTCGTATTGCTGCCGCAGCGAGCAAGGAGCTCATTGAAATCGCTGTACTTGCGAATAAGTCGCACATCCAAAGGCTTGGGTCGTTTGCATATTGTGCAGGCTGATCGAGCGCGGGAAACGTGTCAAGATGGGGATCCTTCCGAAAGATCAACCTCAACTTCCTCGTCGATTGAGAGAATTAGTACTGGATCAGCTACAAGAGAAACGCAACATCGAACTAGTAATAAAGTTAAGGCTTGTAGTAGTTCAACAAGAAATCGAAATCCATCTTACTTCCTTGTAGTTACTTTCTTGAGCACGCAGCATCGGTCTTGGGTCCGTTTTCTTAATGGATGAAAAAGGGCACGACCATGACCATGCTGCTTCCCCAGATGAATATGAATTTTGATTTCTGTTTCTCCACGTAATATCTCTAATTCTAATAAAGGTGGTCTGTTGCAGAGAGTTCCCCTTGCCGTCCATGGCGCGGGTTCCAGTGCTGCTGGCCATGTCTATGTCGCACTGAGAAAGCTGGGCAGCATGGGATCGCATATTATTGAATTGCCACTAGACATGCTACGGAGTAGCCGCGTATTAGGTCGCATGTCTGACCAGAGCAGGCCGAGTAGTATTCGTTCCGCACCTTCGGAGAAGTCCGACTCGAATCCGAATCGACTAACTACATCATCTTCGGACAAGACAACTCAAAGCAACAGGTTGTTGAACAAAGGTGCTCCACCTGGTCGGGCTGAACCTGAAGGTGAGGCGACTTCGCTTTTAGAACGGTCTGGTACCGGAAAAACTGGTCATTTGAAAAGATCCTACAGTAATCGGAGTAGTCGCGGAAGCTCAGGTCGTGGACTTGATCCAGTGCTCGAAGAACCGCGATCCAGTACTTGTCGCAGCAAAAGCCCACTACCACAACATGAACTGTCGCCGTATGACAGGAAACTGCTGATGGAGGAATTAGAACAGGATGAAAGGGAGAGTAACAGAGGACCATACCATTACAAATATGGGACATCAACCACTAAGCCTTCGAAAACGAAGAAAATCCGTCAAGCTTTGGATGTTTTCGCTGGTCCGAGGTCGGTTTCTTCCTCAGCGATGAAGAGGTCCTCTGTTTCATCCAGTGCTGAAGGACATGAAAGCTTGTTTTCTGAAATGCCCGGATCCACCCGCATGAGTATGTCCCTGCCAGCTTCCAAGACGTCGCGTTACTCCACTGCATCGAGAAGCACGTCGCGAGAGATGTCGCCAGGTTACGACGTGAACGCTGTAGCGATACAGGAAGCGGACCAAATGCTTAGACTCCTCCACAGCACCCGTCGCAGCGACCCACGCAGGGATGGACTCGAAATGCCTTCGCTCAGAGGACGAGCGTTGTATAGTACTAACCAACAGGGCGTATTGGAGTCACAAAGTCGTGGTGGAGGTGGTGGACTAAACAATCACGACGAACTGGCATCTTTCGCTTTGCGCAGTACGTTTTTAAGTCAAACTGGAGGTGGTCTTTCCAAGTCCAAGGACAACATTATTTCATCTTGTTACAGCAAGATGGACGCGAAATTGAATGCAGATCGCGAAGCAGTTTTGCAAGCTGCTTTTCAGCCAGGAACGGATCCGAAAGAGTTACTCCGACGTTTATCTTCTCTGAACCAGAATATGGAAACCCGAGAGCTCAGTACGCTCTTCTCAGATCTCTACGATGAGGTGCCGCACATAAAGGGCGCGGGTGCACAGTCATTGCTATCGGGTGGTCGAGGGGCTTTGAGACCCGCTAAGAGAGACTCGGTTGCGGGTCCCGTTCAACCTGGGAGTCCACGCGGTGGGGATGGAGGGAAAAAGTCACCTGCTATGAAATGGAAAAACGAAAATCCAGTCACAGATCGTGGAAATGTCAAGGTCGTGCAAACGATTACGAAAGCAAGAGCGTCATCTACGTTGGGCTTGTCAAGTTCGGTGGATGCGGTTCTAGGTACTTGCGATTTGATGTCACAGTTGTTCGTTGAAAAAGGTGACTACGACCCTCCTAAAACCTGGCTTATCATAATGATCCCTTTGCTGCTGTAATAATTCTAGGAAGTGACTCTCTCCACCAATTCCATTTGATTCTGATGCCCTTGTGAGTGTAGAGTTTGGTAATTGGTAGTTGATTAATATCTGACACAACTACGAATACGAAGAAAACCAATGTCTGAAAAATCTACTTCAGGTCTGCCATCAGTTGAGTGCGCAGTACAACAGCAGCAGAAGGTCCTCTATGCATCTGACGACTTGCAAAAGATGACACCTGTTTTTTCCCGCAAGAAAGAGCTTGCCTTGGAGCTACGTGAGAAAATTGCCAGAGAAAGGGCAAAAAAGGCGGCAATGCTCCAGCAATCTGGGATGAAATTCAGTGGAGGCCGCAAGTCTCGCAATAAACTGCTCCAACAAGACGGCTTTCTGGATAATAGTGTAGCTACGATCGTGAGTCAACGAACTGAAGAACAAAACTATGACCATCTTGTACACCACAACCATCACGAAGAAACTTCTCGGGATCTGTCTTCATTGCGCAGTACAGGATCAACAGGGGAAGATGGCCATCACCACCACCACCACCACGAATCACACCGACGAACCGGCATGGCTGGCGCTTCTTATCAGCCACATGACTATGATAAGCACGCATTCAGTTCGAAGGCTAAGAAGAGGAGGAAGAAAATCCTAGCCCATCGAGAGCGGAAGAGCTTCGGTGGAACACCTGCCTTCCTGGCCTCCACAGCGTCGTCGGCGAAACGTCGTCTCAGCTACAACGAGCACAATCGCAGATCGTCCTTGGCACGTGCTTCTTGCAGGTCAGCAGTCAGTTTCATTGGAATGGGTGACGATCTGTTAGCCATGAGGCGAGCGGCCGAGTCTCCAGAAGATGAGCATCTGGCTTTCCATGAGCTGGCAGCAAGGAAGGCTGCATCAAAGGACAGTAAACATGGTCACGATGTTGGTACAAGTTCGCCTACTTTGGTTCAGAGCAAGCCATTCTATTCTGGGGGGCGCGTTTTTGGACGTAGTTCTAGGACGAAAATGCAACACGTTACACGCGGTGTTGGGGGTCGGAAGCGAACGGTTTACTATGATGTGGATGATTCTGCATTCTTTCACATGTCTAGCAACGGAAGGTACTCGAATGCGAATGCAATCTTTGACACTGCGGCAGCTGAATCGAAGGCTGACGAAGATGCCATGTCGACTACTTCCACTGTACTGGGTGGTGCAGGCGGCTCTACATCGACCGTGTTAGGAGGCGCTGGAGGTTCAACCTCTACGATACTCTCTGCAAAGAACAAGCCGTTGTATTCAGCTAAGAGTGGACGAAAGATTCGTGCTGGAGAGGGAGAACAACAAGCTGGAGGAGGAGAGTTGAAAATTGAAGGTGGGCAAGACCAAGAGCCTGGTAATAAATCTAAGCATTCAACAGGAGGGCGACCGATGGTCCAAGTAATCAGTGGTGGTCAGCAGAGTTTTAAGTCCGCCGACGCAAAGCATAGCAATAGTCGCCTTGTTGCGCGTACAGCGTCAGGCGCAGCTGTGACCATGAACAAGCAGATGAACGGTACTAGTGGAGTTCGCAAGCGTGTCTCACATGGAAAACCAGTGAAATTGATGCGTGGTCTTCAGCTTAGCAAGTCATCCCCGCCGCTTTCTCCTTCGTCACTCGTAGCTGGAACAGGACGTACATCCCCATCTTCCGGAACCGGAACAGCAACAGGAGCAACTGCTATGCCAAAATTGTCGACCTCTCTTTTGGCTCTGATTTCAGGTGCCAAAAAGTCTACTGCCGCAAAACTTCCTGCCGATGTTTTTGGGTTGAGGAAGAAACAGAGAGAACAGACTGGAAATGGCACGACTGGCCAGGAAACTGGTGCACCCTCTAGTGGTCCGGAAAGCAGTGGCGGTTTTTTGCAGAAGCTAAGCGGATCAGTGTCTTCGGTCTTTTCTTTCGGAGGTAAACAAGGCGAAAGCAAAGCTCTGATGCCGCAAAAAGATGTAAAAACAATATCTACAGCCACCCTTGGTCTTGACAAAAATCGAGGTCTTGTCGATCGCGCGGTGAAGAAGGATGTTGATTCGGGTACAGACGTTGAGCCACATTTTCAAAGGGTAGAACAAGCACGTGCTCAGGCTGCTGCTACTGGGATGAAGGCTGGCGTGATGGAAAGATTCTTCTCCAGCATGGGCAACAACAACAACAACCAAGAGAAAAAGTTCGCAGCTGCAACCCCTTCTACTACTAGTGGTGCAGGAGTAGATGAGCAGTTGAGCGAGAGAGTTACTGCTAGCGAGAAAGTTACTGCTGAGCTGCAGCGATTGGGGGAGAATTTTGAGGCTCGCACTCTTTCCGCCGAAGCGCGCGCCGACGCAGCTGAAGAAAAGCTTCGCTCACTGCGGTACATGCTGAGCGAAAACCAGTCGCCATCACGACTGAAGCTTTCAAACAAAGAAAGCTTTGAAACGAGGATCGGAGCTGTCCTCATGCTCCTAGATGACACGACTAGAAGGGCGGATGTTGAACAAGAAGAGGAAGCACAACGCCAAGAACAAGATGGCGGCACTTTATCCTCTACCTCTGTTTCAACGATAATTGGTGAAGCTGGTTCTACTGTAGGAGCGACAGCTGCCGCCAACACAGCGAAGACCCCAACACTAGGCCGTCCTCGTGGTGCTGACGGAAACATCGTGATGACTGAGTCAGAGCGTCTGAATATCGTTTTTGAGGTGCATGAGCTGGAGCAAATGTATAACCGACTGCTGCAAAAGTGCAAAGCCGAACTGGAGCATCAGCGGCAACAGCAGCAGCATTTGCGGTATGTGTCGCGTGATCGGATTTCAAAATTGCAACTGGAGCTCGCTGAGGCAAATAAGCTGATGCGCCACCAATCGCCCGAACACGAGGAGAGCCATGCAGCACAGAGAATGCGCTTTCTCAGGAACAAAGTCGACCGCCTCGAAGCTGAGAGGAGAAGACTGGAGGCCGCACTTCTTAGCGGCACCTATGTGTTAGGTACGGGGTCATTTCCAGGAGGCGCATTTGATGATGTTGAAGGGCGTACGTCTCAGTTGTCGCTTACAAGCGGCGACAAGGTTGGAAGTAAGAGCAGTATCGGATCTGTTGCGACTTCAGTAGACCTACTTCCACGCAACATGAAAAACAGTAAAGACCTTCTTCTCAAGTTAGGCGAACCTTCTCGAGACGCAGCGGCTCTAGCCGAAGGAATTGCGAGAGTCGATGGATTGATCACCGAAACTGAAAAGGGATTATTGAAGGTTGTGGAAGCAAGTTCACCGGACGATGTGCTAGACAGCGAACTGCACTCGTTGATTACATCTGGGATTGAAACTTTGCAAGCGAGTGCAGCTTCACTTCGCACGGCGATCCAAGAGTTTGGGTCTTGTCGAGAAAAACTCAGTTCAGTGCTCTTCGATTTGAAACCAGCACAGAATGCGTCTATCGCCACGGAAGGCGCAGCAGCAGAACCTTCATCTGCAGCTCCCGCTGCAACGAGTCTCCGGAGTGATGCAGAGTCTGTTGCGCTCCAGCGGGGCGTCGCTGCGAGTAACTTGCGGGAACTGAGTAAGTGGCTGGACGAGTTTTATCTAAATGAGCAGAACAGTGATCGAGGCGTGCCCACGACGACCTCTGAGGAAGTTAGCAAGTTGGGTGAAGTCCTCGTAGACTCAACATCAGCTGCACCTGCATCATCGTCCGCACTGAAAAAGCAGAAGGAGCGTTTGAATCGGTGGCGTGTCAAGGAAGCTGAGTTCCTTCGCGAAGAGCAGGAAGAAATCTTGAAGGATTTTGATCGAGTTCGTGCTGTGTTGAAGTCTCGTTTCGTCTCTTTTGAAACGCGCATAGCAGAATGGCGGGTTCGATGTTCGGACGCTGCAGCTGCAGACCTCAGCTTGTTTGCAGACAAGAGTGCAGGAAATCATGGTACAACTTCTGGTGTGGCTGCAGTAGGCGTTGCTCCCTCTGCTTCCCCAGCTCGTGGAACTCCAGTGACGACCGGTGGGCATCAAGAACCTGCTTCCAAGAACGCTGCAGCATCTACAGCGTCACCACCTGGGAGAACAAATTCGTCTAGAAGTACTTCCTCACCATCCGGCTCCCCAGCACAGCAAGTTCGAATCATCGCTCCTGGCGCCAACAAGAACGCTGCAGCAGCACCCAGGTCTGCCAGTAAGGTCTTAGAGCGTGCTATGGCGAGGCACGACTCGCGACGACGAATCCGGGAACGGAAACACGCTCGTGCGCACGAGTCGCGGAACATCATACTTAGAAGGGGTCGTACTAGCAAGAACGGAACTTGGGACACGATATCGGAGTTCACAACGGAACTAGATAATTCCTCCAGATTCGATCATTACACCGCAGATGAACAAACCGATGTTCCAGGAGCTTCTGCTTCGGGAGTTGATGTTCCGCGAACAGGAATTGCTGATCTCCTCGAAGTAGCAGCAGGTCTAGGTGGACTCTATGAAGATGAGACCAAGAATTCTCTTGGTGCTTCTTCTGCTGGGAACTATGTCTCCTTTGACAGTGAAGAAGGTAGCGAGGATGTAGCTCCTGCTGGACCTGAAGCTGCTGCTGGTGTTGGCCGACCTGAAGCTGCTGTCGGCGTTCTTGGCCGACCTGAAGCTGCTGTCGGCGTTCTTGATGCACCCCAACAGAGCGAGACCTCCTCCAGCCTCCAAGTGCATCAAGAGATGAATGGCACTGTTGATCTCAACAACAGCACTCCATCCATGCGGATCCAGGAACTCGAAGAAGTCCTTGACAGGAGAATGCTCAATACTCAAGAGGACAGGGATCATGATGCGGATAGGGGTGCTGGGCCAAGGGCTGGGTCTGATCTACTCTACAACGCCCTAAACGCCCAAGAACGTGACCATTTTCTCAACCAGCCGCCATCTGGTAGTCTGATTGTTCTTGGGGCGGGAGGTTCAAGAACAGCTGCACCTGATGTAGTTCAAGCTGAAGACCGTTCCGGTGCCGCAGCTCAAGTACTAGAACCTGAAGGAGATGATACTCTCATCGACTCGACATCGCGACAGGACGAAAATGAAGAGACGAGCCTTGGAGCTAGTATGGCCCTCAACGGTGGCGATACGACAGCTGATGAAATGGCCAATACAACTTCTAGGCGAGATGACGAGCCGTCAGTAGGCAGAGTCGAGGACACCAGCCGAATTGCAAATGCGGGACATCAACCACAGCAAGAGGAGACCGAAGAAACTACTTCATCAGTGACTGCACAGCCACAGGAGCCTACAACAGCGTCTTCTATACCACATGTAAAAAAGCTAAACGACACGCAAGCTTCGACGTTGAAATTGAATGAGCAGGAGGAGTCGCTCTATTCATTGGACCATCATCATGAAGCCGATCGAAGCCCGCCTTCATCCCCGACACAGCCACTAGGTCTACAAGAAGAATTTGGCGGAGCATCCTTTATCATAGCCAACGACATGCTTTTTTTAGAGACGGTGCCCGAGACAGAGGAAACTGAAAGCCCACGCGACATCGACACCGACAATGGGAATGCCCAATCGGAACCTAATCAAGCAGTAGCTGGTATGCTTACACTTAGAAGCAGCAGGCCGTCAAGCTAAAGTGGGCTCAGGATGAAAACAAATTTACTTTTGTTCTCAATGATTTCTTTTTCTTATTCATTGGTTGGATGGTAAGCTGATGATCTTTCTCTCTATCAGCTATCTGGACTGCTTCCTCCTATCCTGTGCAAAACTTGACCGCAAAACTTATACATAGTATTTTTTCGTTCGTTCTTTTTGATTATGAATCGTATTTAGTGCGTTTTTTACATACATAAAAAGCTCATCTTAACACATAGAGGCTTTTCCGCTTTTCCGTTCTTCCTTATCTTATTTTTTGTCTGCTGATTCTGGTACTTCTACTTCGTCTAGTCCTTGACTTGTTCACTGATTATACGGAAAAAATCTTCACACGCATACCTTCCCATTGCTTTGAACCAAAACTGTAGGATTGTGTAAAAGCTGCGCAGGCAGCGAAGTACTAGCGACACTGAAAGCACGTAGCGCGCTCCCAAGAGATAAGTAAAAAGTATACTCGTGCTCGCCTTTAATCTGGTCTGTTTTTTGAGAAGAAGCATCTGATTGACTGTTGACCGAGGAGGAGGGGAATGCTGTACTTCTTGAATGGAGAACCGAACAAAAAAGTAAGAACCCTACGGTCTAATTTCTGAGTTGTAGGTAGCTTCGTGGATGTGCCTCGTGATGTCTGGAGGCAGTCGAGGCTGAGTGGATTGGCAGGAGAAAAAAAAAAGGCGACCATGTTGAAGAAAACTATGCAGAAGAATGTCTTTCGACTGAAGGTCGTGCAAACAACAAGGAGAGAGATACAGACCCGATATCGTCGTGAAGAGACATACCCCTTCGTTCTCATGTGCTCCTTTGTGCTGACTCGTTAGCAATCGTTAACAACTACGCTGTCGTCGCAGTTATTAGTAGCACATCATAGATGTAGATTTAGTAGATATTATCAAAGGAAAATCTATACTCCTTCTCCAAAACCTTAATTTTTGTGGCATCCTGCACTTGGGCACGCAAGTTATGGCTTAAACTAGATAGTTAAGTAGCTAGTTCAAATAGTTGGTTGGATCGAAGCTCTGGGCACCGGATCGAGAAGACCTGCTGGAATTGAAGGGTATCTTGTCTTTCTACGTCTGCGTGCCCAAGTGCAGGATGTTACAAAAATTAAGGTTTTGGAGAAGGAGTATAGATTTTCCTTTGATAGATATTGACCAAGTCGACGATGTATTCCATATATTGACTTCTGTTTCTCTTTATACCAGAATCTCATCTGTTCGCCTACTTATCAAAGCGAAGCAGACGTAAGAACAGGATTCACAGAATAAGAATATGGCATGCAGCTACTTTTCCGGACTCTCCTCTTGTAAGTGCAACCTTCAGAGAGGTGTCTAGTCTGTTTCTTCATCACCCGAAGAACAACAACGGATTAGCGGTCAGCTGAGCCGAGACTCGGAAGCATCCAGCAAAAACAACCATTTTTCCACCGGAGGTTGCTCATCTTCATTCATCGATGCTGTCTAGGTATCGATGAAAGTAGTAACACGTCATCTCCACATCTTTGCACTACAGCTACAATAACATCACCTGAAGAAACTGAAATCGACAAGATGGTGAGGGATATTGGTGGATCCATCCCCGACCACCAGGAGGACCGGCAGACGACGAGCACGAGCCGAGTGTGCCTAACCGAACAGAACTTCATGGACGACTACGCTAAGCTTTTAGCGTCTACAGATATCGCGAACTCGTTTAGTCCGCTCGTGTTGCCACTTGATATAAAACGTCGCGCGGACCAGCTCACGAAAATAGGCAGCTTACGGGAGCAGATGCAAAAGAGATGGGAAGAGCTACTAAGAAGTCAAGACAGCGCATCACGTGAAGATGGCAATACTGATAGCATCGAACTAAAAGAACTAGAAGGAGGACTAACCGACGAAAAAAGCGTGTTTCTGCAGAACAACGACCTTGCAAACTCGATAGAAAATGAATTTCAGGGTTTGGTCAATACTAGGTACCGTTTCAGTGATCGCTTCGAGGTGACGGTACCACAAGCTCAGATTCATCATCGTCTTGAACACCTGAGGAGCGACAGGAGCAAGGCTATGGTAATAAAAACGTCTGTCACAGTGAACTTCGGGTTCGACATCACGACTAGGGAGGGGGGCACGGAGACAGGCCCTTTTTGCACACTCAATTTCGATGTGGTAACAACTCTTGGTAACTTCTTCAGCAAGAAGAAGGACGGTATTAACTTCGGCAACTTCTTAGGCAGAAACAAGGACGAAGTTGTTGTTGTTCGTATTAGAGTACCGCCTACTTCAAGGCGTTTTAGGTGCGGAATCGCAGATTTGCCAGCAAATGACGAAGCATGTACCTACTGCTACTTTCCTTGAAATGTCGCACAGAATCTTTTCACAATATGAATAATTTTCAATTCGTTTCATCATCTTCATGAAAATGTCTTTGATGTCTACGAGCTGAGTGAGCAAGAGATTACCGAACAGATCAGAAATACGGGGACTTTGGGGCTCTTATCGCCACCTCCTGATCCAAAAACAAAATCACTTGGATTCGAAATATTTGCAACCTCGTAGACACTTTCCTTAAAAATCTATGTTAATCCAGTTGAAGAGCGTTTCAAGCCGAAACCGAAAGACAGTGGCAAAGGCTCGGAAGGTGCAGGACACAGTGGTAGTACGACTTTCATTGAAATTTTGCACTGATGAATCTGTTTTGAATCTTCTGCAAATTTCAATCGATTTCATTCATCAACATCTTCATGAAGATGTCTTTGTCTACGAGTCGGGTGAGCGAATGCCGGACAAATATTAAGCGATACGACTCAAGAGGTCAGAGATTCGGTTTCTAACTCAAGAACAAATTCTTGGATTCGTATCATTTTCATCGTACACTTTTTTTGATAATCTGCAAACTATTACAGGTCCAGACGACGCGATGTCGACTACTTCTTCTTCGGCGCTCCAGATCCCTACCATTTCGGAAATTACAACTACCAGCAAAACCGGTACTGGCTTTGGTTCTCGCATGACGAGCAACTCCGTCACAGGAGAACAGAAGAATGCAGGTCCTTCTACACGAGAAATTTTCAGTTACTTCAATAATCAGTGAAGTCGCATGGATATGGAAGAAGACGGGTTTTCTGCAGAAATCAGAACGAAAAGCTTGTTTATCCTGTTGTTAACCACAAATCGCCACTCAACCCAACCGCAGGCTCAGCCACTTTTTGTTATACTTTTCTTCAAAATCTCTATCGTAATCTTCAAAACACTCACAGACCTTCCATCCGATGCCTGTGTTACTTCCGAACGAAAGACTTGTTCGGCGCTGGAGATGGATACCGCTGAGATCAATTCTGGCATGATGAGCAACTCCGCGATGAGCGCTGGTTCTTACGTGATAGACCTTCAATGTTTCTTTCTTGCCCTTTGTACAATGATCAAGTTTTGTCATTCAGTTGGATGGAGCTGGAACATCAATTTTTAGCGAATACTTATCGAAATTGAATATGATGCACGAACAGAATTTAAGTTTGTTTCTTCCTATCATTAACCAAAAGTCCTCCTTCTTTTTTTAGCTCAAGTACGTGTGGAAAACGGCGATGCTTCCGCCTCTGCGAATGTTATGGCTATTTTCATCTACGCTCTTGCTAGGCCCACTTATGTATCTCTGGGAGACTAGTTACTTAGCAACTCCTATGACTGCAGCATACTCATTCGTCTCGCGAGATCTACACTCATTCGTCTCGCGAGATCTACGGAAACGGACGCTGTTGAATTTATTTCGTGAAGGAGCGTGACGAGTCTACTATGTTTACCTTTTTCACACTGTGCATCACTCGATCTTGCTATTTTCACCCAGTAGATCTGTCCTAATCATTCAGCTTGTTTATTTTTCTAAGACACCTCTCGGAGCGGTAAAAGCAGACAAAGACGAAGAGGGGACTCGAGATAATGAGCCTACAGGAGATTACTTTAAGGCTCTTCCGCTAGTACTTTGAAGACACTAAATACGGATCTGCTATAATTTTTAACATACAACTAGATGAACAAGAAATCTCCGGGAAATCTTAGGCAGACTGCCGGATAGATTCACATCGACAACAACAAGCTAAATTGTGCGTAGTTCTAGTTTTTGGTAATTGATTGTTAAGTCCAGTCGGTCCTCGTGGGTATTAGTTCTGTATTATAGTTCTATAACTCGTGAGATTTCATGGTGAATGCTCATTCATCTGAGTGCGAAATAATTGGAGTCAACAGTCACCAGGGAATTATCTGCATTACGCTTCCGCCCCTACACGTTCCTTTTTCGAAAATGATGCTAAATGATATACATCTAATCGTAGGCAGAAGAAATATCACAACGCGATTATTTGGGGTTCCGTCTCTGCGGTCACTGTTGTGCTCTTCTCTGGTGTCATAGTTTTCAAGGTGCGCAATAAACTGAGACGCCACTGTGCTCGCAGGAATGCTCCCCAATTTCCGGTGGCGTCTGATGATGCAGGTAAGTAAATACGGTTGCTAACTCAAACAGAAACTGTTTGATGCTCGACTCCAATCGCCGGCGTGCATCAACACTGAAATTGCTGGAGGAAGAAAGAAGAGCATGATCTACGTCTTTTGTGATTCATGACACTTCTCCAAGATCTTCCATGGTCTCCACTATCGAAACTCAACTTCATCACTACTCAAAACTCAACTTCAATCCTGACAAACACTCAATACAGCGATCGAGAGCAACCAACATCTCTTCGATGGGGCAGTCAACTACAAGTTCAAGCAGTATGGCTCCACGTCAGCAAGCAATCCAGACAGGGAGGAGTCGCCTGCCGCTGATGATCTGCCGGAAGGTGCCAGCGTTTGATACGATGACCCCCAATGAGGGGTTGTGGTTGTAGTACCTACTAACTTGTTCTATGATAGTGATGTATGATTAACTAAGATTTATACATCACAAAGAAGGGGAAGAGCTTACAGGCAGTATAGGTACAATTGGAAATGAGAAAGTCGAGGAGTTGTGGCATGACACGAAAAAGGAACCTGTTTCGTGTTCCTTGTCATTTTTTGTACATCGAAATTATACCAAGTAGCCACTAAGAAGAACTATGTTGTCCTTGTAGTTTATCTTATTATTCTTGCTCCTCTTGATGTTCTTATCCATGTTTCCTTGTCCGTCACAGCAGTCTAGCAGAACGAATACAACAATCTAGAGGAACACTAGTTCTATTCATTGTGCAAAATCAGTCGCATAATTTGTACAGAACCGAGCTCCCTCATTATGTATGCTTACTTATCTCATTTGATAGATTTAAGTATCTCTTCACAGACATAGTTGAGGTGACATCACGGTTATTAGACATGAATTGGTAGGTTCAGGGAATTGCATGCTTTCAAAGGTTTGAATATTTGGCGCTGGTACGAACAGCATTTCTACCCTTATGTATAGTTATTTGAGTAGAGCTATGGTCATGATCAAGTAGTTATACGGCAGATATTATCTACAACATGATCATAAGCCATGAACTATGATTATGAACGAAGATTTTCAACAACAGACACTGACACAGACTATGAAGTTGAAGATTTCGATGTACACTACTTATTTTTGTTTATGTACGTTGATGTAGGAGTATCAATCTAGGACGGATCATTCAACATCATTACGACGTATTTAAAACTGGAGCAAACATACTAGTAAAGGAAAATAATGGGAACATGTGGACTACATTACTACAATTGACATGTATTATATGCGGGTATAATTCTTGGGGGAAATAAACATAGATAATGTTCTTGGCACGTGTGTACAGCGACGTTAGGGATGCATTTATTATCGAAGATGTTGATATTGATACTGTTACTGACCTCTTTCTCTTCTGTTGAGCCAACGACTACGTACTTACATCAAGGCACCTCTTCGTGTTGGATTTCGAAGAATGAAAAATGAATCTTCAACAGTTCATCTTACAGAAGCAAGATGTGGGCCAAGAGAAGCATCAATTTCATCCTGAGTTAGGACCAGAATCCTCGCCACCATTGACTAACAAACATGGATTAACAAAAGATCGCAATACTAATTCAGAAATACCACGATGGATTACATATCACGATCGGTGGCGCGAAGCCGCAGCGAATCTACAAGACAGGAGCAATCTGCGATGAGATTGGCCGTAAAACCCGGGAGCCCAATACATCGCCGGCATCTCAGCCAGCTCCACGAGTAGTACCTGTCCGGAGTTCCCTAGCATGAGGGCCCTCCACTTAAAAAAGATCATTGACATTAAGCAGTAAGTTCTCAAAGATCATAAACATTGAGAGATCCCCTGAAACTTCTGGAAACTTCAAAACAAGATCTTTCAGATCCAGACACCACCACCGGTTGATATAGTTGTCTGGCATATCAGATGCATCACATTTTCCAGCGATCTACTTACTTACGCGATGATCCCTATTACTAGGATTTGTTTAACCAACCAATTCGAGAATTTCCGTCCGCGAGTCGAAGGCCTGACGTGTGCCGAGCGAGAACCCGTGATCGCACTGGCTTACACACCCGACGGTGGCCCATGGAACGAAAATCAGCTTTTGGAATGCGAATAAAGCAGCAAACAACAATAAGGGAGGAGGGGCTTCTAAAGAGAAGAGGAAAGGAGCAACCGCGACGAGCAGTGCAGTGAACAGTGTTCCACTAGAGGTCACGGCAGAACCTGCTTACAGTGTGAACAAATTCAAAGATCTGGCAACCTGTCTTTCGGTAAATTGCTTGTAGCAGGAGAAGCAGGCGGCAGTCTGGCTGTTCTAGAATAGGGGGAAGGTAGGCATTCAAGAACATTTTCAATTTATGTTTGAAGTAACTAGTTGTACTAGGAAGGGAAATTCAATTCGGATTACTTACATCTAGAAGAAAATGCCTCTTATGTGTGAACAAATGTTGTTGGTGAGAACTTCTTTTACTTCTAGAATGAGAGAAGTGCACTGGATTTTTACATTTGCGCTTTTCATTCTCTGAAAAATCATTAACCAAATCAAAGAAATGAAAACCAATTTTATCTCTACGACCACAGCGTGCTCCGTCGTCTGAAGGGTCACTCGAATGCGCCGTTGTGCTGCGGCTTTTCTTCGGGCTTGACTTAGACTTTTTCTGGTGGAAAGGACCGAACTTTGCGATTGTACGATATTTCCGCAAGCTCTAATGCTAACTTACTCACTTGGAACCATGCCCATGCGGATTTCGTGAAAGCGCTTGCACCGAGTCCGGGGATTCAGCCCTTCGTCTGCCTCGCTGGGGGCGCCGAAGGCGTCTGTAAACTTTGGGACTCTCGGATCGAGAATCGCGGGAATCAGTATGGACAGCAGGAGTAGAAAGTCCTATTTCTACCTCTGGTGCACCAGCTCAATCATTACAACGGCTGTAATGGAAGTTTTGGAACCACATCAAGTGCCGCTGATGATGTGCATAAACAAATGGTGCTGGATCCAGTAGAGACCGTTGCATGGTATCCAGGGAGCATGATGTTCGTGTCGGCTGCCGGAACAAGCGTCCGCGTCTGGGACGTTAGGAAAGGGGGAAATGACAGTACTACAACTACTATCATGAACAATTCAATTACAACTTGGAAATATTTTTTTTTGTATCGCGAGCGAGTTCCGTGAAGAACCTGCCTACAGTTTTTTTTTTGTAGTGCGATAGAAAGAATTATGGCGTTATTATTATAGTACATAGATGTTGATCTCGATCTAAGGAGGAGCCTGACCGCACAATATCTTCTTTTACCCACGACCTATACCTCCTTTTACCACAGGTCGTTTGTTGTCTTGCTTTGGTTTGTCCCACCTCATCAAGGAGCTGACGGACGTGTCGGTGTCTGAAAGCGGCGACTTCATCGTCTCTGGTTCGTTCGATCCTACGTGCCGAGTCTGGGACGCGCGATCCTACGGTCATGTCTACGCTTTTGCACATGAGAGTGCGGTTAGCAAGTGCAGCTTTGGCGGCAGCGACGATTTCCTTGCGGTCGGACAGCAGAACGGACGATTCACTGTGCGGAAGCAGTTCAAGCCAAAAACAAATCCAGATGGATCTATTTCTACGAAGAAAATCACAAAGCAGAAGAAGATTGTGAACTGATAAGTGAACAGGCCAACGCGCAAACCACTAATCCAACTGCGCAGTTAGCTTTGTGGCTTAGGCGTTGGCTTATTCACTTATCAATCAAACTACCCAAGGTTCGAGTTGTCGTGCTAGTTTGAACTCAGAAACAAGCTCAATGGGCGGGTCTTCTCACACAAAGTCAAACTCATACTTACATAACATTCTGCTCATACTCATACACATGATTTCTTAGCTTATCCAGATTAAATCAACGATTAACACGATGGAATTCCGATAAACGCAACAATTGTACTACAGTTGGAAAGTTCTTCTCTTGATTTGAAGTTAGCAATTATATACTCTTGCTCTTGGTAGCGGTCTTTTCCATCAAAGTCGCAGTTTGAACTTAATTTATGCAAGTTAGTAACAGCAGGTCGGCGGAGACGGAGTTTGATTGTCCTTTATTCGATAATACGCCACGCAGAAAGTAGTTCAACGCAACATGTAAGTAGCAGCAGATTATTTAGAAGTTTGTTCATTGTCTTTCTTCGTCGAGATCGAGAAGCAGAATATCGACGATCAAGAACTTGTCAACATTGTCAACAAGGAGACTAGAAGAAGCTATGGGGACATAGATTCAGGTCAACGAGGACGAGCGAGTTACCAACTGAAGCCTATCTACATGAGATATTGTGTTCTGTTGATCTGACAATGAGAAGGTCTTCGTAGTTGTTTATCCTCCTTCTCGGTTCATACCAGCAAGAGAAGTTTTCTGGTCGTGGACAGTGGTCTCATATCAGAGGTTGCGGTCTTAAAGAGGGGATTGGGAGGGCAGTTGCAGGTTTATCTGGGCCAGGCTCGATAATACCCTGCCTCAAGAAGATCTGTGGAGGCTGCACGCTTATCAGCATCACTCTATCCCTACCCCTTGTTGTCCAACTTAAACATTACCCTGCGATCTAAGGACTATTCCCTCACTTCTTTGTAAATCGCATATTTGGGTTTAGTTGTGTTTAATGTCCAACCGAATGGTCGTGGACAGTGGTCTCATATCAGAGGTTGCGGTCTTAAAGAGGGGATTGGGAGGGCAGTTGCAGGTTTATCTGGGCCAGGCTCGATAATACCCTGCCTCAAGAAGATCTGTGGAGGCTGCACGCTTATCAGCATCACTCTATCCCTACCCCTTGTTGTCCAACTTGAACATTACCCTGCGATCTAAGGACTATTCCCTCACTTCTTTGTAAATCGCATATTTGGGTTTAGTTGTGTTTAATGTCCAACCGAAGCCTTCCTTGTAGTCCTTTAAAATAGTTCATTCTACTGTCCCTATGTGCGCATGTAGACCATACTTGCTATTATCGCCGCCACCACCAGTAACGTCATCCATTGACCACTGTCGATCTCCCTTAGACGAACAACAAGATGCAAGCATCAGGGGTTCAGCCTGGCGCGTCGTTTGGTGGCGCGACTGGATCGAGTGCAGTGCCGACAGATCCATCTAACGGCACAATGGCTGGCGCATCCATACCAGCACCAGGAACTGATCAACAGCTAGCTGCCGTGCCTCCTGGTGGCGCTCTTCAACCGATTGTGCAATTGGAGGAGAGACAAAATCGAACTGAATCTAGCATGAGCAGGATGCATGAGCAAGTGATGTTTCTAGCCCATAAGATGGATCGGCATGATTTCCAACTGGGGACTTTGACTGCGCAGACCAATAATCAGGTATTGAATAATTTGAAACTACTACTGACTGGCGGTCGTAGCATGCTCCTTGTTCATGTTCATCGTGTGTCGTTGTTGTGGAGAAATCGCAAGCGCATGTTGAGTTTGACTACCTACAAGTAGAAAATCTGAAAGTATTAACTCCACCCAAATGATATTCCACAACAATCATCACCTCATCAACCTCACCTCAGCGTGCCCAGCCGATCATCATCCAGAACCACGCTAGCAGTAATGTGGAGAACACTGCACCCCCAGCCCAGCCCTCTGGCGATCCAGCCTTGACTGGACTGACGCTCTTTCTGGACAACATGCTATCCGACATGCGTAGTTGGTGGAGATCACCGTTGAATCGGTTCTGCGTCTACTGTGCAGGAGGGCTAGGAATGTACCTGCTGCAACAGCGCATGCAACACTCGTGGCGATTGGCGGAAATACAAAGACGAATCGATGCCAATATCATGCTCAAAATGTCCCAGTGGCTGTCGAAAAATATGGACTAAGATCATCTTCTGGAATAGTGAAGACAGACTGAGACTATGTGCATGATCTTGCTGTTGAGCATCAACTTCAACAAGATATTGACGCAATTACATGTCAGAGCAATTTTTTGATTTTCCTTCCTTCTGCATGGCCGCCATACATTGGAGGTGGCATTTGATGCACAGAAGAACAAGATGAAGTGCACTTGGCCACGCAACTTTCTTCACATTGTATCTCTACTTCTTCTTGTTGACGCAGATATTAAGAGGACTAGCTGATCACATGACGGACACGACGATCCGAACACTGTCGGATGAGCCTCTCTGTCCTCTGTACCAAAAGGGAAAGAAGTAGACTAAAAGTGTGTACAAATTTGTCGTGCTGCGACATAAAACGCAACAACTTGCACCACCTCTTGCTAGGCACATTCATTCATTCATCACCCATCAAGGAGCAAGAGGGAAAGAGACTACTTAGAAGAGATTCTTCAGGACGAGGAGAAGGCCATAGACAGCTGGTCTTCGAGAGAAGCGCTCACATCCCAGTCTATGAAATTTCAATTTGCTTTATTTCATGAGGCTGGTGTAAATGAGTTTCTAGTTGCACATTGTCGAGCCAAATAAACTAAGTCGCAGTGGCTCTTGTTCACAAACAAAAAATGAAGTAGCTTCACGGAATCTCATCACCAACAAAATGAGCAGCCCATCAGATCCAGTTACCTCTTCGTCGTCCCATAGTGGCACCGCAGCCGCTACGAGCCCGGACGCGTCATCACTGCTAACGCCGCGCGGTGCTTCTACCAATCAAACAGGATCATGTGGCGCTGTGGACGGAGGTGGCCCCGACTCGCCTGCAGATACGGATGCTGCGGAACACCGTGATGCACTGCAGCGATGTTTCGCAAAAACGGAGCGTGCAGTAGCAGATCTGGCCAAACTAGATGTCGCGACGCAAGCATTCAAACGCAGGTACTTTTTTGTTGAGATGTTTAATATGGGTCATTCGTTCTTGTCGGAAAAAGACACTATTGTCGTGGTTTACAGCAAAAAACGGTTCTAAATCAATCATGCAGGATCGCCGAAAGTTCACTCCTTGATGGTGTCGGTCAGCTCGCGAGACAGCTCGAGCAAGCTGTTCATGGATTGCGGCAGCAACAATTGAACGAATGCTTCACGCTAAAAGGTTCTACCACGACATCAAAGAACGACGACTCAAGAACACCAGATTCGCTAGACCTGCTCACACGTCTCACCACCTTAAGTGCACAATTGAAGACGCACGATGTTGCACCGGGAGACGCTCGTTGGGCGAAATTTGCTGGTCTCGTTGACGTGTGCGTGAGGATAGTGACGACATATGATCCAGCGAAGCAATCCAGTGCGTCGAGTTTGTTTCTCCTGCGTAAGACGCCCGAGCTTGGAAGGAGCGTGGAGAAAGAAGGCTCCTCGTCGACCAGTCGTGGAGGAGCTGGAAAAACAAGCTACCTCCCGTCAAAAATGTCATACACACCTGGTGACTCGCGGGCTGGCAGTTTCGGTACGAGAACTCCAGGCACTGCTAGAACTCCAAGTGGGCTATCTACTTCCGCAACACCAGGAGGAGGTAGAGCAGAATTGAATGATCAAGGCACCGCAGGTAGTGGCGCAGCGCGGAATAACAAACCTAGCCTAGCCTCTACTAGACGAAAAACGTGTGTCGGCAGTTTTCGGTCGACGAACCATGGTGAAGCGGCGCTTCATTCGTACATGAATACAGCACAGCTACACGAAAACGTCCGTGGCTCAACGTCTAGTAGCACCGCCTTTCGTGCTAGGAGATATACTACAAATGCGGGTCGTGGTGTACCTTCGAAGTCTGGAGGTAGTTGTGGTACTGAAGAATCTTCTTCACATGCTGGTGCGAACAAAGACAGAAGTGCTTCTGGTTCCTGGACAGGCTCTTTTGCTTCCGCGAGTGCTGCTGAAAAAAGAGTCTCCACTGCACGTCCTTCCCTCGAGGAGGGTTTTTACCCTTCTGCGAGAGCGACTGCGCAGCTGTTCAATAATCCGTCCGCGGTCTGCTCTCCAAATCTCTCTCGCCAAGCTACAAGTACTAGTTGTCTAGGGAGAACAACCTCACGCTCTTCACAGCAAGTTTCGCTTAGTTCCCACTCCTTCGATCCTACAGTAGCGCAGTATTCCCCATGCTTGACCTTTCGAAAAATTTCGCCTGGTGCAGGGTCCTCAAGCGGATCTTATGTGCGGCCCAAAGCAGGAGCTCCATCTGGCGCTACGTTTACTGGCAACAACGTCAACGCACTAGCAGCTGGATTTTCTTCGCCTAGTTCCTCCTCAACATCCTCTGCGCACAACAGACATTACAGTTCACCGTCTTATTTCTCTACTGATCCGAAGTATCGCAAGAAGACGACGGTGCGAAACTACCAGCTAGCAGCCGCACGACGACGGTTTGCTGCTGCGCAGAGAACGGCGTGTGAGAAGCTTTTAGAGCCTTTCGGACGGAATCGACCGGTGAGCCAATTGCTGCAACCGCTACTCTTGGCAGGTTTTTCGAAGAACAACAACAAGAAAACTAGTACTTCCTCTGCGAGCAACAAGAACAAAATAGGCTTCCTGGCTGCTTTGCACAAGATGTCGTTAGATAATGCGGAGCGCACTAGAATGGCAGTTTTAGCTGCGCAGAATGGCGATGCGATTGATTTTTCTGCTGGTGCATCATCTTCCAAGCAAGTAGATCCAGGACGAGGTCTACAACTACTCGACACAAACGCTGGGAAATGGCAGTGTCTTGCCAATATCGAGTTTTTGACACTGCAGATGGAAACATTGAAGAAGCGACAGAGAGGGCGTAACAAGAGTTCTAGAAATGGTACTTCTAGTTCTGGTGGATCCTGCATCATCGAAGAAGCCCTAACTGTGATGGAAGAGGTGATCGAATCCGTGAAATCATCTATGATCACTGCTAGCACAGATGAGAAGATCATGGACGACGGTGTTCATTCTTGCATTCAGCAAGCGGCACATTTCACCTCCGCTGTAGCAGCCGTGCGCGAAATCACAAGCGCAAGAACCACAAATCAGCAATACCTTTCCGATAGTTTGACAAGGTTGAAAGACGCCGTTGCAGCCTTCGACGCCTATGCAAGAGCCTTAGTTGCTGGAGCTGGGTCAGCGATTGAGACAGCTTTCATCTGCGAAGTTGTTCGAGAAGCGAGAGCGCGATGTAGCAAGTCTGCAGGTCCTAGTGGGGGTAATGCTAATGGCGCAGCTGTAGATATGTCAGCGGCCTTGGAGATGTTGGTAGGTGACAGCGAAGAGATAAGCGCGTGGCCGATTGAGAAACGTGCAGAACACGTGACGGCATTGTACGATGTTGCGATGACCTTGTTGGAAGACCAGACGAGACTACTCAGTAGTCATGAAAACGACTGTTCAGAAGATGCGGAGGATTACGAAAATAGTAACGATGTGGACTTCGTACTTGATATCTCCTGTGAGGATGACGCCGGTGAGTTGCTCAGCAGTCCTGGCGGACCGCGTACATCTCCAAAGAAGTGGTCTCCAAAAAAGAAGTCTCCAAATACAGAGCAAGTGGATTCTTCCTCTCCAGGATCTCCCACCGCTATTAGAAGAAGCCACGCCCTCGTCGAACAGACGAAGCAGATCTCTGTCGTTCTAGAATCTTGGTTCTGCAGTACGTCCTTCGCTAGAGCGGAAGCAGTACGCCTACGACAGGAAGCAGCGGAAAGCATACGCGCAAATGCAGATAGGTTTGACGCCATTCCACTTTTGTTCTACCTGCATGATGTTACAGAGCTCCATCGCCGCGACAAAGCAGGTGACAACAACTCAGATGATGCGACGGACGAGGGTGCGCTAGACGTTGGCACGGTATTGGCTGAGCTGTTCGAAGAATGCCTAGCGTTGCGCGATAGTGTGGTCTTGCATAGTCAGCCTCACGTGAAGGGGGATACATCTACTTCTAGTTCTACATCTTATAGTTCATCATCATCCTCGTCTCCTTCTGGTAAGAACACCTTGGAGGATGAAACTGCATTAAGCTGGCTCGAGAAGACCGAGAAGAACTTCCTACACGCGGTCGAGACGGATATTCTTGGCGGACGACGGGATAACTGGGCCGATTTGTGTCGTGGCAAGCTCTTTCCGAGCACTACGGGGCACCAGCAAAACAAACTTTCTAGAGAGGTCCGCGCCTTCTTCGCGTCACTTTCGTGTGCGGAAAAAGGAGCGCTCTTGGACCACGTTTGTGAATTCAACGAGGGTCTTTCGCGCACGATCATGCGACGGGAAAGTGCACAAGAACAAAAGAGAGAACTCGCAGAAAACATCGAGCGCTTGACAGCGGAAAACCAGCGTTTACGCGATCAATTTGCGAAAGAGCTCTACACTGCGACTGACACCATCATGGGCGCCGAGGTGGGGTCCTCTGCAGCAGGTGCAGGAGCACAATCAACAGATTTCTCAGCACTTCTAGAGGCCAGTCCACCAGCGTCTGGCTCCAATATTTCCGCAAGCCTGGTTGAGATAGATTTCCCAGCTGCTATGTCACGCACCTCCAGTTTAGGACAGACTAGCAATAAAAGTGGAGGTGCTGGCGCTGGAGGAGTGCTAAACACTTCAGGGGCTGAAGGGACAGCAAATGTTGCGGATGTGAGCTTCACGAGTGGAGGTGAGCAAGATGGAACACCAAAACTTGCGTCGGCGCACCTACAGAACAAGGTAGCGTCGTTTATTGCACGTCTGAACGCAGGTGAAGATCGGCTGTGGCAGTTGCAAGCTGTGGCTGCTCGAAAGAACGAGAACGATTCTCAAAGCGGGACTTCATCTTCCGCTGCAACAGCCACGGGCACAACTACAAAGCAGCTTTCGCATGAAGAAAATCTAGAACTGATGGGCCTTCTTTTAGATAGCAATGAAGCTCTCGAACGTCGGACTCGCACACTGACCAAAGAACTCAGTGATATTTGCAGTAAAGCGCAGACGAGTGGTACCGGTTCTGGAAGTGCTGGAACAACAAGTTCATCATCCGGTAGTGGAGAAGCTCCTCTATCTCTCGGAGAAAGCGTCAAGGATCGGAAGCAGAGATTGACAACGCTTCTCAAGAGCGTTGAGAGGGGCGTCTCCTCGGCATCCTGGGTCCGACGTAAAAGTAATGCAACTGGTGGAGGAAAAAACACGGGTGGAGGAAGTTCTAGTTGTAGCACCAGTGGTTCTGCTACAGCTTCTTCTCCTTCGGCCGCAACCGCATCAGAACCTCCTGTCGTGGATGCAAGACAATCATCTGCCCTGCCGCGAGCGCGCAGTTCCCTCGAAGATTTGAGACGATCTGCCACTGTCGATGAGATGCGATCTACTTTTCAGCCTTCGACGGCGTCGACAGCGTCTTCCTCGAACAGTGTTTTGCTGGGCCACCCGGGACGAGAAACGACTTGCATCAGCAGTGTAAGCACCACCGCAGATATCAATGACTTTCTTGCAATCGATAAATTTGGACGACCAGGGGGTACGTCATTGCCAGAGAAATTGAAAAATGCCAGTGGTGGCGAGCAGTGTTTTTCCGAGGATGACAAAACAGCACGAGAAAGTGCAGTCGTGTCAACCACTGCAGATGCACTCCTGACATCACCAGCAGAGCGACTTATCGGAATCATGTACAATCCTCTATCTTCCGGGATTACGATAAGGGATCCGACGAGCGTAAGCGGTGGTGGTTCTTCTTCCTCATCGAGACCTCCTGAAGCAATACACAAGATGGGTCGTGCTACAACTACAAGTATGACCAGCGACAGAGTGTCATCCTCTTCGTCATCTTCATCCACGCAATTTTTCGTCCTGCCACGTGAAGTGCAGCAACTTGATATGCAGGGCGCTCCTCCGGGTGAACTAGAACCTGTGGCTCTGTCCGCCAGAACACACTTTCTCGAGAGTAGCTTTTCCTCTCCGTTCCGTGCCTGTGAGGATACCGCGGGATTCCTTTGTGCGTTTCGAAATGATCATTGGGTCTTTGCTCTTCGAGGAGACCACGAAGATGCTGGAAAGCTTACATCAACATTAACTGCGAAGACGTCAAGTACTCTCACCAGGATGTCTTCAACATCGTCTGCATCGGAATCGAGATCACATCAACTTTCGTGGTTGCTGTTTCCACTTGCAGCTCCTTCTTGTGGAAGTTCTAGTTGGAGTTCATCCTCTTCGTCGAAATCAACATCCCCGTCTTCAACAGCAGGACCTTTTTGGGAGTACATTATCGAATCTGGATCGAGATCCATAGCAGAAGTAGAAGATGGCATTCTCCTTCCACGGACTGCAGCAGGCGCCGTTTCGAAAATGTTCGCTTTTTCGAAGCACCTTGGTGATAGTGGCGAGCTTTCTAAAGGTGAGGAACCTACTGTTGCTGAAGAAGCGATGCTCGAGACGACTTCTATTGTGCAGTCTTTAGTAGCAGGCTTCCAAATGGGAATAGCAGGCACGGGAGAACTCGGAACAGGAAACGGAGACTTCATGGAAGCGCTACAGCGTGAAAAGCGTCCGCTATCGCTATTCTTTTTTGTCGACCCGGATGCATTCCAGTTTGCACAGCGTCAACGAGAACTACAACGAGAACTCGACTCATCGCCAACATCTCCGTTGAACATCAACAACTTCCTACTTGGAGACGATGGTGCCCCATTACCAACCTTTGGCTCATCGTCTTCGTCATCGAGCTCTGCTAGTGCGGCTGCTTCTGCTAGTGCAGCAGCAACTTGTGGACGTCTCTACGTCTGGGTAAGCTCAAGAAGCAACGAGCTGAGTAAGCGGTTTTCTGGTGTGTATGCGCGGAATAACCATCCTCTCTACCCTTACGTACTTACGTTGGAAGAAAGCCCGACGAGTTTGCAAGCGAAAGGTTGGACCGCAGCTGACGCGAAGAAGCGAGCCATCGGCTTGGTGCCTCATCTCGCTAAAGTTCGAGATCAGCAGCCCTCCTCAAGCTCGACATCTTCTTCTTCATCTTCAGGAAATCAAGCTCTCCCACGAGCTACATCTTCTTCACCTGCAAATAAGAGTACTAACATCACACGACCTTCAACATCATCCGCTTCCTCGATCCGTTGGTACATCGCGGAAATCGATGTTTTGGGGTATTCTCCGGATCTCAATATGCAACCAAAAATCGATATCTTGTCGGAAACACCAGTCTCAGCTCGCAACGCACACGTACTCTGGCTCGATATGGAAACTAGCATGGCGAGCAATGGGTCGTCCAGTACGACATCAGCAACAAGTTCATCGTCTGGAGCGCTGGATGGGGATAAGACTAGTGATGCTGCAGGCACCACAGGCAAGCTTGGTCAACAGAATACAGGAACTACATCTTCAACAGGAGTTGTCACTAGAAACAGCTTTCTCGGTGCGCACCGCTGGAATCTCCTTCAGCAGTACTACGGACCACGTGGTCTGTTTTCGGAGTTTCGACACAGTCCACCTGAGCAAGCTGCAAAATTGCCAGTCTACTCTCCGTTCCTTGAGTACCGAAGTCGCGAGTTTTTCGATTTGTATACGGTCTCTGTCGGCGTTTTCACCGAGGAGGAGCCGTGGTTGCGGTATATGCAGGACTTCGAATCTGAAGCTCGTGCTTGTACAGCGCAGTTGGTGCAGAAAAGACTGAAGCCCGCACCTATGAGTAGTACTCGAGGAAGTGGTACTAGTGGAGGCAGTAGTTCATCCTCATCTGGTACAACCTCCTGTACTCGGGAGAAGCGAACACCACCCGCAAAAATGTCTGAGGCTGACTTGCTGGGTGAGGAAGAAAGCGGCAGGAGCCACCAGGCGCGAACTTGCTTCGGAATGAAACTCTGTGAACAACCGAGTGTTTCTTCCTCTGGAAAGAAGAAGAAGAAGAGAAACGGAGCTGATCAGATGATGACCGATGTAGGAGAAGGAGAGCAGACTGCTGCAGAACAACTACAGTCGGGGACCACAGGCGGTCGGAATCAAACGCGACGTGAAGCGCAAGATGCGAATATTCGTTCTATGGATGCCCTGCCTGGTAGAGACGAACTGAGTTACAGTACTGGGACATCACTTGCGGACAGGATTCAGCAGGTGGCGCGAAGCACTTCTAATAGGCGGGCCGCGATACAACCGATCATTCAGATTTCAGCAAACCCTGATGACTGGAGAGATTACCTCGGATGGAAAGCCCGCGACCTCTTTCCCCCAGTAGCAGCGACACAAGCGAGCGTCAAAATCGGCGTCAAAAGACGTGCACTATCGAAATTCAACGGAGTCTACAAAAGGGTGGAGCTCTTCAAAGCCAGTTGTAGTTCTACAGAAGGTGACGAACAAACACAAGAAGCTACTTTGGTGCCGACGCCTCCACCTATTTTCATCCAAGTAGAACAAGAATCCTCATCAGCATCTAGTACGTCTCCTCAACAACCACCTGGGCAGATGAGCAATCTAGAGTCTTCACCTACCACGCCGTCACCTCAACAGCCAATACAACGAGCTCTATTCCCCTTCTACGGTTCAGAAAAGAGCGATAAGATCGGTTGGTACCTATCAGAAGTGAACATGCAACCTTTAATAGAATCGACGTCTAGATCAATTCCTTCAGCTTCAAGAACTACGTCGTCCTCACCGTCCACATCAAACCCCTCATCCTCGAGTGAACCTTGTACTTTTCGTCCTTATTCTCCGAATGCGTATCATCAACCTGTACTGCAGAACTTGAAGAGCACAATGGTGTCAGAAAACAGTCACTACACCTTTGTCCTCGAGAACGTCGAACTTGGAGGCACGCAGGACTGGTTCGCACTCACGCAGCACTGGGATTCTAATTATGTTGACAGCAGGTGGTGTACATGTACAAGAAGAAACGCAAACGCGGCTATCTTCTACTCGAGGTCAATAAATATTCGTGAAATTAGTGTAGTGGTTGTTCTTGTTGTACTTGTAATGGTAGGGGTAGTAGAAGTGGATGTGCTTTTCGCTTTACTACTTGAGGATCCGAGACAGATGCTCTCCTGAGCGAATGTTTTATGAATCTTAATCATGGCGAAGGCGATCTCCTCTTCTCAAGCTGTACGGCTCTGGTATTTGGTAACCTGAATTTGATCCTAAGGGAAAACAAGATACATAATATCAGGGAGGACCACTTTGGCGCACTTTCTCAACTCATGTCTCGGTTCTAACTCCTCGGTCGTCCTCTTCCACTCCACGTATCGAAGACGGTGGTATCTCCACGATCCTTGCCTAAGAATGGTCAGTATGACGGACAGCGTTATGCGGAAAGAGCTGCCAGCCTCCGGGAGATGATGGGATTTGTCACTAAAGGTTGGGTACGCATAGACATTGAGTTGTCATAAACTCAGGACATCTCAGACTCAGGGGGACCTACTGCTGCTCATTCATACATTCATTTTGGTGTCAGTAGTAAAAAAAATTCATCATATTTATATATAATTTGAGGGTAAAAATTCTTCGTTTTGGTTGAAGACATCTGATAACAAACTCATGAATAACACGCTGGAGATGAATCTGAAACACAAAGTAAAAGATATATTCCTACACAGGCATTGAGATCGGAATTCACACAGGCATTGAGATCGGAATTCACCATTTACTTACCAAGGAAACCAACAAGTAGACGCACCAATTCTAAACGATATGACATTCATGAGTTGTGAACACGGTATATACACGGGGAAAATTTTGGCTTTTTCAACAGACTTGGGAACGAACACAGACATCTGGACGTCGCACGTACTAGAACATGGTGCTGAAGACAGGGCCAGGGGGAAAGTGTAATATATAAATTTGGATTGATTTCATCGAGTTAGAGAAGCTGTAATACAGAACGAATACGAGGACAACCAAATGAATCGCATTTGGATACTAGAGGAACAGTTCTACTGCTGTCGGCGTTGTTTGCATCACTCAAGGAGTAGCTGCAGGCGTTCGTATATGTAGTATAGCACGACAGTTCGCCAAGGATCTCGATCTCCCTCTTGTAGAATATACGGGTAACTAAGGTGGAGGGGTAGCGCTCCTAATATTGAGCTCGTCTGAGTCTTTTTTTTACCAAACCTTGGCTTGTAGCTGTATGTTCGTGTTGTGGCCTCTATGTTCGCTCGATACATGTGTTCTTCGACTACCCATAAAACAAGCGAGGATGGTCATGATCTGTACTGAGGAGTTACGTCGAGTTGACCATCAAAAAAACATCTGTTGATCGAGAGCCAGAGAGAGAGAGAGAAATCGCATTCTCATCATGTGTTCCAACAAGATCTGTGGCGAGCGGATTAGGGAGTCTCCAATATTCTCACATCAGAGCTCTGACAGTGTCAATGTCATTCTTACCTTGCTTCTCTCTAGTCAACATCATCATGTTCTTCCCATTTCCTGTTCACAAAAACAGGGGATATTTTGAACGTCACCTCATTTTTCCGATTACATTCTACCCATTTGCAATCTTGACAGTTGAAGTAGTTGGTTTGGTAGTGAGCTTGTGCAAGTGTATAATATTAGTACAATTAAGTGTAATGTTTTATTCGCACAGTAAATACTAGAAATAAATTTACAGATTAATATTGAAAATTTGGGTGAAGTAGAGGAAAATACGTAGAATTGTAAAACAAGATCTCGAGCTGTTTCTGTATTCATCCTACTCCACCTAGGAGGTACGTAGCTAGTGGAATTGATTAGAACAATAATTTTTCAACTTCTCTACTAGTCGAGTCTGAGTTTTGGTTCTTTAATTATGTCTCTGAATGTGAATGTTGGAATACTGAATTGCATTTTTGACACCTGTAAGGCTCGGGTGGATGTTAGGGTACGGGTCATTTGATGGACGCGAAGGCAACCGATTGCTCCATCTTATCAGACTCCTGTCATTACACGAACAGGTAGTACTAGCAGTATTTTCAGGTTGAGTTACAACTAGTACTGGATTTTTGGTGCAGCTGCAACGATTTTTCCTTCATTATATATATTCGTATTCAAGAATTTGAATTTACTTTTTCGTTCAATTGTTCACATTCACATTCATCGTAGTTGTAGTTGGTCTAAAATAAACCGAAGATAGCATGAATCAACAAAATGTTCGATTCTTCGTACAAAAACGCGCAGCAGTCTCAGCTTTTTTTTGAGTTGCGCAGGGCCCAAGATGATGCTTCAGCAGCAAAAGCACGCACCACCGCGAAGAACAAGGTCTCGCCTGGGAGTGGGAAGATGCAATTGCAGGCCTTCGTGATCTTGCGTCCCTTGGACGACGTCACCGCCTTTGATGGCGATGTTGTGGTAACCAGCACCAACGCGTGGCTTCAGGGCATCAATTAAGAGTAGGTTAAAGGTGCTTTTGTTCTTACCGCTTTTTATGTCTCTGTCTCCTAAGGGAGAAAGGCATAACAAGCGGGGTAAGTTCCCGCGAGCACCAAAAGGCTACCTCTAAATCAAGAACGGTGGGCTTTACAGCGTATTGGACTTTCCTACTGGTGGAGCAGATGCCAAGTTGCATTCGTTGCACCCAGATTTGGCCGTTAACTCGAGGAAAGCCTTGGTGGCGAAGCGTGACCGGACGAAGCGCAGACTGCGTAGAGAAGCAGATGCGGTGAAAAGGGGGGAAGTGGACAAAGGAGCTTACCAACAAATGCTGACACCCAGAGGTGGTGGCTATTACGCCAGAGCAGAAAGCAATTTTTCACCAACTCATCTTGGGAGTGGTGGAACGCAGTCGCAGCAAGCAAATCATGCAAATCATGATTTGTATACGCCACGTTCCGCCATCAGTCAACGCAGTGACAACAACTATATTTACGCTAGTCCCGCGGTTCTGACGCCAGTAAGCTCGGTTCAGGCAGATAATTCTACCGATAATGACGACGAAATGTTCAACGACAAAACCAACAGTCGGTCAATAAAGCAACAGCGGTTGGCGAGTCCAAGAGATAGCGATAACAAGAGCGGCAGGGGTGGAACGGGAGGCAAGAACCTAGGTCCGAGAGCAAATAGTTTAGATCCAGCAGCTCGGGGCATGCATTCTCCACGAGGGGAGCGCAGTGCAAGCAAAGAAGTGAGTCGGCGGTCAACTTTGGACCCAGCGGCCTTGGGTCATGGAGGGGGCAAAGATGTGACCCGCCGTACCACACTGGATCCTCAAGCGCTGATGGGTGGTGCCAGTCCTGCAGTAAGTCGTAGCGCGAGCAAACAAAGCAACGTGTCCAATAGGAGCAATAGCAAGACCAGTAACGTAGTCGAACAGCAGGTGTCGTTTTTGGAGAAAACAACCTATGCGCCGAAACCAACGAATCACGTAAGCAGTCGTACTCCAAGTCGAGGAAACCCGAATTTTGGACATCGAACACATCACAACCAAGTAGAAGGGAACCACAAAACAGCGCTTGCTTTTGCTAGTACGTCTAGTACCTGTAGCAGTGAGGACGACGATAGATTGGATATGATGTCCGAGATGCCTTCAGATTGCACTGCTCCTGGTCGTTTTGACGAACATATGGAAATAATGCCACTGTTGATGTTGGACAATGATAGTAGACGTACAGTTGTAAGACCACGATCATCAGGTAGTACAAACTCAAACAGCTGTGGTAGTAGTACAAAAATTTTATCCACTTCCACGGTTGGAGGAAAAGGAAGCACTTTCACTTGTAAAACGGGTCGTGAAGTAGTGGAGGAGTCATATCTCTCGCGTCTTACCCTTGGATTAATGCCGAGCACGAGCACCTTTATAACGTTGTACGAGGGCAGGCACGCAGAGCCAGGCAGTGTTACGGCTCACCACATTGACATCGCATTCTCCACCTCCATTCTTCTTGGCCTTCTTCTTATAAATGAAAAAAAGCAGGTGGTCATTCAAGAGAGATCATCATCATGTTCTGAAGAATGCAATAACTCATACGTTCTAACATCAGTGGCGGAGTGGATACTAGTCGCGGTTTTGTATCGCCACGACTGTCTCCTAATGCTGACCGAAGTCCAGTCAACAGTCGGCAAGTGAGCAAGCAAAGTGGGCGATCTTCCAACTTGGACCACCTACTGGACGACGGCTTGCCCTGGGACAACCCGAATCACCCGAACAACAGGAAAAACGAGCAGGACGAGCTTAGGCCCAAATTAAGGCTAGAAGAAATCCATAACTTTCTCTGGCATCCTCGTCCCGTTTTTAAAGGGAAATAAAGGAGCCTCACGATGCTGCTGAAGATGGATTTCTTCTACCTCTAACCAAAGGCCCAACCGTGTATCATGTCAAACACAGGAGGATGGTGAAGCCGGGCTTGGGGGGAAGACCTGACGATTCGGGGGAAGCGCCGGACCACGATATGATGGATCACTTGCAGGCCGTGATCGATAGCGGGAACGACATCGCAGTCCTCGGTGACGTAGCCGATCGTACCGCCAACGCCGCTCCAGGAAGCAAGAACTACAGACCGGCGTACTTGTTAACCCCACGGGATCAAAACCCTCTGGCAAGAACGACCGGAGGTAGCAATACGAATGGGCCCATACTTTCTGTTACTTCGACATCGACAGCAGCGACCACTTCTGCATCCTCCAACATTGGGGGAGGAAACAACTACGGTTCTTTAGGTAGCGTCTACGAGAACAACACACATCAGGGCGGACCGTCGCCACGCACCCAGACAAAGCATCGCGCAGTCCAAAAGTCTAATGTCCGCAGGAAAGCGGAGGATGGGCGAACCGACGTGGTTCGATTGGAACTGGGTGAAATTGTGGAGACCGAAATTATAGTAGAGGCGGATAGCTCAGCAACAGCAGTCCACCGGAATGCCCAGTTCTCATCGGGTCTAGCCAAGGCACAACGCGTGCTTCACACGTGCTTGCCGGTCTATCCAGCAGACGGAGGAAACTCTGACAATACTGCCGCACGCCCGTCACAATCACTGAGCCCAGAACAGGACCCGACGAGTCCTGAGTTTAGAATCGACTTAAGTATTGACAAGCACACAGTGCACGATCGCTCTCCCGAGGCTAAAAAGCTACGCGCGTCAAAGCGGCAAGCATTGGAGGAGCAAGTCGGCTCAGCGGAAGTCGCGAACACGTTATTGCGGGAAGTGTACCACGACACACTCTATTGGTCTTTGTTCGGAGACCCCCTAGCAGAGTCCAAGAGCAAGCAGCAGCTGTTGCAACTGCATTCAAAACCGGACTTGCACATGTGCTATCCGGCACTCGGCTGCGGCGCGCGACGCTATCCACCTGCTGTGTCCGCAAGGATGGCGGTCCAAGGATGGCTCGAGAGTTTAGAGCAAGACCTGAGTTTATATCAGCAATTGCACCAACTCCAGGACGCCGAACTTCCGAGAGTAGTCACCATCGAGGTCAGGTTTTCGAAGAACACCGCAGTGTATAAAGAATGGTCAAGAGTGTGCTTTGAGATGCTGTGCCAATGCTCGGATAAGGTACATCGCGCAGCAGTCGCGAGCGCGATGGACCAACACGCTGGAGAAAGAGGAGGAGCACACCCAGGTATGCCACAACGACCCGTAGCACAAGCCCCCAAGGCTGAAAGACAGAAAAAACTTTGCTGTTTTGGCTAATTCTAATACCCTTTATTTCCACGAGGGAGTAAGTAGTAAGTTATAGATTGACTACACTAGCAGAAGCAGATCCAGATGAGTCTGCAAAGCAAAGTCATTCCTATTTGTTTTTCCAATTGATGTGTCTTATTTTACATACATACTACTATTAGTTCATCAATCATGTTAGTTAGTCGTGTGAGAAAGAAGTCGATTGAAGAGCGAGTGCGAGAGTCGGGAAGCTCTCAATCGTCTTTCGAACGAGATGATGCAATGGTGACAAGAACCAGAACGTACAACATTGGTTTTATATTGATTCAATTACTAAGACAGCGTGTAGAAAAGGCACTACATCTTAATCGTGATCTTCATCATTTTCATGTTTTTATCAACATCATTCGTTATTTTTCGAGAAAGTGATTCCATCGTATTGAGATCCCAAACAAGATTTTTCAGCACCTAAGAATATGATCAGTACAACAAAAAAGACTAAGTTTCTAAATCTATAGCAACTATTCTGCAAGAATCTATGGATCTACTCTTACTATGCGTCATTCCAACCCTGTGTATCACGCAATGTCTTTGCATTTCAACAACCGCATTGACGAACCACGATGATTATAGAGTCAACGAGATCTGTCCGTCACATGCATTCGCAGTCTCCCGAAGATCTCTTCTGAAAATGGTGTTCAGGAAATGCATGGGGTCCAGGATCGATCTAATGTATGAGATCTGTGTACTAGTGGTTGTTGCTACTGGTGGTTGTCAGTGGCAGCGTGAATGAATGAATGTAGTGGAATAGTGGATCGAAGTAATGAATGTAGTGGAATAATGGATCGACGTATCTATTGAATCAATCTGGGCAAGAACAACGTTGATGTTTGCTCAGAAGAGATCTCGAAGACGAAAGAAAGAGAACTACTAGCTACATACAACGACCAGCTTGCGCTCGACGGTGCCAAATGAAAGTTCAAATCAAGAAACGGATGGATCCCGAAACGAGAATCGTGCTGAGCTCCTCAGTGACCAAGCGAAAGAACTAGTATTAGACGACATGTCAGAACAGACGACAAGCTCAACAAGTAGGAATGAAATCTTTGCATGAACCACTAGTATAGTACAAAGAGAGCTGCCTATTTTGTTCTCTAGTAAGAAGTGCGAAAAGTAGATCTGTAATAGATTCTTGCATAAATCTTCTTCACTTTCATCATCCCCGTCTTTCTTGCCAACTGCCCATCAGTTAATATGTTCAAGTATTCTTGATTCCGTCTTATACGTAGTAGGCGTGTTGGGGAGCAACAAGCCGCGTCTTGTATATGAGCACTGATAGCAGTAAAATCTACAAGACGAACTACTAAGTCAAACACGACACCTATTTCTTGACTTGTTCTTTTTGTCATCCTTCTATTACTTCCTTCTATGCTGCATTCTTTTCTCACGATTTCAATTTGACGACCTGCTGTAAATCACACGATACATCCACGAGCCTTCATAGCGAGATCGAACCGAGAGAAGTAGTGACAACAACGTCCTGTGAGTCTATCTACTAAGTCTTGATCTCAATGAGAGTTCTCGCATAAAAATTTGTGCAAAAACGACATCACTTTACTTGTCTACTCACTGCGTAGAAGAATTCTTTGATGCACATGAATGAGTGTTGATCTCTTCCAGCTATAAGCATATCACCTCAAATCCAATTCATTGTGAGTTATAGTTTTCAATTTACTTACGCTACTTAATCATCATCATGGCATCAACATTAACGCAAACGCTATTTTTTACTTTTCCACGATATTTTTAAAGAGCGTGCCAACATCTTTCAACAACGATACATCAATTTGTCCTCGTCCTCGTTTCTGTGCTATGTCGTCATTTGCTGTGCTCGACGAAGAGAAAAGAATACAGCGGCAACGCGAGAACAAACTCTTGCGGCAGAAATACATTCAAGAACGAACGGAAAAGATCAAAGCGGCACCTCGTGGTACGTCTACAAGAACACTGCAAGCCCTCACCCTCTAGACTCATGCTAGGTGAATGATAAGTATAAACAAGTGCGCTCCACCAGCACCAGTTATTTTGGAGACACACTCCATATTATCACCTCCAGCTCTCTTTCTCACCCTGCGTCCTCTACCTGTTGCACACACTGAAACTGACTGAGAAGTTGTAAATACTTGTTCTTCTTGGCCTCTCACTCTCTTACAAGTAGAAGGCTATGAGAAAAACCAAAAATACTGCAACGACTACTCAGTACTTGGGAAGAAGAACTAGTACAAGAACAGATAATATCAACTTCAGCTTCTGCTACAAAAAGAAAGGGCAAGAACATCAACGAACCAAGTAGTTCCCGCCAGAGCACGTGAGCGTTGAGCAAGCAGCAGCTTCTCTTGCACTAGTCAGCGTCCCACGGCAGTAATTTAGTCACAGCATCCACCTGGTCAACGCATTAACTGCATACTTTAATTCACGCGACGCGCAGTCCTTGAAGAAAGTTTCTTCTTGAAAACAACCAGTAACCCGGGGATTCAAACACAAGCGAGACATCATCGAAATCGATAATGTCATCCCCCACTGCTGTCACCACAACGGCCGCACCCGCTCCGGTGCGTGTGTGTTGGGGCGATCTGAGTAGTGACAGTGAGAGCGAAGCGGAGGTGCTCTGCAGCCCTAATTCGACTAGTAGTACGCAGGCTCCAGCAGGAGCTGGCTCCTCTGAACCTACTCCTGTGACTACGCGTGAGCGCCGTGGAAGCAGTTCCTCCAGCTGCAACTACAACGCATTTTCAGCTCAGAACAACAAGAACTCTTCTGGTGCCGATTTCGCGAAACAACAGAACATGAACAATAAAGGTGGTAACCAGTTGTATAAGGGCTCAGGAGGTCAAAAAGATTCGGGTGTGTTGAATAGCAGGGCCAAGGGCGTAGGAAAATCGTTCTCTAAAGGAAAATCGTTTAGGGACAAATTTGGAGGCTCCTCATCGAATAAAGACAACAACCCCAAAGGCGGATCCAAGGACCAAGATGTTGGAGGTGGTAGCTTCGCACGGACTAAATCAGCAGCCTCTTCTGGTGGTAAGGGAGGGAAGGGAAAGAACCACGCAAAGAACAGCAAGGCGGGGGCTTCAATTTCCATGCTCAGTAGACAAGGAGAGACTTCTGGCGCGGGAGGTGCTTCTGCTGGGGAAGTCAAGAAGTCAAGAAGTAAGCGTGTCATTTTGGATGCAGATGCAGTATGGTCCGAAGATGACCAAGAGGCTGCTGAAGAAAAAGGTGCTGAGGATGTAGTTGAGATGACCAGCAGAGCACGAGTTGTAGACTCTGATGTTGAAGGAAACGAAGAGGACGCTGCTAGTTCCGGCATGAGCACAGTAAACGGTAACAAATAATAGTTGTTCTACCTCTTCATCTAGAAACATGAAATCATAGCAACTTGAACTTCCATCAACTCAAATGATTGAAAAATAAGAGTTCTACTTCTTCACAACTAGTACTAGTACTCCTAGTACTTCTGCGACCACTCACTCCCTTTATCTTCAACAACATCTTCAAACCCTCGAGTCGCGTACGATCATGCTAGGAAACTCTCGATGATTCCGAGAAGGACTAAGCACTCTCCTGACTACAACGTCGTGGGGACAATGCCAAGAACCTTCTGTTATCACGGAGACCTACAAACCCTACTACGTTAACAATACGGCGAACCTCTCCTTCAATGACATAGTACCCGAATGAAGGAACAAAATCAATTACAAGGATTACACGATGTCGCAACATCGTGACTTTTCATATTAGGAGGTGGCAAGAATTTCGAGCCACATTCCCCGACCCCTAATTGATTCTCTCAGTTTCCTCACACCTCGAATCACAACAGGTCAAAAATGGGGAGATATTTCAGACTCTGAAGAGGACATTCCGCAATTACCCGAAGGAGATAGTGAAGGGGAATCAAATAGCGAAGCGGAAGAAGAGGAGGTATGCAAAATGTTGAAGCTGTTATTTTTTTGTTGATTTTTATTGAACACTCACTATCCGCTAATCGCTCAACGAAGCTGAATGGGGTTTCTACTCAGCAACAGCGACGTTCTGACTTTTCGAGAAGATTCTGATTCGAAATCGAATACTATCGCTCTTCGAGGTCAACGTCAAACAACAAATTCTCCTAGATGCTCTAGACTCGACGTCATGCAAATAACACTGTAGTACAACATGTTCTTCTTCACCTTTACCATTCATGATCCACTTCAGGCGGAGGCAGAGGATGATGCCACCTCGGACGCCAAATCTACTACAGCTGCAGACGCCACACCTTCGGCGCCTGCTGTAGATTCGAAGAAGGGTGCAAAGAAGCCGGAAGATGAGGATTTGGATGCATTATTCGCCGAGCTAGGAATAGAAGAGCAAAAGCAGGAAGGTATTAGCATTGTCGTTTTTGTAGTTTGTTGTTATTGTTTTTGAATAGCTACTTCGATTTCTAATTATTATAAATTCTGAGTGCGGTTTGTGATGTTTGAGAAATCTGGTATCTGATCTGTATTTTCTCCATCGATCTGAACGAAAATATGCGGCACGCACAGGTACAAAAAGCAAAGCTGCGCGCAAAAGAGAGGCAGCTCTTGCCCGAGAACAAGCTGCGGCACAAGCACAGACTGATGTAGCTCAGAATGAGGAGGGTGCAGCAAGCAAGTCGAGCAAGAACAAGAAGAAGAAAAACAAAAATAAGGATGCATCAGGCGGAGATGTTTCTCCCGCAAATACTAGCTCTACCAAGGAAGCTCCTGAGCAACAGGATGATAAGGCAGACCAAGGACAAGGAGAGGAAACGACCCAAGGAGCCGGAGCAGGAGGAGTCGGCGCGACATCGAAAGCAGACGCCATCGCCGCACTGAAGGCAAAGCTCAAAGCAGGGAGTAAATCTGGCTCATCAGCTTCTAAGTCTGCAGCTGACATAGCGAGGGAGGAAGCACTAAAGAAGGCAGCGAAGGCGAAGAAGGATAGGAAAGCAGGATACGAAAGACGCTAGAGACACTAGAACTAGGAAAAGGAAACTATAAACTCGTTGGTTCTTGATCGACAAGCAATAGACTTGTATTCTGCATGGAGAAGCAAGACGTTTATCAAATAAACCTAAGAAGAACGATATAATCTTGTCTCTTGTCTTGATTGTTTAAGATGCTACAACTTCAATTCCCGGATGGATCTAAAAATTTCTACACAACACTAATAAGAGAGCTTTAAAAGCACTGATCCGACTTCCATTGACTTGTCTAAGCTGACTGACCCAGTTCTTTGAAAAATGCGTATTTCGATTCAGTTGAATACTTCAACGAGGAAAGGTAGCTGTAAGTGTAAGCATTACTTAGAAGGAGAAGGTATCAGGGTGAATAGAGAATATTGTTCTCACAACTCTGCGACCAATTCATGGTTCACCTACTGGTACTGCTTTGAGGTTACAACTTTTTATGAAGAAATATATTATATATAAGAAAGCAAAACTCCAACCCGCAGAACTCAAGCTAGACTTAATTCTTTTATGAAAAAGTTATCATGCCAATTTACCTATTGTTCTCAAGAACAGTTCCTTTTGCATTGCACGAGAAAATTACGCACACTCCCCAGTGTGACGTGACTTCGAACATTACCATACGCGATAATTTGTGACCACCACAACCACTGACCTCCGTATTATTTGTTTTAGAACTTCGAAAAACTAAAATTCTTTCCAACACTAACGAAGCAGAGCTTCCATTTGCGTTGTTCATGGAGCAGCGTCGCACCATACAGTGTCCAATAACAAAGAGGACCAGGAAATCTGCAATCATCGGCGGCATGATGGTGATCATCCGCTCTTTTACGAGCATTGAAAAATTTCTGCTTTTTGCACCCCCCGAGATGACCACCGCGAGCGATTTTATTGATGAAATTATGGTTCTTGTTGTTCGACTTTTTTTGTCTTTGTTGTTGCGACAAGTTTTTTTCATGGCGCCCTACACGTAGACCACAGGCGGTGCACGAGCGTCTTTGATGGAAACCGAGGTGCCTCGTCTGTTTCTTCGATTTTGTTGACAACTTGCTTCGTCCGGTATGGCTGATGACTGATAAGAAGCCGGAATAAAGAGCGTAAAAACGGTACGCTCCCCTCTGCCTGCTGCTTCACATTTTTGTTACTAACGGTGCATTCGAGTTCGTCAAGTCACGAGCGGAATATAGCTCAGACTGGAGCAGGTGAATGGACTCAGCGCCAGGGCGAGTCAGATACTGAGTCATCTCTGCCGGCTGCTGATTTATACCCGCATTTGCAGTGTAGTTCATCTTCCGCTGGAGCTTGCTCGCATACGCAATCGGACTCCGCGACGAAGCTTTCCACTCTCCACATTCACTCTCGTGTAGCGAAAAGAACCATCCCGAGGTCGATTCTTGTTCTGATCCGGAAGTGCTGCCAACTTCGTGATTTCCTCCATCACGAGCAACAATTACCGGAACAACCACAAAACTAAGAGAAGTATAATGGGCACTTCTGTCGACGGTGCACAGCCACGACCCAGACGAGGATCAGAAATGACAGATTTCGGTGATACGTCGCCGACACGGCGTATTTCAGCGTCAGTCAAACCTGGCGGGTCTGGCAGACCACTGCAGATCTGCGAGATCGATTTTGAAGACAATTGCGTAAAATGCTGCCACGAAAATCTCGAAGTCATCGCAGAGAATCTGAAAATTCTCAGTACTCTCAAATTTACAAGAACTTCTTTTTGATGTGTTCTTAGAGGTGAACATATTTTCATTACATCATCATCATCATCATCATCATCGTCATCATCTAGTATTGTCGGACTTATTAGGAGAAAGTTTGTCTCGCATTAAACTTGAAATAACCGAGTCAGAGGTACTTTCTCAGTTTGATGGCTAACTTCTTTCAAAACCAAGCAGACGAAACGGTGCAGCAACGGCAAGCGCTTGCCGCAAGTAAAGCAGCTCCTGGCACCACCGCGTCTCCACCCGTCGAGTTAAAGGTCGCTGTTGTCGCTGTTATGGGCATGTATAGGACCGGAAAATCTTTCCTGCTGTTAAGTCTTGACCTTTCATTTTCAACATTGAGTTCATCTTTTTTTAGTTCTAACTACGACATAACTAAGGATGATTTCCTTTACCTCCAAGGGGTGCATGGAAGGAAATAAACATGGCATGTTTACTAGTACTAGCCAAAAATTGTGGTGACCTAGACCTAGACCTCCTACAGCAGGGGCCAGGGGATTCTGAAAAGATGAAGATGAACTCTTTCATAGAAGAAAATGAATGCGAACACTCATCAAATTTCTAATTTGAGATCTGCTCTTGCGATACCTTCGGAATCAGGATAAAGGGCCGCTTACTAGGTTCGACCCGAAAAAATCATGGCGAATGGCGGAGCAGACCTACGAAAACGAATCTTATTGCTGGTTGGGATCCGAGAGTAGGATAAGTGAAGGAGCACAAGGAGATAACGAGCGCGGCTTTCAATGGCGGAGTGGCGTCGAAAAGTGCACGAAAGGTATGTGTGGCCATTTCGTAGCCTATCTATGTTGTCTGCTACGAGGCCATGTACAAGGTAGTACAACTAAAAAGGAGAAGAACGTCGTTTACTTCTAGCGTTGTAGCTTTCGCCAGCTTTCTACGGAACATGAAGTAGTGCCTGCACTGAGACAACATCAAGAAGATGTACTTATTCACATCAAGAACCTACCCAGCATAATCAAGGTATCTGGCTCTGGTCGCATCCCTTCCTTGTGACGGAGGATGACGATCCTCTTGCGGTTTTAGTGATGGACACGCAGGGCGCGTGGGACAGCCAGATGAGCTCGGAGCAAAGTAGCTGCATTTTTGGAATTACCATTAAGGCTTACCATCCTAATCCATCTCCGAGTCCGGAAGCTAGAAGCATCCTGGAGCTGTCCCATAAGGTGAAAACGGGTCCAAGATGAGACATGGGATGGATTGGGGTGGGCGCTAATACTAGCATGCTCAGCTCCAAGTTGATCTACAACCTGCAGAATCGTATAAGCGAAGAAAAGATCGACAATCTAGACTACTTCACGACATATGCAGGAATTGTCATACAGGAAGCGAGAGAAAAAGTTAAGATGCTGACAACTCCGATGTTTACCTAGTAGGGTGTACAACAACTACTTACATTCATGATCTACCACGACGAGTTTCATGTCAGCATAAACGTCATCCTGGCTTTCTTGGATTTAACAGTCAAAAGAGCCTGACCTCCCCGCGTGATGCAGAAGCTCCTCGTGTAGAATACGACGGGCACATCATGATCATAATAGGCTACTTATGATTGATGCGTCCTTGTACTTATCTAAGAATCCCCAGTCAACAAAAGTCGCAAGAGAACAACGAGGAAACTTGTCAGATGATGACGAGGAAGAGGAGGCCGGTATGGGCGACATCCATTTTCTAGTGCGAGACTGGGAGTACTTTGAAGATGGTTGGAGTCTAGACCAATGTACGAAACAAGTAAGCGACCACTTGATGACGCATCTTGACCCCAATAGAGTCGCGGTCGAAGAAAGACGGGAAACTATTACCAGATTGCACAATCTATTCCGAAGTACTTTGATTTTTCTCCTATATCATTTTGGCGCAGGGTAAAAGACTGTGGGATTAGCAGCAGGGCGTTGCCTGTGGCCGGCGCCCGTGGGGCTTTTGTGGTTGAATAGGCAGGACACGGCGCCGCGGGGTCCTCCATCGCTGAGGCGCTCCGCCGGACGCGAATGAGCCACATCCCGTTGTGCCCCAACATTCGCCAGCCCCAGCGCCCAGTCGCAAAAAAAAAACAGCTTCGCGACGGAAGCGCCCGCGCGGTGCGGCGTCTGCCGGCGCTCGTCGTTCCCGCTTTTTGCTTCGCTTTGCCTCCCTTCTGCTTCTGTGGTTCTGCCTGGCTGCGAATAGCCGCAAGGCGGTTCCTGGGTCGGTGGTCCATCGTGGTTCGCTTGCTCTTTTCTTGTCTGTGCAGTCCACGGCAGCGGCACCCGGCCCAGTGATCATATTCATAAGGCCACCCATCGCAATCGCTTTGCTACTTGGTATCGCGCGGGCCCGGAAGGACTGACCGCAGAGCCAAGCCATGGAAGCAGACAGTTCGCGCGCGTTTTTGTTGCGATTTCTGTCGCCTTTTGTCCTCTGTCTTTTAGCCCGCTGAACCCTTGTGGGAGCAAGGTGGGCTGCGCAGATGCCGTGCAGTCTTTGAAAGCGTTGTGACGCTATCGCACCCGTCGCCTCTTTTGCGCCTGCGGCAAGTCTTGCCGGCCTTTGGTGGCAAAGCGCTGCGGGCAAGCGCCGGCCCCAGCCTTGCTTGACATCGTCGGGTTGGTCGGGCGTGCGCCGCGTGGTCGAGGGGAAAGGCCGCGCTTTGTCATATTTTCTCCTTGTGCTAGCGTCGCTATCGATCGCTGGAAGCGTTATCTCTTTCGGGCTTGGGCGTGCGGTTAGGCTGGGAGGGTCGGCGGCTAGCAAGCCTTGCTCCATCTCTTTGCCTTGCGCTTGGTCTGTTAGTTGGTGGAGCGTGCTAGCTTACAGGCCCGCATTCTCCACCTCTTGAAAGTTGCGTAACAAACTGAAGAAGAAGATAGCGAATATAATATACTATGCACCCCCCTTGCTCATTTATATATATTATTTTGTCTGTTATTCTTATTTCTTTCTTATTTTCATCATCCAGGTGTAAATCTGTGCTGTCTGCCTCATCCTGGTCCACGGATCCCGAAGTCAAATTGGAAAGGGACCATTTCTGACATTGACTCCGATTTCTTGTATCTTTTGACGCATTTTTTTGCAAACCTGAGTCATGGCGAGTACCCATTGAAAGTAGCCGCACCGCTGGGGCAATTAAGGCTAAGTGAATTCGTCGTAGATGAATCAAACCGAATCACAAGCAGAGTACTCTATAGTGAATTCGTCGTATATGAATCAAGCCGAATCACAAGCACAGTACTCTATAGATAATTCGTCGTAGATGAATCAAACCGAATCACAAGCACACTACTCTATACATTTAGATACCTTTGTTTTTGATTGTAGTTTCCGGAAAAGCAAAAACGAAACACCAGGAGACATAAGGCTAATGCTGTCCTCATAAAGTAGAAAGACATGACTTTCATGCCCTCTCTAAAAGAAGAACTCACAGCCTCAAGCTTTACGCGGGTGGTCGAAACTCTAGTGTCCGCATTTCACAACGCAAGACCGGATGCTACCAGTTTGAGGAAAGCGTTCGTTACTTGCGAGGTATTCAAATTGATGACTTAGACTTTTTGTGTCATAGAGGTTAGTACTAGATAGCTCAGAGAGCGACTTATATACTTGTTCGTCTGATTCTACTCTGCGTGATACAAGGAAGTAGTTTATTCTTCACTCTCAACATGTTGATCGCGTTCGCGGAGATATCTTCATTATTTTTGAACAACAACATGATCTTTGAGTAAAAGCCCTATGATTGTTGAACACTCATTTCCAATTCCTCTAACACTGTGGTAAAAAACTACTGCAGACCCATCGCGCGAAGGAGGACGCTCTCGCTGCATTCAATGCAGCAATTGGAAGCACAGGAAAAACTGAGATACAAGATCCCGAAACCATGGAAGCTCTGCTAGCACAGCAACGAAGCCGGCAATTGTCAGCTTTCAAGATCCGAATTCGCAGTCTTTTCACTGGTTCTAGTAAAGAAGAAGATGCGTGGCGAGAAGAATTGATGGCAGAAGTATCCCACGTGCTAGAAGAAAAGAGCAAATGGATCGCAGACAGAAATAGAACAGCATACACGCAAGCAACGTACTTCTACCTCTACAAGTAATCACAAGTTTAGCATATCAAACGGTGCACGTGAGTCAGATACCGAACCTCTTTCCACAACTTGTTAGAATCAATGACCGTATGTTTATTTTATTCTGAATTAGAATTACTTATCATGTTCATCTTGAAGTGAGTCGTCAAGCAACGTCAGTCTTTCTACTTCCGCTACCCCTGCTGTTTACTCTTTCAGATGGAAGCTCGTCGCTACTCCTACGCTTGTGTTGCCAATCACCTTGAGTGTTTTAAGCTTGCCCCATTTGCTCCTGTATGGAGCTGTGGGTGTAGGCGGCGCCGCCCACTTGAACGCGAGGGCTGGTCACGAGGGCGTCAGGGGATGGTTCGCACCAGACGTGCTTGAGCGGGTTTTTGTTATGGTTGTCTGGATATGATCTCGATCTCCCAAGTCGCTTTTCCTGAATGGTTCCGGTATTTGGTAACCTGAACAATTTGACTACAAGGATTCTCTTCTTGTTTTCCCCCCTTGTGATCATGAAAATGAGGCTTTTGAATACCACAGCAGTGTAGGTTCATACAACAACAACTGCACACAGATACAGTTGGCAGTCCTGTTTTGTTTTGTTGGTAGCAATACCTTCTTGTATATAAAAATGCTTCATACAAGAACAACTGCATAGAATCCTCTGTCGCGACGTTGCAGCACTCTTAGTCCTCGAACCCTTCTAATCCCCAAGACTGCAAGAACTTTGCGGAGCAGCGCTGGACAGACGTAGTGCAGATGATGTATGTTGCGCGAAGATGCGACAAACTTCCGAGTCAAATTTCGGATTCGCTCACTGGTGGATCGGCGCAGGCGGTTGCTGCTGGTGTAGCAGCTCAGGGTGCAGCAGCAGCTGCTGCTGTGCAAACAGCGGCTGCGAAACACCAGAGTTAACTGTTTGTAGGGGACTGGTGGGCGATACCGATATCTACGTCCTCTCTTTCTTTGAATAATTACTTATTTTGATGTCATGTTTCGTGTTTATTTGTAGTTGGTTCATCCTTTTTTTTATTACTTTTTGCTGTTGCAGTGAGGCTACCGTCATAAGTAAGTTGTACACCGTCTGATCTCAACAAGACTCCAGATGGACGTTCATCCCAACTAAGTATACTGAATACTAACTTCTTGATATGTTTGTCTGAACACCAACGTTCTTGATATTTTCAGACATGATCTCACGCATGTAATAAGTGCGTCTGGGAGGGATCAACATCTTCCTTGTCACGACTGAAGGATCATGTTCTTGAGTAAACAGGCCTATCAGAAATAAGCAGTGGACGGACAGCACTACGATTTCAGTTTTCTTCTTGCTCGATAATTGATATGTTGCTATGTTTCATGGTAGATAGAGGATGTAGTGGACGATGACCTCGTTAATATTAGCCTCTCCTTCTGGGGCCAGTTGGAGCTTCGAATTTCAACTATTAACCATAAATAGCTAGTTAACTAGCTAGTGAAGTATGTATTTTAAAACAGATATTTGAGAATGATAAGGAATTTTCGTTCGTTCTATATAATTAATAGCATCTCCATCTGAGGCCAGCCCTTTTTTTCATATTTGAAAGCTTCTGAGGCCATCTGGATGATGGTTTGCATCGCTTTTCAAATAGTTTGGACGTTGTTTGTTTCCTGTAGTTTGTTTTTGTCCTCGTCCTGTCACGCTCATGATCAGAAGTGGATAACAAGCAAGGGTCATCTAAGTCTATGCATATCATGTGCGTGCTCGTCTGTGAGACTACTGTAGCACGAGTTATCTGCGCGACCGAAATAAACGCGATGACAGATGCAGATCCTGAAAAATCTGTTGAAAAAGCATGTCCACGTCCTCATGCGACTCCTTCATTGTTGATGTCCTTTGTCATCGGTTTTGAGGGTTGTAGATGAAGTAGATGTGCCGAGCAAAGGGTGCACGACTTTATTTAGAGGAAACTACGGTGTACTTGCTTGTTTTGGGTGTGTACGTGTTCGACCCACGAGAAGCACAATTTTAGCCCAGGTACGATCGTCTTCGGATTTCTACTAGTTGATCATGGTCGGTATGCAGTCAAGAACTCGATGATACGATCGTCTTCGGATTTCTACTAGTTGATCATGGTCGGTATGCAGTCAAGAACTCGATTAAGATGACGGACATCGGCTTCCTCCCGTCCCCTATTCTTCCCACATCAGGCAATCACCTTCCCATGGTGTTAAAAGAATTTCATTTCCTTTGGTCTTCCTCGGTCTATCTCATTATTCCCTTCGTTTTGTTTTGCGCGTGAGCCTGAGCAGGTACTTCTTCTCGACATTAAACTGTTCATTTGTTTTTTATGGATACTCCGTCCTATTTCTGCGCTTTGGTTTGTTTATTCTACACCAATGAATAGCCATGGCATAAGAAAAAAATATTGATTTTGATTTTGGGAAAACTTGTCATTCTGTCTTTATCATAATGGACACATGATCAGAAATACTGTTTATTATGACGTGAAATCTAAAAGTGGATCTGAAATAATAGAAGAAATACAAAGAGATGATTCTTCTCTCTTGTGATCGTGATATTTCTTCGGAGTACTTCTCTGTAGTAAAAATCCTAACAAGGAGGATGTTGAAAACAAGTCATTCTTGAGTTGTCCGAGTTCTCGGTGTTGGTCTATGATTTTTGCAGCAGCAATCTGGAGGAAGTGCTTCACCACGGACGAGGGCGAGGATGGAGGAGCAACGTCAAGACGGACAAGTAATGGGGGAAACAGAGCCTCCAGAAGATCAAGTTGAGGCACAACAAGATGATCAACGTCAACGAGAATCATCAGCTGAGCGGCCTACATCCAACTCTCCTTCCCACCGAGCCTCGCTTACTTCAACAGCAACTTCTTCATCTACCGATGGTGGAGACCACAACTCTGCGGGTGGAACATCGTCCAGGCTCAGTGGCGACACTCGGCTGCAGCGCTTGCAGCGGCAACAAGATCGGCAGAATGGAATCATGCATCAAGTGCAGCAGCGGCGAAGGGAGCAGCAACTTCGATTGTTATGACGCGTGTAGGGAATGCATCTCCTTCTCCAAAGTCATCCGGACCTCAGAGAAGATAAGAAAGGGACCCAGATGCTCTGTGGGATGCATTCCCGAGGATACCTCTAATATTGGCCAGAGGAGAGTCACGATCGATGTCGCATAGTGCCGCTTTCGATAGTAGAGATCCCGCAGCTCGCTCCATGCTCACTAGACGTGCAAGTTATGGCCGTGGGAGCAATCAGGGAGCAGCTGGAATAACGGGTAGCGTGTATAAAAGTCAAAATTCGGCTGTAGGAGTGGGAGGTGCTGGTCCAGCCGTAGCTTCATCAATAGCTGGAGGAGCAAATCCTGGACCCAAGTCCTCCGTAACAACAACCGCAATTGGAGGGACAGTGGATCCCCCATCGAGTGCACAACAGCACCACCATCCTCCAGCATGGTACTCGAATTTATCACTCGCGCGTTATGAGGCAATGTTCGAGCGAATTGCGCAAACATTGATGCGGAACCAGACTGAGGATCTGGAGGAGCAGGTGATCGACGAGAATCTAAAGTCCGACGATGAGGTCCATGACCATGACGATGACGAAGACGACGATGTTATGATATTAATATAATATTTTGCTTTATTCATAATTCTGCTCAAGTTCAGTCGCAGTAAATAGTGTTGAGACTAGATTACATAGAGGATACAAAAACAAAATAAAAGCGTACCACTTGTTACAACTAGTAGATCATGTCTGTACTGCAATTTTTATCTTGAACATTGTCTAAATTCTGCACTGGGAGTTCCGAGGATGATGAGGAGCATCAAGAAGAAGACAAGGCGGGCGCAAGGGCGACAGGAGAAGATCGCTCAAAAGCTGAAGCTTCTGGAGACAAAGACGCGAAGGACAGCTCCCTCTGCTCTCCATCAAAAAGAGCATGCGGTCACCAGCAGCATCCTACTGCTACCGGAGGAGCTAGTGCTTCTTCATCTTCTCGACCTCCCGAACAGGAGGTAGGCGCGTCTCGAGCTCGCACCTTACTGGGCGATGCCAGTGCTCCGACTGCTAACAGAAGATCGCTAAGAGAGCGGACAATCAATGCTCCTACAAAAACAAGCCCAGTATCTGCTTCAGGTGATAATATCGCCGTGAGTCCCGGAACAAAGGGCACTACAACCTCAAAGTCTTCTTCAGAGGCAGCAAAGACTATCATTCGCGATAGTAATATGCGAGCTGGTGCTGGTAACGAGGATCATACGGCGTCGGAGTCCGAGGAACGTGCAACTGATGTTGGGGATGTTGTATCAACCAAAATTAGCGAATCCTCTAGAAGAACGCCATCAATTTTCAAGCCTGCTTCTAGAACTGGAGGTGGTGGGAATAAGAGCGCTTCTAGGAGTGCTTACAACATCATCAGATCACGATCTCGACGAGCTGCCTCTGCTTCGGTAGCTAGCTCTGTCGACGGTCAGACCAGAAGTTTCGCTTCCTCCGCAGGCGCATTGACGTCATCGCGCCACCTCCACGGGAGCATTGCAGCCAGTGCGGTGGCTAGTCGCGCTGCAAGGAGGCGCAAGAAGTTTGCGCAACAAGGCGGAACAAACGGCACGAGCGCCAGTTTAGTGTCCTTAGAATACGTCGAGCCCCTAGAGATCACGCCTATACCGCGAGATAGGCAATCAAGCACTGCATTAGATGCAGGTGGAGATCATGCACAACAAAGAAGCTCCTTACACTACAACAATCAACAGCCGCTTCATCAGAGCAAAAAGTCAATGCCCCCATCAGAGGTAGACCAGGATCATAAAGATCATCTTCAACATTCGAGTACTACTCCTGCGGTGATGTCGGAAATGGAAGACAGAGTTCTGCGCCCGAAAGAACAACCAGATGTTGAAATACTGCAGGAGCAGAAGCCGCAGTACCAGCATCAGTCGTCCACAGGAGCATCGATTTTGCAATCGGCACGGTTTCAGTCTACATTGCAACAAGCGATTCTAGGCCTTGGTATTCTCCGTTACGACGACGAAGAGATCTATGAAGATGTACTAGAAGAACCTGCTGAGTTCGCGCAGACGAATCCCCCGAATGATAAAGATGATATGAAACTTCAACATCTTGATGTCGAGGCGGTGGTGGAAAGGACCACAAGTAAAACTGAGGAAAGACAACAGGAACACCTAGTACTAGCTGCAGCTACATCAACATCAACTGGTAGTGGTAAGGCGCAACACGACAGCGATCTTCTTTCATCTCCTCTACCTTTGGAACATCAAAACGGAGAGGAGCAAACATACGGTTTCGTCGCGGAACCGCTTTCGCTAACCGCAGTCGCAAAACTGGATGAGGCGAGTGCAGGTTTTGTTTCGCCCTTAGCGACGACTAGCTTGTTTGGCGGCGTATCGGCTTCGTCATCGGTGAATGGTGGTGGAAGCACACCTCGTAAAAGCCAAGGCGCTGGTAATGGGACGCCCCGATTAGCGCCAGCAGAAAGAGCTCGAGCGAGACGCCGAGTACAAGGAAGCGACTTATCTAGGGACTTTCAGGCCAGAAGTGTCTTCCAAAGAGACACATGGATACGAACGAGTAGTGTAAGCTCTGCCGCCAGCGATGACGGCATCAGTTATGGTTCATTGTACTGTTGAGTTTGAAACTCCTGATACTAAACATGACACAATCAATAGACATTCGGACATGATAAAATAGGGGTTGGAATTCTGCAAGTCGAGATACTTTTCGACACCTTTGAGGCAACTTGGGAATGTGTTCAAGCAAGTCTTGAACGAAGAAGTCAAGTAGTTTGTCAAAGAAGTGCGCCTCCAGCTATTGACTCACATGATGCAACTATTTCTGCAAACTTCTGCAAACATGTTGATTCAATTATTGCGTCTTCAATGACAGCATACCGACATCACAAATGAGGCACCTCTAAATCAGTTACCACCACAAAAAGAACAGCCTGGGTCGCATGCCTACTAGCGAGTCGGTCAGACTGAGTAACAGCTTTCGCGACTTTCCTGCTTCCGACTCTCCTTTTCTTACTGCGACTCCTTCCATTGATTCGCCACTGGAGCGTAGTCTTACAGTGGGTGCAGAACAACAGGAGGAGCAAGAGCAGGGTAGCTCCAGCATGTTTAATAGATCCTCATCAAGTAAAGCAGGTGGTGCTGATGAAGACGGCCAACCACAAGGTACTGAAGTTAAGGCTGTACCTAATACATCTTTGTTTGGACGCATCCTTGAAACGTAAGGAGGAGTATCCTAAGGGAATACTCCCCCATACTTTTCAAGGATGCAGTTGCAAGATGAATTACGGACAGCTCTAATGAACGAATTAGTGAACGGAATAGCTTTTTTGACGAATACCGATCCCCCCACACGTGGCACGGAACAACTTCTAGAGCTCAGCCACCACGGACCGGTCTGGCGGCACTATTTGAAGATGAAGTGGATTCCGCTTTGGGTTGTTCGGGGTCACACGCGGCAGAACAAAAGTTCGAGTATGAAGATGGTGGGGCTGGAGCAGGTGGAAGGAGGTCTCGTCGTGGAAGTAAAGGCACTTCACCAGGTGATGGAGATGCAAGTCCTGGTGGAGTTTTAGATCTTCAAGAAATACGTGGTAGAAAGATCATAAAAAAAGGAGATACTGACAATTCCCTCGAGGTAAGTAGCATGCAGGAACTGAAAACATCTGCTTCCTCATCGTCTACTTCAAGGAATTCGGTACAGAATTCGTCGGCAGGCAAAGATTCTCCGCCTACGCCCCGTGAGAACTTACATCAACCTGCTCACGGAGAGAAAAAAGCAGTGCTAGCTAATCCTCTCCTCACTATGGGAGCTGCTGCAGGAGGAAATGCGAATGCCGCATCGAATTCTAATAACATGCAGGCTTCTAATGATCCAAACGAGACGACTGCCTTCTCCGCAGGTCAGGATTATCCTTTGGTGCTTGAGCGCGTACCTGGACTGACGCCGTCCGTTCTCTATGATTGCGCAGTCGTCGAGCCGGCGTCCAAACGTGAACCCTTTCCGGCAGAAGTAGAGTTGAGCCTACAAAATACTCTGAGGAGGCTAGACGCGGACCCACGAGTCGGTTTCATCACCGGTGAAGATGGGATGATGGCTTCGCTCCAGCGTGCCGCACACAAAGTCACGAAGAAACCTGCCTGCATGTCGCCACTGCTGATGTTGCCAGTTTACTCGCGGTGCTATCGTCCAGGATCGGTGTTTCTCATCTGTACGGTCGGTCTAGAGGGAGAAGACACGTATCTGAATCTGAGTGATCTGGCGGAACGATCGGGGTTTGCCGAAAGCAGATTCAGAGATCTATTCAGAGTCGAACGTTTCGAGGACATCCTCAGCGATCACGTAACTGAGATGACAAAACTAATGGCCGATGGTGAAGCAGAAGTCGGACACGCAACTTCTAGCAAAGGCGGCCTAGACGCCGTTCTTGCGATGTGCAAACAGTCGACTGAGGATGCAGAGACGATGACCTTCAGACGCATTGCGGGCCGGATTGCCTCTCAATTCCGAAACACTTCGAAATCACTACTTGCAACTAGTACAACGACAACTGGAGGAGTCGCAGGTGGTGCCGTAGCATTGAAAACCGATAGTGCAACAAGAAGACCTCCACCTCCCAGTCCCAGTAGTTACAACAAGCTTCCGCGTTTGGGTGGTATTTTTGTAGAGTGCGCCGAGATGAGCACCTACAGTGACCGACTGCGTGAGATTTTCAAGATTCCTGTTTGGGATATGGTGTCTCTGTCGCACGCGTTGATGCTCGGATACCTGGACAATCCACTCTTCGGACGGATAGGCTGGCAAACGCGCCATCCGCATGCGATAGAAGATTTACCTTCGGCTGTCGTTCCGCTGGATGAAGATGCAGATGGTGGTGCTGATGAGGCCGCGGATGCTGCAGAGAGCAAGGACAAACCACACGAGGAAGCGAGTGGTGTGGTTTATCCGCCAGCAGAAGTCCTCGAAACAACTCAAGTAGAAGAGAGGAGCACAAGTCCCGCAGCGGTGGAGCCAGGCTCGTCGACGTCAAGGCCGAGAGATAATTCGTGTACTCAAGAAGAGGTAGTTACTTCTGTGGTGCACGTAATTCAGAATGCGAGTAAATGGTCTTTGACTGGGTCGGAAGCCGAAGCAGGATTCGCAGAAAGTGCGGCGAGGGGAGATATGTGCGTGTTGCCGGAAGACGACCGAGCGGGAGAGCGAGCGCGCAAAGAACAAGTTCTAGCCCTCATTGCTTATCTGAAGAAATGTAAGGAGCAAAGAGAACGAAATTATCTAGAGCTGCAAGGCGGTGGAGAGGCAGGAACGGGAGACGCGCAGGATGCAAAGAAGAAGAAAGTGGTGTTCGGGTTGGGTTGTATTCGCATTGATTCCCTATACAAAACTGCTCCCGGAGACGTTGCTGATCCGCGCTCCCATGAGTTCCCTATTGTGAATCGCGTCGTCCCAGGATTGACGTTTGAGCGGTGTAGAGCTGGTATGCCGACTCTGCCAGCATTCGTTCGACGTAACTTCATCAACGCAATAAGGTACTTGGACCGGGACCCCAGTGTTGCTTTGATTACTGGCGATTGCGGCTTCATGATGGCGTTCCAGGAACTGGCGCAAGCTTACAGTCGCAAACCGGTTTTGATGTCCTCTTTGATGTTGATCACGGGCTTGAACCAGTTCATCCATCCAGACCGGCAGATTGCTATTTTCACTGCGAATGGTGGGGATCTAGAACCTTTGATTCCCGTGGTTTCGCGGGTCTGCGGCATGGGTTTGCGGGCCTTCGAGTGTTTCAACGAGGACTTGTATCACGATTTGCAAGATCGAACGTACTTGGACAGCGATGCCGGTAGTACTAGCATAGCTGCCGAGACAACTCAGCAGGATGAGGGATTCCGGTTTCACGACCACAGAAATCTTCATCTACCTCCAACTGAGTTGTCTAGTTCGCCAAGAAGTGGAGCGGGTGGACGAGGTGAACGTGAACCTCAGCCAGGAGTAGGAAAGCATCACTTGTTCCTTTCAGCTGGAGGCTACAGCTTCCATCCCCAACGACCTGCTAATCTTCAGCACGATGCGCAAGAGCAGGACTACCACGTGGACGGCGGACGTTGCACACATCAAAGTGAGGCTGGTGACCATGAAGATGAGGTAGAAGATGACGCTGCTTCTGCATCGGCGACCGAGAGTGAGGCATCCACCTCGCTGCTGACCGGATCTCGTCGCGTTCGTGCTGCGAAGCGACGCCATTCGAGAGGTGGAAGCATAGGAGGCAAAAAAGTTGCGTCTTCAGTACCAGGCAGCCGCAGTGGCTCAGTCGACGAGAGTTCGGAACATCTTCAAGCTGCGCAGCTGCAACAGGCTATTAATGCAGGACCATTCGGAGCAACACCAGGAGGAATTGCGCCAGGAGTCATCGTCACAACAACTACATCTCCAACAGGGGAAGCAAAAGACGCAACATCAACAAAGATCGGAGGAAGGGACCTATCTCCAGTACTACCCGCTGCTGCTGCTCGTAGTGCGGAAAGTCTTGAGCAAGATGGCGTAGACAGTCCAGCCGACGAGGAGCACCGTTTGCTAGAACTGATTTTAGATGAAAACCAGCCAGTCGGTGCACAGGATGTGTTTGGGACCGCAGCAACAGGGAAGATGCGAACGCTGCGGGATCTTCAGGATGAGCAGTTCGATGTGGCTCACACCCACAGAGCAGTAGGAGAACAACCTCAACATAAACTTCATGAAGATCATGATGATTCTAGCGAGTGCTATGAAAATTATTCATTGGAATTAGATCCTTTTGCAATGGTCTTGATCACGTCGACCAAGAAGCCGCTCAAGAAGAACCACAAGCAAAAGAACGAGGAGATGAGCATGATGAGAGTGGCCGCGACAGATCTAAGAACAGATCGCGACGATGAGGATTCTGCTCCTGATGAAGATGAGGACACTTTTGCCTTTGATCCGAAAGTAGCGGCTATGTGCAACCAGGTGATGACGGCGTACATGTTGGCGCAAGGTGAAGTTGGGGGAAATATTCCAGGCATTTTGATGACGAATGCGAGTTCTCATGAACAAGTGTCTCGCACTCATGAACAAGTGTCTCCACCTCCAGGTAAGACATCGGCAACAACGATCCGAGATGGAGCTGATGCAACAGAGGACGCCGCTAGGGGTAGCACAGGTACTGTTGAAGATGAAGCTTTATTCCAGAAGACACTCTCCGTCACGAGTCGGGAGGAACGTACGCTAGCACGTGTGTACTCGCAAGAACTTGCAGGTGGGGAAGTAGGAGAAGACTTCAATAAAACAGATGAACCTGGTGAGGTCGAGCAGATGGACACTGTTCAGGCGGTTGTGTTGTCGAAAAATGTTGTGACGGGAACAACTCGTGGAACAATAGCAGCGAGGACTTCGACAAGAAACATAAAGCCTACTCATCTACCTGTACCTTCGGCATCATTCAATCACCATGCGATGACTTCCTCGGAGCTTCAATCGTGGCTAGTAGAAACGCTAGTGCAGAAGTGCGACGCTAAGCCTCATGAGGCAACAAGCATGCTGTTGCTGGGTGAACACGGAGGAGCAGGATCGCCTCCTGGCTCTACTGCTTTGAACACTGCTTCCACGAGCAGTAGTAGTGCGTCCTCTTGTGCGACGCAGAATGTCCATCTTGATGCGCTCTCGCTTTCTCACCCAGGCGCAGCCTCTACGCATCTACCAGCGATTACTGAAGATGCTGTGCTAGAAGAAGTGCCACAAGACGAAGCTTTAGGAACTACAAGCGAACACCTCCATCATACGCAATCTTCGCAACTATTTTTGCCGAATAAATCAGGTTCGCCATCACCACACTACTCGCCAGCTTTATTTGGAGCAGGAGCTGCACCAGGTGTGGTCGGTGTCACGCATCTCACCTCTCCTCTGGACCTAGCTCTTTCTGACCTGTCTCCAGTCCCTCTGAAGGACCATCACGAGGTAGATGCTCTAGGCGTGGCAGAGAAAGGCGACATCAGCGACCTACCCGGCGGGGAAACCCACTCTCCCCACTCTCCTACCCAGGATGACAATTTGGATGGAAGTGTGAAGACGATGATGACGAGAGAAGAAGAAGAGGACGCTGTACCAGTTCGTGGTGATGCCATTTCAGGAGGTGGGAAAGACAACAATTATTCGATTAAAAATGTGAAAGCGCCGTCCTCGACGACGCTCTTTCCACCTGCAGGAGGTGAGCAACAACAAGCACCTGGAGGTGCACAGTCTACGGACTATGAGGAGTACTACCACATTTTAAATGTAGGAGAACAGCGAGGGCATCATAATCGCACGAATCAACATGTTCTTGACAATAGTCGTCATGATCTTGCAGTAGCTGACAGGACGCACGCAGGAGCAGGTGGGAACAAACTACCTCGAGACCCAGGTGGAGATCATCAAGAAGCAGAAAATACTGAAGTTTTGATCACAGTAAGTTATTGGGGTTGTCTTACGCAGGCGCCGACGTTACAGCAGCAACAGGATCACTCAAACGACAACCTCCAATCCCAACAAGCGAAAGACGCAACCTCCCAAGAAGGTCTTCCAGCACAAATAACAAGTAACCTTCTCCGTACAACTAAAAACAAGTCTTTCGATCAGTTGAGTCAATCTCACCCGATCGTCCCAAACACCGAGAGCCAACTGCGAATGCTGGAACACTGTGATCAACCCTTGCAGCACAAAATGATCAGAGGAGGCTCGGACGCCGGCTATGCATCAACGTCGGAATTAGACAACATGCTCATTCGTACGAAGATGTCGCTCTCCTCTCTAGCTCCAGGAGACCTCCAACATGGAGAGGATGCTACAACTGGAGGTTTCGGAGCCTCTTCACGATATGATCTTGATCCTTTGGAGGATGTTCATGGAGATCGGGATGCAGATGAACATCACGTACAATCGATGATGAAACAGCATCCGAGGTATGTCGAGGTAGAACTGACTCCCGTGGAGCAACCTGATGGCGGAGAAGAGCATATCACGCAGACTGCCACTGGTGTTGACGAGGATGCTCAACTACATCCTCGTCATGCTTCTACTATTAAGGCTCAGCTTTCAATGGTCATTGCGGTTGGTCACTGAGATCGAAGAAGCGACCCCTTTGGAGAACAGGGGAAAAGGAAGGGAAAGGGGAGAGCTTTGAAGGGGGTCCCTTCCGTTCAGCACCAGTGACCATTGAATGCTGAGCTTTAATACTAGTGCAAAAAGGGCAACTTCTTCTGTAGCAGGTGGACCGTCTTCTCCGATCCCAGGAGCTTCTGCGGGACCTCCTGTGGTCTCTGTGGTTCAGCAATCTACAGCTCTAGTTCCAGGTACAGAGCTAGAGACCGCCTCAGGTGGAGGAGCCTTTCCAGGACCAGACGAGGTGATTGCAACAACCGATTTGCTTGCGGCACCTGAAGTAGCGCACATCGATCGACAGAGGTTCGTGGTAATGGGAGTCGAAGACTTGCCGGCATTTGAGGGGATTAGCCTTGGGCTACCCCTCGACTTCGAAGCGTGTGAAATGGTGATGCTAAAAAAAGCTGCGAAGTTAGTTGAGCTGCATCCAGACATCGATTGCTTTCTGTTGGAGTGTACCCAACTTCCGATGTTCTCCGACTCCTTGCGCGCAACGTTTCCGGGCCGGCCTGTCTACGACGTTGTGACAGCGTGCCACATGCTGATGCTCGGTTTTCTCACGGCGCCAAAAAGCGAGGAGGACATTTACAACTACCAAAAATTGACTAACGGAAAAAATAATCAGACGGAGGAGCAGCAAAAGGCATTGATAGATGGTGCTGGGGATGCAAGAACTGGTCACCATGAAGTAGAGCATCAAGGCTACATTTTTGGTATGGAGCTGAGCGCGGAAGAGCGTAGAGAAGTTGCTGAATTTGAACCATACAGGCATCTATTTGCGGAAGCAGGAGTGCCGTTGTGAGAGAGTGGAAAATCCTGGTATCTTGCGGTTTCATTCCATTGAATTTGGACTTCATCTGAACTTGTGCTCATTTCGTCGTTCTCCTGATGTTATACTCGTCAACACTAGTTTATTTTGCTCATCGTGCTATTTTTCGTATTCGTTGACGGACTTAAATGCACACTCAATGTGGTTGTGGTTTTTCAATGGAAAAATTTTCTAACATTTTCATACAAGGAAGAAGATTAACGTTTGATACAACAGCACGAGGCATAATTATTAAAAATGGACATGGTTAAAGATTCATACACGCTCAACGCAGTGCGCTTTCGCACTGGTACATTTGAAAGTCGTTTAGATCTACTATCATACGTTAAGATTTTTAACACTATCCACTTTTCCCCACGCAGAAAATATGCTTGCCTACTTGATGCCGTCTTCTTCATTCTCTCATTTTTTCAAACATCGATAAAAATGTTGGAGCTTGTTACAATACTCTGTCATGATTATGAAACTCAATCTAACTTGTTGTACTACGATGCATTTCCGCGCCGGGCTCTCAAGTATAATTTCGCGTTCTTACCTTGTCGTTTTTGGGTGAGAAGTGGTTTATGCTGAAGGTGGAAACATTAGCATTCACAAGGGATATAGTCGCTGGTGAACATTTTTTCTGCTTTTCGTACGTTCCTTGTAGCTAGAAGTCGCATTCGTCAGATGGATGGAGAGCACTAGTGGGTTCAGTGCGGGCGGTGTGCTGTGCGCATGAGGCTCAGCCGAGGCTAATATTACCAACGACGTCTTATACTCATATTTCTAATTCAAATTTTTAGCGAGTCTGAATGAAGTCGTAACTACCTCTACCCTGTTCTTATCGCGAAACAACGTGTGGACATTGTAGCAAAAGCTGGTGTCTGTAGTTTGATCATGCGTCCATCGGTGACCTGGCATTTCAAGTCGATTTGAACAAGAACTCTGTCTCGTCTCTCACTTCTAGTCATCAGTGGTTGTGGCTAAGCCTATGTCGGTACTGCTCAATTGTTCAAGATAGATCGGCCGTCTCATCTGTAAGATCTTGTTCTCAGATCGGTATTTCTATCTCAACGAGCTCTTCGGTCTCTAGATGGTCTCGTCGAAATGCAAAAGCCTTTCCACCTCCATCCTCCATGATACCTCTCCATCTCACCAACGACTTCCTGCCACTCTAGTACGCTTCTCTACAACTCTGGCTACTTGTTACAACATTTACATTATTTACAGGAACTGCAGGTAATGATCACGACCTCCTTCTATCCTATCCTATCCTATCCTATCCTATCCTATCCTATCCTATCCTTAAGCACGATCATGATTGAAGCCATCGAACTTATCGTCATGATTTTTGCATACATTGTTAAGTCGTAGGTCCAATCCGAATCGACTAGCATCATCATCGCATACTACATTGTTAAAGGATCGTAAAAGTCGCCTGATGCACTTCGCCTTCCAGTGAGGGGAGTTCTTATAGGGGATGACCCGATTGAAGAAGTGAACAAGGGGGTTTTTATATTTTTTTAGATTTTTTTGTATCTATTGGAACTTCATCTTTTCCTTGAATCACACCGAATAAGAAGGAAGTATGGATTCGACGACCCAGCAGCTGCGCGAGGTCGCAATGCGTAGCAATACGCGCGCGTTCTCGGCAGTTGCAATCCGCGGCGGTCGACCGTGGCTGGAGCATCAGGATAGAAAATGGGCAGCCAGCTCGTCCGGGCGGCCAATAACGCCATCATATCGAGCCAGCAAACTGCACGAACGAGCAACAATGAAGCCGCACCACACGACAGCAGGGTCTAGTGGAAATAGCGGATATGCCTACAACAATGGGCATGCGTCTAATGGCGGTGGAAACGGAAATACAACAGCAGGAGCCTCAGGAGGATCTTCTGGCGCTACCGGCGCTTCAGGCGGTCACCAGCAGTACGGCAACACTGGACATCAGCAATATCCCAGCACGCGTGCAGAAGTACTGCATCTACTGAGCAAACGTCCTCAGTCTGCGTACAATACGAACCGGAAACGTGTTCGCCCAGTAGTAAACCCGAAAAGTGGTGGTCATGGTGCCTACTCGAATCATACGGAACGACCGACCACGTCAGAAGGTCATCGCAGGTATCATGGTACGCATCATAACCATCACGACCATCAAACTGCATCCTCCACGAATCAAGACGCCAGAACCAACGCACTGCCGCATCATATGAAAGACAGAGTTGATGAATTTGAAATCTTACTCACTGTTCATCTTCAAGAAGTCTCAGGTTGATTGTTTTTTAACTCAATTCTTGTCTATGCCTATGGTTTGTGTTTGTGATCGCGCTTAAAGATATGAGAGTTTGTTTTGTTGAATGAGATCCTTTCTAATGTTGAAACCCATCTTGCCGGCAACACGACTGGCGCCGACGGTGGCCTTGTGGCCGTGATGGCGACTGCGATGGACTACAGACGCTATATGCACGAAAGGCGACAAGCCGCGCAGGCGACAGAAAAAAGGCGGCCTCAGACCAGTGGGGGACTCTATTCCAGAGAAGGGTCTAATCCTGGTGTATCATCAGGCGCAAGTGCTGGTGCAGGAGGTGCACCAGTATCCTCGTCTGGAGCAGCTGGTGGAGCAAGTTCTTCCTCATCTAGTTCGATCCCAGGTGCAAGTGGTGTTTGGGCGACGTCAAATGGCAGTGCAACTGGTGCTGCATCGTCTGCGACTGCGGGCAAGATGAACAGCAAGGGACCACTAGTGCAACATCAACAGATCATGGGAGCATCTGCAGTCAGTGGAACGTCAGGTGGAGGAGGAGTGATCCCGACGACGACGCCAGGTGGTGGATCTGCAACGACGCCAAACAAGCTGAAGCGTGCTTCTTCTAGTTCCGCAACAGAGGAGGAGCAAGATGGGGTGAGCACCCGATCTGGAACGACGATACAGAAAGTGAGCACGTCGTTGGCCTCACTCCACAACAATCACTCTCTGTCGAACAGCGCTAACCATGCACCAGAGCAGCGGCCTACTTCAGCCCACAATATGATTGCTAGCGCTGCAAGAGATAGCTTCACCAACAGTTACTACACCAGTAAGGCCGCTGGTGCGTCGGGTAGTACTAGTACTACCCAGGTGGTCGGAGGTGGGAGTGGGTCGGCTTCATCAGCTAGTGGTGCCGGATCCGCTGGTGGTACACAGCCGTCTTCATCAAGCAGCAACAACAAAGAGATGCACTTATTGAACAACCAGTCCTCTGGAGGCGCCGCAGTTCTTGGAAGTGCGAACACAGCGACGCCTTCAGATATGAACGTCGGAGGCGGTGTCGTGGACAGCAGTTTCCGAACGAGCTTTACGGCTATGTCATCGCCAGGAAAGGCGTTCACGACCTCCTCTCTCGGCGCCGGACAGCACATCGAGTTCAATACTCCGGGTGCAGCGACGAACTCCTCAGGCTTGCTAGATCAACATCATAGTGGCGCAAAAAATCCAAATGGCACATCATCATCGAACATCGCGCCTCCTTCTATGCCGCATAGCGCTGGTGCTGGAGGTGGTGCAACTTCGTCGAGTGCTAATTACGGGCATGGCCAACACCATCAAGGCTCAGCAGCTGGTGGGGGAGGTACAACATCGTCCGCTAATGGCGCATCAGGAGGACAAACAGGACAGCACAACTATGGTGACCCGATTACTCTTCGACCAGACAACATCCTCAGTTTACAGCAACAGGCAGCAAACGCGCAACGTCCAACCACAGCACCGCAAGCAGGCGGCGCCAGTAAGCCAGATAGAGTGCTCCAGAATGCTGGCCAAGGCAAAGAACACGACAGTTGGCACGAAGGTGGCGGTGGCGACAATGAAAATTTTATGTTTACATCATCAAACCTAGGGATAGATCATGAGTCTGTACCTCTACCTACTCATACTCAATGGCTAGAAAAATGGTATGATCATGATTGATTGAGCACGTTAGGTGACTAGCCTCTGGTCTTTTGCTATGGATGATCTTTTGTGGGCTAGGTCAGCGGGGGCGCAGTCGTGCTCGCACAGTCCAGAGCTGGCCCGGGGTCTGTGTGTTCCCCCGTTATCCAGCACCGCCGCTCGTTAGACGGCCGCGTATAGTTGACTGACCCACGAGGACGACGAAACTTTGCCTCTAATCCCCACGGCGGTGCCCTTGCGAACATCCAGAGCAGTACCACAATCCATGACTACATCATCGGCAAGCAGATCGGACAGGGTGCCTACGCAACCGTGCGCCTAGCCATGCACAAACCTAGTGGAAAGAAGGTCGCCATCAAGATCTACGAGAAGTCCAGACTTTTAGACCCTCAAAGACGAAAAAGCGTTCGTCGTGAAATCCGCGTGATGGATCGGTTGTCACATGCGAACGTTGTGAAGTTTTACGAGGTTGCAGATACAAGCAGACAGGTAAGTAGATTTGAATAGTTTGATTTGTACCAGCTGTTGATTTGCACCTTTTTTGGGCTAGTTCTGCTACAACCTTACCTCCTTGTTGCGCGACCTCAATTTCCGGCTCTATTGAGGTTATCTTCTTTGGCCGCATCGCAGTCGTCAATTACAACTCTCTTCTTCAACATCTTCTCAATCAACAGGTCTTCCTCGTCCTGGAGTACATCAACGGTGGATCATTGCACTATTTGCTGAAGAAAAGGCCAAACCGACGGTTGACAGAGATTGATGCGAGGATGATATTCACTCAAGTCTGCGCAGGCATCCGATACTGCCACGAGCGGCTTGTTGTTCATCGAGACATCAAGCTAGAAAATGTTTTGGTACTCTTGTTGTGCTGGTCACGATACAACTTCTTGCATGGTCGTAATCGCAATAGTGTGACGTGTCGTCCGTATTATAAGTACTGCTCCTAAATAAATATATGTTGTCTACTCGTAGTTATAGTTTACGTGATGATTCATCTCACGACCTTGTTGATGTCGACCGCCATCGACCGCGCACACCACTTTCACCAGGTGCAATATCCAGACCGCGCAGTGGCGCACAACCAGCAACTTGCAGTTACGTCTTCAGGCCACCTCGATCCGCGACAAATCGTCGTGAAGTTGATCGATTTCGGCTTCGCTTCCCTGGTCGTTCCAGGAAAGAAACTACGTGTCTTCTGCGGAACTCCAAGTTACATGGCACCCGAAATTATCCAGAGGCGGGAATATGGAGGGTAAGATAGACGATTTTTTACCACCAACCAACTTCTACTTCTACATTCTTGCACGTGAGCTCCACTAGTAACAGACACACGTTTATTTCTTTCGTCGATTTCCAATTAGTACAACATCTCCTGCTGACCAAAATAAAGGTATTGTGTGGATATCTGGGCGTTGGGAATTTTGCTATATGCAATGCTCTTCGGGCAATTTCCATTTCGCGGTCAGTCTGACAAGGAGCTCTACAAACGCATTCTCAAGGTACTAACAATGTGATGGTTTTTTTGGGCGGACGTAGTTTCCAAAAAAAAAATAGTACTACCTACACACAAATCGACGTCCTCGTTATTTCTATTTGCATGTTGTCATGTTGTAGTTCTTAGTTCTCAACAGCCTCGATTCATCCAAGATGAACTTCTCTCGCCACTCACAACAGGGCGCCTTCCAGTTCCCCGAGCAGATCGAGCAGGAGGTATCGAAGAACGCGAAGGCTCTGCTAGGAAAAGTGTTTGTGAATATGGAAGTGCGTCCGACGATCCAGCAGGTTGTCCAGGACGCGTGGATGATGGAGGGCAGACCCTCAACCGGCAGTGGCTATCGAGATCGGCCTAATACGAGCTCCTCCACTACTAGTCCAGGCGGAACAAGGACGAGTTGTACTTTGAAAATGATTTGATACTTACTTATTTTGAAATTAATTGACTGGGAGGTTGACGTGTACTTAGTTGTATTTACCTCTAGGAGGTGTAGTTTTTCTCATTTCTAGCACGGTTCTCGACGCTAACTTCAAAGCTTATTGTCATCTGACTTGTAACTTGTACCACTTCGGCACTAAAATTTCGTTTCTCATCGTCCCACCCGCCCTCCTCAACAACAGCTGCTCCATCTTCCCGACCGGGCACAGCTGGTGGTATGGGAGGGTCAGGCATGCCATACCCATTGCGAGAAGAGGCTATTTCTAAGTTAGAGAAGCTTGGGTATGCTCGCGAAGACATCCTACGTCAGATGAAGGATGAGAATTCTCACCTTTGTAAACTGTACACACGGTTTGTCAAAGCGCTTAATGCGTGGGGAAAATAGTTGACACCAAAGGAGAGCGACGTACTCGTTATGTGAGTAGTCGTTCTCGTTCTACTTCTAGACGGTATCATCTTCTACCAGTAAATAGTACTAGATACATAGTCAGAAATTGAAATACTAGATTTTTGATGCTCGTCTTTGTTAACAGCATGGTGCGAAAATTAATCTTATCAATCTATATCTAATCAACACCGATGTCATCTCAATTTTTGAGAAATAGAGACACAGAAGAGTTGCTTATTTGCATTACCTATTACATCATGAATAGCACACTTATACATGTAGAACTTGTGGAATTTCCGCTAATATACAACAATTTGAGGTTCAGCAATATTGACGACTATCTTCTACACGTAATGACCAATATTTGTGTTCATGGCAATTTGCTACTACCGGCATGCTATCCTGATTTCGAACCTACTTATCTCTGCAACAGCAATCTAGGACTTAAAGATTGAAACGTAGTCTATCTTCATCAATCATAATTACCTTCATTTATTCAGCATCATGAACACGTCGTATGAGTATTTTCTTATAGTAACAACAATAGCCGTACACGTACTAGTAGTTAGTGTTAGTCTTAGTGTTAAACTCGAAGTAATATCGATGAAAAGGACACGAGTCGTGTCATGCACAGTTTGATGTACAACTTTCTGACAAACGTATTATGAAAAGTAAAATCGACAAATTACAATCGCGATTATGCTCGTTTCTGCAACAAATTTCGACAACAAAGACCGGCTTGCAGAGCTGTGCTGCTAGAAGAATCTTCCATTCTTGATAATTTGGTTTGTAACGCATCGTATGTCATGTTCACTAATTGATTTGAACTACAGATCATACATAGGACTATGTTCTGTATTTTACGTAATCTTCTGTAACTGCTTCAAAAAAGCAACATCGAGACTAGCGAGGAGGAGAGGATCATGAGCCAGGCCTCGTACATGCCAAGGCAGTTTCCTTCGGGGGATGCGAGTGAGGATTAAGCAAAGACGCAGATTGACGCCTGAGCCTTGCAAATTATGATTTAAGTCTGGTGTTGTTTTCTAAATGTAAATTGTATACTACTTTTTTTGGTCGTTTAGGTTGTCTGATCATGTATACACGAAAAGATTCGCTATTTTTTGGGAATAATGTAGTTATGTAGTTCAATTATTTGCTGTATTATATCGAAAATTCGTATAGTTTAAGTTTATCAACCTTGGGGCTGCTTGATCGAGATAGTTTAACAAGATTGAAAAACTTATTCCAAGTACGTACGATAGAGAACTAGATGTGACGAGCAAAGAACCGGAATCAGGAGCTAAAACTAAGATTGAAAACAATGCTATCAACTTGTATTGCAAGTAAATGCGCTTCCGAATGAAGATTGATGAATCGCAGTGGCCGTCGCATCCCGGAAATGTGAAAACGCCTATGGTGATCGGTAGAATTTCCTATCATTGATCTATCGGACGAGAGTTCTCGACGCCGGTCGGCGTCAGCGCTCTTGTGATCATCGGTACTCTTGAAGAAATTCTGATCGGTCGTGAGCTCATGGATTGTTCCTACCGTCGCGGATAAACATCCACCCTACAACCACCTCCATCTCGCTCTGTACCCTCTCTCTCCAACCTCGTGAGGAACCATGCAGCTGCTACTTAGTGATTGGTTTAGCGAGTCGCTAGTTGTGCAACTAGGTACCTTTATAGTAAATCAACAATGTAATGCTAATGCCATCAAAAGATCAAATTCACATTGATCGTTCATAGAAAAATCCCCGGGCTGTAGATCTACTAGGTGGTAGGCTAGGTGGAGAAACGTTCTATTATAAGATTCTTATAGACTTCATCTTCACAAGAACCAAGCAACAAAAATGCTATTCTTCCCCACAAGATTTTCTACTTCAGCTTTGCTGCAACTAGTCCTTCTTGGAATCGTAGTCCTTGTGACTTTTCCACAGTCTGTCGATGGACATTCAGTCCATAAACGTGTGCAGAAGAGAAAGCGTCACACACTGTCACTGACGTTTAAAGACGAAAATGCAGACAGTGAAGATCACAAAAACTTATGATCAAGAGTTTCAATGCATTTCCATTAGTCTCGTCTCCTCCATCACCCTGCATATTATTTTATTTGTGTTGCTTCTCATTCTCTATTCTCTAACCTCCACTTAACTTCTCTTCTAATTCGTAAAAAACTGGACCCGGTGGACGACTTCGAGTTCACTTCCGGGCAGAAATGCCTGAACATCTTCGCTGGCCTAATGCTGATGGGTGTGTTGGGTTCCATTTGGGGCTACGTTATCGTCCGACACAAAGATTAAGGCTTCACGATCTAGACATTCTTCCATCTAGACCAGGGACGGGCCACTAGAATCTTCATTCCAGAAGAACAAGAGCATCTTTTTGGAAGGGTAACTTTATTCACGGGAAAAACTGCAGATCTGGAACTGGATTTCCACCACCTAGGGAGAAGATTTTGTAGTTGTGGAAATTCAGTTCCAGATCTCCACCAGTTTTGCCAGGAGTAGTCCACAACTTTGTTACTCTTAGTGCTAGTAATTGGAGATTTTTCCGGCTCTAAACACAATTGGGTATGAACGCAATCGCGGACCCTCTCGGGTTGGATGAGCAGGAGGAAGAGGAATATTTTTATGCTCTCTACTAGTAACATTCAGATTCACTTGTGATAAAGCTCATGATTAAAGATCTTGTCAGGAGAATGGTAGTTGATGTGGAGTAGTGTGTGCTTAGTCACATAACGAAACTCGCACTATTAATACGATCAAGAAGACAAGCAACTACAGCAGTAATCACGTACAGAACAAACTACACACCCTTTTCTACTGCTCTAATATCCCGACGAGGAGATGAGTGATGGTCGTTCTGCAAAGCGCAGTAGTTCATACCGGTCTACACGGGCATGGGCAAACAGTTACAGTGTGCGGTCTACAGGAGCAGGCAGTGTGCGGTCTACAGGAGTAAGCAGTGGGCCGCGGTCTACAGGAGTAAGCAGTGTGCGGTCTAGTACAGGAGTAAGCAGTGGGCGGTATACAGGAGCAGGCAGTGTGCGAAGTGGTTCAGCGCGGAGTAGTAAGACGTCGTCCATGAAAACCAGCGCGATCATGCGGTCGGGAGGAGGAGAGGTAGCGAGCTCGATCCTTATGGTTTTGTATTTATCACGACGAGTAGTCTAGGCAAGTTGTACTTTCTTCAGTAGGTACTACAAATCTTCAAGGATTGATTTATTTCGCCAGGAATACTACACATGACTGACGCCGCTAGGATGATGACACGGGAATCGACACTAGAACGACTCTAATGACTACTTTGACGGTGAAGACAGCCAATATGAACTGGCGGGTGGCGCTTACGAAACGAAGAAACGAAACTGCGAATCCGGTCACTTGTAACTTTGTCGTGGATACTGTCGCGGGCACATGTTTTTCGCCCTGGGGTCTTCGGGGGCAGGGCTTTCGCATAGTGTTTCGGGCTCCGATGTTTGGCGCCGGCGCTCCGCTTCTCCGAGGGCAAGAGACTCGGACACGGCTGCCGCCAGGGCTCGGCTTGGCCACGGGTGGCGCAGGTGCAGAGATTTCGCTAAAGCGCTGGCCGGGTCTTGGGGGTTCTCCTCCACGCTGAATGTCGGGCATAACCACGAGAGCGGCCGCCGGGCCGCTCCGATGAATTTCCCCACGCCCGAGTCGGGTCTTGCGGTTGTCGTCTCTCTTTCGCTAGCCTGGCTTATAGCCTTAGGCCCAGCCCCCCGCCGTCGTTGGCGCTGCGTGTGGTCTTCGTGGTGGCCCGCGGCGGCTCAAACGATATGGATTTTGCGGGCTCGGGTCAGATTGAAGATCTCGGAGTGCGCCGTTTTTTTAGCAAAATCCGCAAGAAAATGCACACAAACCAGCCGCCGACACCCGGGCGCGTGCTGGGATTCTCGCTCTTCTCTTGCGCGGGCCGAGAAAGAATCCCAGATCCCGGGCGAAAATAGACTTGGAAATCTCGCCTGAGGAGTCGAGGGTGTGGCACCAGCCACAGCCCCGCGCGCGACTAAAGTTCAGCGGCCCCCCGTGTCTGAAACCTTCGCCACCGGCGAGCTGGGAGCGAGCATGAACCACAGACAGCACAGAAGCCACAGCCTGCAAAAGCCCCCCAGAAAGGCACTCATCGGAGGCGTGAAGAGTCTGCGCGATTGGATTGCCGCGAGGGCCCAGGCCTTGGGGTGTGTCGTAATTTCATGACATTCCCGGTGGTAGGCTGACGAGGGGCCTTTATTCGTTTGGGCGTGTGTAATTTTTTCCGCTCTGTGTAGGTTGTCGTCGGTTCGTCTGGTTTTAGTCGTGTCGTGTAGTTGGTGGTGTCTGTTCGTTGCAAGTGATCGGCCCGACGGTTTCGGCCAGTTCTTCTTTCAGTTTGTATCAAAAATGCAAACGAGAAAAGGGCGTGGCAAAGCGCCACGACCCAGAGATGGAGATAGCCAGTACGCGGGTGATAGCCAGTACGCGGGTGATAGGCAGTACGCGGGTGATATTAGCCAGTGCGCGGGTGATAGCCAGTCCGCGGGTGATAGCCAGTACTATGATCGAGCGACTAGCCGCGGTGGAACGAGTGGTCGTGGAGCGAGCAGCCCCGGACCGAGCACTCGTGGACCGAGCACTCATGGAACGAGTAACCGCGGACGCCAGTATGCGGGTGATAGCCAGTCCGCGGGTGATAGCCAGTCCGCGGGTGATAGCCAGTACGCGGGTGATATTAGCCAGTATGCGGGTGATAGCCCGTCCGCGGGTGATAGGCAGTACTATGATCGAGCGACTAGCCGCGGTGGAGCGAGTGGTCGTGGAGCGACCAGCCACGGACCGAGCACTCATGGAACGAGTAGCCGCGGACGCCAGTATGCGGGTGATAGCCAGTACGCGGGTGATAGCCAGAACGCGGGTAATATTAGCCAGTACGCGGGTGATAGCCCGTCCGCGGGTGATAGCCAGTACTATGATCGAGCGACTAGCCGCGGTGGAGCGAGTGGTCGTGGAGCGAGCAGCCACGGACCGAGCACTCATGGAACGAGTAGCCGCGGACGCCAGTATGCGGGTGATAGCCAGTACGCGAGTGATAGCCAGTACCCGGGTGATAGCCAGTACGCGGGTGATATTAGCCAGTCCGGGGGTGATAGCCAGTACCATGATCGAGCGACTAGCCGCGGTGAAGCGAGTGGTCGTGGAGCTAGCAGCCGCGGACCGAGCACTCGTGAACCGAGCACTCATGGAACGAGTAGCCGCGGACGCCAGTATTTAAGGGTAGGTTAAAGGTGCTTTTCTTACCTCTCTTTATGCCTCTCCTAAGGGAGAAAGGCATAAAAAGCGGGGTATGTAACCGAGCACCAAAAACCTACCTCTAAAGTATGCGGGTGATAGCCAGTACGCGGGTGATAGCCAGTACGCGGGTGATAGCCAGTACGCGGGTGATAACCAGTCCGCGGGTGATAGCCAGTACTATGACCGAGCGAGTGGTCATGGAGCGAGCAGCCGCGGACCGAGCACTCGTGGACCGAGCACTCATGGAACGAGTAGCCGCGGACCGAGTAGTCGTGGACCGAGCAGTCGTGGAGACGACAGTCAGTTCGACAGCAGACCTGGCGACAGCACCAAGAGTCGTGGAGCGAGTAGTCGTGGAGACGACAGCCGTGCTGACAGCAGTCGTGGAGACTACAGCCGCACCGACAGCAGCCGCGCAGGCGACAGTCGTTTAATAAAGAGTAGTCGCTTTGACAGCACGAGCACTCGTGGGGACGACAGCCGTGCCAACAGCAGCCGTGGAGACGACAGCCGTGCTGACAGCAGTCGTGGAGACTACAGCCGCGCCGACAGCAGTCGTGGAGACTACAGTCGCGCAGACAGCAGCCGCGCAGGCGACAGCCGTGCAGACACCAAAAGTCGATCCCCTCGGTACTAACAGAGAAGTGACACGACTAGGTGTTACAATGTGAATTTATGTGATGAAAGTGGAAAGAATCGCAATCACACACAGACAACAGCTGAAAGCTGAAAGTACCTACGACCTAACATGAAAGAGTAGTGTTCTCGATTTCTTGTGAATGGACAAAGAGAACGCATATCGAATCTCTATCATAGTAACTATGAGCACAATTTTTGCTAGTAGTTCTTGTACTCGTTCTACCAGCATGATCAAGTCCTCTTCCTCCAAGAAAAGATTCTACAATCTATCAACATTCTCAACAACAGCAGCCGTGGAGACGACAGCCGTGCTGACAGCAGTCGTGGAGACTACAGCCGCACCGACAGCAGCCGCGCAGGCGACGGTCGTTTGGGTAGCGACTACAGCCGCGCCGACAGCAGTCGTGGAGACTACAGTCGTGCAGACAGCAGCCGCGCAGGCGACAGCCGTGCAGACACCAAAAGTCGACCCCCTCGGTACTAACAGAGAAATGACACGACTAGGTGTTACAATGTGAATTTATGTGATGAAAGTGGAAAGAATCACAATCACATACGCACAACAGCTGAAAGCTCAAAGTACCTACAACCTAACATGAAAGAGTAGTGTTCTCGATTTCTTGTGAATGGACAAAGAGAACGCATATCGAATCTCTATCATAGTATCTATGATCACAATTTTTACTAGTAGTTCTTGTACTCGTTCTACCAGCATGATCAAGTCCTCTTTCTCCAAGAAAAGATTCTAATCTATCATTCTCAACAACATGAACAACATTCCAACAACATGATATCAGCTCCGCGCCGGTCGCATATTATCCGGAAGACTCAAGTTCAAGTTCCGGTGGCTCATGGGAGGAGTCAGCTTCGTCCTCCACTCCCTCTTCCTCTTCCAGTAAAGTGGTTCGCTTCAGCGACGAAGTAGCACCAGGCGCCAACATTGAAGAAGTCTGAAGGAGAACAGAATAAGGATGAAGAAGTGAAGACTCCAGTTGTACTTCTACTTATATATGAATATAAACAACAAAGGCTACAGACTAGAAGAGACGAGATCTAGATATTTTGATAATGTTTCCTCAACAAACATGTAAAGAGATTAAATCGTATTCGTACCATTATAGTACAGCAAAACAATAGAACGTATTTTCGGGAACGTCGATTTCCCATCAACATGTCGAGTAGAGAAAACTACATTTCCGCTGAACCTGAATCTAGTAGAGAGCCCTATCACTACCTGTACGTAAGAACTACCTCCTGTTATATGATGTCATAATCTAGAACTCCTTAAAAGAACACCAGAGACAACAAACCAGTATACCTCTCCCACTTGTCATGTATTAGTATTTTCATAAACAAGAACGTCGAACTCGAACAGGAAACTGAAGTTGTGCAGAAGCAAAAATCTCAATCTCTTGCAAAGCAAAACACTACACCATCAACATCAATTTCGAGCCCTCCCTTCTAATTGCAGGTACGTTAGATCGTATTCATTGTACAGGCAGCCTTCTAAAAGTTCTACTCCTGATCTTCTGGTAGCACCCCAACCAAGAGTAACGCACATACACATGAGACAGAAAAAAAAAAGATTGTTCTGCTCTAGATTCATCTTCACCACCTCCCCTGAAACGAGACACCCTGTTGTATTTCCCTTTTCAAAATAGTATTATTTCATTCTCCGAAAATAGAAAAATATTAGGTATAGGTCGTTCAACATCTCCAAGTCCAACACCGACGAATTTCTCCTCAGCACTCGTCCAGACCCCACGATATTCCCAACACCTGGAAAACAAAACCTGTAGTTGTGGCACCTTCATGTATTTACACGTACAGAAACTCTTGAAACTTCATGACCACTTGTAGAACGAATGCTGATCGCCTTCTTGTTCGTCAAGAAAAATTTCATCCTCCAGGGAACTGCATTTGGTAGAGGCTACAACTTTACGAGTATCTGTTGTCGCGTCCGGAAGCAAATGGCCGTCGATTGATCTCATCGAAATATTTATCGGTAGCCGGCGGTTCTGTATCTCAAGTAATCGGTTGGATTATGTCGGGCAGGAGTCAATGTCGATTGCCGGCGACATTCACATGTTGTGCTTCTGCGTCATCAAGCAAAAAAAGTCGTTTGGTCTTAGTAATGATCGTTGTTAGCTTCGCGATCGGTGAACATACAAATCCATCCAGGAAACTTGTAAAATTGCCTGAAAAGTCATCGTGTCTGTAGCCCAGACGAAAATAGGAAAATTCTGGATAAGACTATGTTGATTTTGTTGACAGATCATCGGACACCAAGGACATATAATTCTGGTCTAGAAACTCGTCTGTTTGCCGGTGGACTATGATAGCAACATCAATTACTTTACGCATAGTTCTTAGTATGCGAAGTGATGGACAGCGACAGCTTGAAGATGCTTTTTTTTTGACCTTTCTTCAGCGATCAAGATCTCGAGTAAACAACTCAACAGTGGAGCAACAATAAAATGACGTCGAGATTCAGTCCTCCGAATGCATCGCCTCCGCGGCTTATGGCTTCTACTTTGACCTGCTCTTCTTGAGAAGTCATCAAGTGATGTAACAGACCTTCCTGTTTTTACACTCGCGACTCCCACACGAAGAGAATAGAAATGAAAAAGTAGCTGAAATAGACTACCAGCTGCTACTTCTTAGCCCATGATGTGGATCAAAATGATCGTCTTCTAATCCTCTGACCAGTGGCACGACCCCTCTTGCGCCTCCCGTGATTTCACCTTATGCTGGGGAATTGCAGGATTTCACAGGATGGCAAAATTGGGCTTTCACGATGGTCTTCTTCTTACAGTTCATGTGCTCACTGGGGACATGGGTCTATATTTGGCGGACAAGTGGAAACTGGACGTGGAGCGAACTCTACGACCCTCTGGCTGCAGGTGATGGCGATATTGAGGATTTTCCGTCAGAAATCCTACAGCATATTGCAGCAGAAAAGTTACTGGCCGATCCGACGAAGAAAAGGCCGTAAATTCAATATTGCGGTTTTACAGACAAGTACAGGATCATGAAAGAGTAGTAACGAGAAAATTTCAAGTCTAACAAGGTCTAACAAGCTACTCTTATCCCTTTCCCTATCAGATCAAGAAAAACATCTATAATTGGTTCTACTGGACTACAATAAACCAATACGCAGAAACTCTACGCTAAAAACAAGTAGATGTTGATGTAGATGAAATTTGAGAGGAACAATGTATGATCTTCTTCTCTTCAAAGAACAACCTGTATGTAAATATTAACACAAACACTCATCAATCCACACCAGGGCCGGTTTATCAGCCATAGCAGGCATGCGAGATTCTACATCATCGGAGAAGGACGCACCGCCTGCGCCTAGGCCATCTGGGACAGAGATGGTCGCATCCTATTTCAAGGATGAACAACAATTGTTATGGCTTTTGCTCTTGTTCGGACTACTGTAAAATATACTGTTCGATAATTTGTGAGTAAAAAAAAATGTACTCAACGACTCTAACTTCTACTTCTACTTCTACTTCAAGCTGCATATTAGCTAAGTAGTTTGATACAAAACAACCCCTTCTAATCGCCGCCACCGTTCCACCAAAGTTGAAGGACGCTGAGGATTTCGCAGATGTTATCCCTGATCCTGAGATCAGTGAGGTAGAGCCAGCAGAGGCGGAAGCAGTGTCGATGTATCGATTTTACAAGGGGAATGACTTTTATGGCCTAGAAGTCCGAACGGGGAACATAAGCAGGGAAAGTAGACTTTGTAAGTAAGTAGTGGATATGTATAACTTTTAATTTGGTGCTTGGACGAGAAAGAGTTTCTTAAATTCTAAGGCCAACGAAATTGCTTGGAGAAAGTTGATGTACGTATAGAGCAAGTACCACGTAATGAAGATTCATTGTTGTAGTTTCGTCTTGTGGTCTACATCACGTCCAAAAATTCATTGACGTTGATGTAATCACGACAAAATGTATGCTACTAGCGGTACTAGTACAACATTGGTCTTCCTTGTACTAGAACCATCATTCAAGAACTTGCTTCTTCTAACATGTAGCGAGTGCACGAGTTTCAGAGTTGTTCCATCGGGCAAATCACGCGGTTGACGCAGGAGGGTTGGTGTTGCTTCACGACGCAAGTGGAAACTTGGTGCAGCATGGTGGCAACGCGGACGCAGAGCGCGAAAGCGAGGCGACGCGCCACCATATGAAACAGCAAACAAAGGAAGAACTAGTTCTGGGCCAGCTTTTTGGACAAAGCTAAGATTGAGATTGTAGTAGTGACCATGTAAGTACTAGTCTTCGCTTACTGAGACTGTAAGGAAAACGGGAGATTGATGTAGTATGTAAGTAGTCTTCGCGAGACTGCATTCTGATTTCAAGACGCCAACACGCAATGCTAATGACATACTGCATGATGACTGTTCCAAGAACTGATAGACACTGGAAGTCTCGGACTTCAACAACGAACTGTACTGTTTTTAACATTAACTCAAGAAACTAAAAATAAAGACACTGCAGCTCATATTGTTGTATCAAAATCAAGTACTTCGAGAATTTGTTCAATTAGGAGGAGGAGAACAGGAGCCTCCCATGATGCATGTTGATTTCACTTGACTCATATGGAGCGACAGCAACAAGAAGGCGATAAAGAGTCACGCAGCAGAAAAGGGTAGTTCATCACAATGTAGAGCGAAATATGGAGACCATTTCAGTTTTTTGTCGTAGCTTGATAACTTTCACAAATCAGACACTATCACAACGGCGAGGACGAGACTCTTTAATTCTTTCCACATCCGCCACTCACATTTTATTTCATCTGGAGGTTCTGAAACTTCTTACAACGCACAATGAGCTACAACTAACTCCTTAAAAAACACTCACCAAGAAGATGGGTTGTTGTTGCGCCAAGCCCGACCAAGGGCTGCTTCGACAGCTGAAAGAAACCTCGCAAACCTTTGCGGAGGATCCGGGTGCTCCTGGACTCTGCTTAGTGGCGAAAGGTTCGCCTTATCAATTGGTCTTTGCAAATGCGTTGTTATGGTTCTGACAAGTTGTTAGTGCCTTTTTCGGCGTTTTCATAGTCGTGAATGCTCACCTCCTCGAGGCGAGCCAGCTCCTATCCCTATCCCTATCCAACACATGTAATGATTACATCCACACTTTTGTCCATGATCTAATTTTTGAACTGCAGCAAAGCGCAGCTTCCAGTGTAGGGCGAGACCCTGCAGCAGCTCGCAGCGTGCCGCTCACCTGCAGCATTGGCAGACCAGGGGCAGGAGAGTTCGATTACGGCCATCAACAATAGAGTTGTATTCCTTAGTCTTAAGAAAGCGATTAGATGACAGGTAAAACTGCGGACGGCGGACACCCTCCTAATCCTAATCCAAGATGGCCACATGATCTAAAAGCAGCACGTACAAAAGCAACATCGATGTAAGTACTACTTTACTCTTCATCCAGCTCGCTTTCTTCTAATCCCAACTCATTCAGAAGAGAACGCATGGCCCTTACTGGGTTTTTGAATGTCACTGGTGGGTATCTGACCTGGGACTTTCGTCACCCTCTGGAGCCTTGCCGACGCTCGCTGCGCCCAATCAGTACGTTATGATAAAAGTAGTCGCAAGAAGATGAAGTCTTGAAATTGCTGAATCACAACCTGCTGCTTTTTTACATCAACACGAAATAGAAGTACTTACTTCAAGGACTACAGAGAACAGCTCGTCGTCGTCCTTCAAATAGAACAAAATAACGATTCAATATACTTTGTTTCTCATCTTCCTCGTCTGAGACTCTAAGCACAGTGTACCAGGAGCATCAGTAGCGCGTCCTGGGAGGAGTGTTGGCATGACAATGGACTCGGAAGGTTTTCTCACACGTAAAGAAGATATGGCCGTCCTAAACGTTTCCGAGTGGCAATTCAAAATCGGAAAGCGCGTCGAGCTCATTCGGGAGACCAGTGACGTGAACCCGATGGGAAAGACACGAAAAGGTCACGGTAAACCTGGCGGTCGTGCATGGATTGTGAACACTGCTGCTGTTGGAATGGTTGCAGGAATGTATAGCAACATGGGTATTTACTGATACATCAGGATCGGTTTGAATGAGTATCGGATATACTTGATATGCCAGGCCTCGTCGACTACAACGTGCTACTTCGAGAACAGAACGGACCAAGACAAAGTACTATGTTGAGACTTGTTTATTTTTTACGTAAAAAGTACAACATCAACATCCATCAAATCCAACTTGTTTCTCCAATAAATCGACACCACAACAGGCACTAACACTCTCTCGCCTCGCGAAGCACCCCATTTGGTTGTTGGTGTTCAAACTCCGGATGTGACCTTAGTCCCACGTGGGTCTGCCGATGGGTTTCAGTTTGAAGCCCTACAGACGGCGCGGAAGAGTGGTGGCATCATCACAGGAGGAGCATGCTTTCGCATGGTATCATCGACAATATCGGGAAGATTTTCTGGCTATGCGGTCGTTGGAAGGCAAAATCCGCCTGACTATTACGCAGCAGCGGAAGCACATTTTCAACACTTTAAGGCTAGTCAGCCTCAGCTACAACTATCTGGCGTGTGGTATCTTTAGCGGATCTCTTCTGATTTCAACGGGAATCCAAAGAGGAAACTGAAGGAATCAACTACTCACTCAAGAAGGGATAGGTATTGACTTCTGCTAAACATTGTTGCGTTGGTTTTGCAGATGCTGACGCGGCTAACGTCCTGAGCATCCGGCTCGACCACGCAGGACAACACAATGGGAGATTATGATGCAAAAATGGAAGGACGACGATAACTACTGTCTTTACACTTACAAATTTCGTGAAGGAAATAGTGCTCCCAACTGCAACATTCGAGGATACAAGAAACTCTAGTTGAAGATTCGATCACTATCTGCACCTGACGTCCCATTCTCTCCTCTCCGCCTCTAACTCAACCGACTTACTTCCTCTGCTCGGATAGTCCGGTCACAGGAGGCTTCATTTTGGACGTACCATTCGACAAACGACAGGTGGGAACGAGCGACATGCCGATCGCACTCGTCAAGAGCCCACAGGGCTGGTGGCGGAAACCAGAGAACAAGGCTGAGGTGTGGATAGTCAACGAAGACGACGGCTCCATCTCACCAGCCCACTCGCCTGAACTCGTACTCGGCATAAGGCCAGGGAATGCTTTAGTGCCACTAGCTGATCTTGGTGGAGCAGGTGGGAAAGTTCAAAGCAGCACTATCGAAACAGGTCTACCTGGAAGTGGTGACGGTCTCAATTTCAGCATCAACAATATCGAACTTGGACTAAACACCGGAACAATGGGTTGGGGTCAAACGAATGCCATGAGCAGTGAGGCTCTGAATGCTGATCCGGCATCGATAAGCATAGGCTATACATAGTACATGAGAAGATCATGGCTCCAGACCCGACGCCTCAGGAACGACGGTGTAGGTGTACAGTGCTGTTTCCTAAAATCGAGTTCGTTTTTTTTTTGTGGAAAGTCATGACAAATTGATTCAACATTGTTGACCTGGCACTGGCTTGGCTTTAAAGAAAAAGTCGGAAACTTCTACTCACGACTGTTACAATGAACACTAAGAAAATGTAGAGACACATGAATTATAGATCATCTGCATTTCTACTTACGGGATTCCCAACCCGATCATGTAAGTTGTACTCCAAAACTCAACATGGTTCAAAAAAGTTTTTTGCAAAGACATGGTGGAAAAGGGTGCAAGGTTACATTAAATGTATAGCCAGCCTGCAATTTCGTGCAGCAACTGGGCAGGAGCAAAAATACAACTGTGAAGATGGATGTCGATCAAGAAAGTCTTTTGGACCAGAGATGGGTTTCTCACACTGGGATATATCACATATTATCAGATGATAGATGAGAGACAAGGACGAGAATCTGTAACCGCACCAGTATGTCTCTGTTTGATCAGTCACGTTGAAGACCACAGGTTTTCGTGACGAAGAGAAGATCTCAGTGTCCCCTTGCTAAAAATGTTGAATGTGAGAGCATTCGAGCACGACGTAGTCATCTCTAGGTCCTAGCTCGGCCCTCTGGCTTAACTCCGACTCGTCATCCCTGGATCTTCCTGAAAAAGACAAAATGTTGGATCTTTCGCTTTTATGGTGCCGACTTGCTCGCGCAGTTGTACAGCGTGATGACGCTACGATTATGCCTTTGTTGCACTTCCTGATCGGCCATTTGCATGGAGAAACGAGGAGCGTGGCGACCATAGCCGATTTGCAGCGATGGTGCGTTTCGCGTGGACACAAGGGTTTCGTCGTTGAAAGGCATTTTTCTAATGCAGAGCTAGAAGCATTCACATTCTCTCGACGGCAACCGCGGGAAGGGGGACTGTCGGAAAGAGCAGAGCCAAAGGAGACGACGACGATAGTAGAGGACCAGAAGAAACAGGAAGATCATGGTAGTGCTTCTCCAGCATCCACGACGGGTACACCTGCCACCGGAAGACGAGTTGTAGATGATGGCCTGTCAACGGTGACAACGAAGGATACGACAACCTCGAAAATAGAGTCACAGAACGACCACGAGGTCCTTTCAGCTTTAGAAAGGCATCAAGTCGTTGACTACATTGCGCACTTTCGAAGAACGCGCGATGGTGTCCCAATGGTACAGGAAAAGACTACCGGATCCAGCATTGGCGATTTCGAGAAGTTCTATGCAGGAATGCTCTCCAGAAGAACCGAGGTGGAGCGCGTCATGGAAGCCAGCAATTTTAGGCATTTTATCGAAAGACGAGGCGCTCATTTGGGATTGGGAGATACGTTGACGGCTGATGGAGCGACCGGATCTGGCGGAACTGGAAATTACAGTGGTGGTGGATTAGACGAATCTCTTACGGACTCCGTCTTCCACGATGCTAAAGCAGTGGCAGAAAATATCCTTGGCATCAAACATACGGCTGAGAAACTCAACAACGTTGCAGCTGCCCCAGACGACGACTACCTTGTTCAACAAGAGCGACAGCGACGTCTGATAGCGATCAAGAAAGAGGTTGCTGTGTTTAAAGGAGTAAGAGACGTTGAGCGGCAAGATCGGAAGCGGCTCTTGAAGCTCCAGAGTCAAGTGAAATTTTTTTTTGACACCAACAGGTATTTCAAAAAACTCGCATTGCGGAGTGACAAATACGTACTACACGAAGAAGATGAGGAGGAAAAGAAAAACACTGTGACTTCTCCTGCTTTGAGCTTGAGATCAACACCAAGCAAAACCGCATCTACACCATCATCAAGGTCACCGACTCCTTCTTCCAGGAACAGTGGGCCTGGCACCTCTGGCACCGAGAACTACAAGAACAAGATGCTATTTTACTCGCAAGGTAAAAATGACGAAGATGATGTCGAGCAGTCGCCTGAAGCTAAGTCTAGTTCGAGATCGAGTTCAGCATCAAGTCGCATCTTCTCGTCGAGTAGCCGGCGCTCGTGGAGCAGCAGGTCGTCGGATTGGTCTTTCTTGGAGGATCACTCTCTGGGTGAAACAAGTGGTGCGCGCACATCATCGATTTCATCAACATCCTCAAAAGCTTCTTCTCCTGGCTCGCGATCCGATATGCGGTCTTCGCGCTCTCCTTCATCGCGAAATGGAAGTAGATCTCCCTCCACTGCTTCTCGTGCTACTAGAACTCGAGAAGATGTTGAAGAGGAAGCAAGCACTCGGGAACATCATGGTGCCCCCCATCTCTTCTACGACTATCTTGCTGCACCGAAAGCAGCTTCTAAAAAGAAAAAGAAAACAAGCTCTGGTAGCAGTTCACGAAGTGGCTCTTCCAAGCGGAGATCATCCTCGGGAAGTAGAAGTAAGAGCAAGAAGGGCTCATCTTCATCTAGTAAGACTAAAAGTGACATCAATGGTACGGAATCGTCATCAATTATGGTCAGCTTTTTTCCATCATTCTCGGCATCTTGGTCCCCTTTTCCCTTGTATTCTCATGAAATACAAGGTAAAACGGGTCAAGATGAGGAGGCCGAGATGCAATCTAGCAGCCTCTAAATCGAAACCAAAAGAGAACAAAAATCTCCTTTCCGCCTCCGCTTCGAGTATCAAGGCACGCACTGCAGCTGCGAAAAGGAAGAAAGAAAAGGGAGACGGGAAAGAGTTTCTAACTATTTCACCTCCACCGCCATTCGAAACTCTTTATCGGCGTATTGGCGAACTGCCTTTGGAGAAAATGGACTACACCGAGGAATGGCCAACAGTGTGGAACTTCTTGCGCTCACACTTGTGGGGAGGTCAACTCAGAGCTGGAGCTGGTAAAAAGATTAGAGGCCTAGGTGCGGAGAAAGACGAGGCCATAGAGGATGTGTATGGCTTTGTATAGAGGTTGTGAGGTTCTTGTTTTTGACAAGCTAGACAACAGCATAAAGTGAAGATTCTGAAGCAGAATGACACGCTGTCGGAGCATCTTCATGCCCACTAGTTTCCTCTATGAATAGCACTAATATTCCTAGTCGCGTGCATATCACTTCAGCAATGAGTCACGTTGTCCTTCTACAAGGGTACTTATGATAATAAGTAATATCTGTAATACTTATATGCGTTGTATCTGATTCAACGCATTTTAGGTTTCTGATTCTCGTCCTACTCCCTCTCCCCCGTCCTTCCCTCTTCCTTCAGTTCAGGCAGCGGGCGAGCTGTTGACGTTGAGTGGCCTTGCGTTGCGTGTGGCGATGTTTAAGGAACGCCTGCGGCTATTCGAGAAGCTCTGGCACTATACCATGGCACACATGCGAGCGGCCAGAAGCAGATTGAAAAGGACCGCAGCGAAGCTGAAGTCGCTGAAGATGCATTGGCATTCGAAACGAAAAAAAAGACGGGAAAAAGTTGGAGCTGAAGAAGGTGTTGCGTCCAAGAACAGCAAAGATCAGGAGAAGGAAAACAAGGACAAGACGAAAGAAAGCTCTAAGAAAGACGATCAAGATGCGGACACCAAGAAGGGGAAGGATAAGGTGACAGAATCAGAAAAACCGAAATTCGACCGAGCGGCGAAAGAAAAACTTCGGGAAATGGAGAAACTAGACAGAGGAGTCGAAAAACGGCAACAACAAGCCCTGATAGAGCTGATGGATGCCAAGAATGAGAGGGAAATACGTAAGGTCATCACGCTAGTGTGGAAGCCAGAGAGATTCAAATGCGAGATGATGCTTGGACGGATCTTCTGCCTTCCCTCTGGTTCTGACGAGACTGAGCAAAACACCAAGTCTCGAACGTCAACACAGTCCAAAACCAGTATCGGCTTGATAACGACATGCGCGTTGACGCCTCTCCTAGCTATTGGTGGGCCCTTGCTGCGTCCAATGTCGTTCTGGGCTGAGGTTGTTTTGCACACAGCCACGTTGTCCTCCGATCATGTTGACAAAAACTCTGCAACAACCGCGCTCTGCCTTATCAGCGATCCAGGATCTGCACCAGGAGAAGTTTCGTCTTCTAGCAGTATAATATGGGCACCGGCTTTGGAGATTTTAGCTCATCTGCATGATGCGGAAGATGACAAAAAGGGCGATGAAGATCTCACCAGAATGAAGACCAAAGACCACCAGGTACTGATCACACACGTGCGTCGACTGAGAACGTCGACTGACGCGAAAACCGATGGTGGCTACCTCGAACGGACAGCTGTCGCTTTCCTTTTACGACTCTATGTGCAGCGTTTGACTGTGGCTTCTGGAGCAGAAGGATCAGAAGCACTATCGCAAAAAGAAAAGGTCGAAATTTTTGACTGTGTCCTGGCGGTCCTGCTCAGAGTTGCCGATGCTGAGGGAAAAAGCTGTATTCATAGCAAGGACAATTTAGCCTCCAGTTCATCTTTGGCAATCAAGAAGAACCTAGAGTACTCGATGTTTCTGTCGCTCTTTCCGAACGTCATAACCAAACTTCGCCGAAAGCAAGACCAAGAGCAAGAACAAAAGGGAAATCTCGTCTCCCAGTTCCTCCTTCTAGCATCAGCAAGTGGACTCTTCCAGGATGAACAAAAACACCAGCAGACTGCATTACCGACAAATAGGCAACTGACCTTTCGTTCGCGACTCCTCAAACTTGCAGCTGATGAGATGATTGCACAGCTTCTGGACAAAATCCACAGCGTAGTTTTACAAACTACATCATCGGCTACAACATCTACTCCTACATCATTAGCTGGCGCCGCAAAGAGATCTTCCTCGCAACGACAACTCCAGGACAAATTGCAAGATGCTATTCTACTTGAAGACAAGTCTCCCAGAGATGACACCACATCTTCCCTTTCGGAGCTTTCACAGATGCTGGAACAGATTCGCGATCTCTACATGCGTATGCCACCGCGTTGCTTGTGGTTGTCGTTGCCCTCCTCAATTTCAGTTGTCCAAGGTGCCAAAAACGACTCTGATAAAAGAGGAGCTGCGAGGCCGGACGACTTGCAGACGCGGGTTCTGGAGCCATTTCTAGCGTCGGGGACTGCGGAGGTAAACGATAGAGATCACCAGGACCAGCGTGGCCTTCTCTTTCATCATCTACGTGAATATCTGAAGTTGTCGGTTACGCCTACATCAACAGCAGGCGATCCGTCCTCTTTGGCAGCGCCTTCGCCATCTCTGACACCCTATACCGACGATTGCATCCTACGGTTTCTACAATATGATACGAGCAGCAGGAGCAGTGTTGGACAAGAACATCTACCAGACCAACCACGACCTCCGCCATCCTCCATCTTTACGAACACGCCCTTTTTTCACACCCTACGACAAATTGTGCATTACTGGCTTGCTGGAAATTCGGATGCTTCGACAACGCTTTGGCCTTGGCCGTT